AAAAAAAATCCCCTAACCCTCCGTGGTATCCATTTGCTCGCCCCTTAAACCAACAGCCTGCTCCTTGGCAATCTTCACCCTCTCCTCTCTCCATTTGCCAATTCTCTCCTTCAACTCCGTCTGTGGAATAGCATCGTCAATCGTCATGGGCTGCCGTGTAAACGGATCCTTGGCATCGCTCAATAGATGCTGCACAATGGTTGATCTGTCGACAATATGTCGACTGGGCAGGAGCACCGGGTCCTTCATCAAGTCACCCATGATGGGATCCTCAAACTCGGCTGGGATATCGCCCAAGTCGAGTTCTGCCTGGTCCAATTCGTGTTTTGCCACTTCAAACTTGGCCTTTACCTTTTCCCATTGTGCTAGATCAGCGGGATCCTTTGCATTTTTAGACGACAAAATGCGAGTCACACGGTCGAGGACCTCGGGCTTATAGGATCGACCGTCCGCGGCGACAGCGTCCACGAATACTGGCGAGTAGCCCAGGTGCAGATAAATGTCGACAAAGTCGGAAATAAGTTGGATAGGGCGGAAATGATACTTGTCCTTGTTCGAGACGGATAGCTCTGCAGCAGCCCTTTTGCCAGCCAGCGTCTCCAAGTTGTAGTTTAACATGCTTGCCAGGCGGGAAACGATTTCGGGCATGATGAACGACTCGCTCAAGGCCTTGGTAAACAACTTCATCATCTCTAGCGTTTCGTTGGCCAACTGCATGTACGAGGTAGCCTGGCTACCAAGTGTTTGCAATTCTTCCTCCTTCTTCTGCCGATCTTCGGCTGAAAGAGAAGTGTCTTCCAGCTCTCGCTCTAGGCTTCTGATCTTGGGAAACTTTGTGAAAGCCTCATCCAAGACATACGTAGCGTCGTTGAGCAACATGTTCACAAACTGAACAAAAAAGTCACGGTTGGTCCTGGATAGTTGTTAGTGCGGTCCAACTCACACATTTGTGCTGCCTTTGATTGATTGACTTACTTGCTTTCCCGTGTCAACTGCTGCTTGTAGACATCATTGCTCCAGACACATTTAATTACCTGGAAGATTTCATATCGAATGTTGAACTTGTCATAAAAAGCAGTGTTGGCACCGGTGGATTCGCATTCTATATAGAACTTCATCAGGGCATTCAAGAGGTATTCATTGGCAAAAGGCAGCGCTATAAGCTGATCGCCAAAGACTCCCTTCTTCAAGTGCATAAACGGCCACGTTCCGGAATATAGAAGTGAGACCAACGAGGATTTAAGATATGGGTTCTTGATGAACTCAGATGACCGAAGGAAAGTGATGCACAGAGCAATCATTTCGTCGCCAACAGCACTGGGAATAATTTTGGGAAGGAATCTGTGCAACTGTATCAGTATACAGCCTGGGATATCCGGACAAATTGATGAAGCCAACCTGAAAATAAACTTGAAATTGTCTACAATGTTTTGTAGGGTATATTCCGGCAGACAAGCAAATGCCTCTGCGTTGTCAGAAGACAGGGGTAGCCTAATGTCATGTGAGATGCATGCTGAAAAGTTGAACTGCCTCACTCGGCGTACCTGATCATTTGAGTCTCTTGTCCTGGTTTATAATCTGAGCCAGTGACGAGTCGCAATAGCCATACAGCAACGTAACGCATAAAGCGAAGCGACGTGCTTTGCATTCGCTCATCAAGCAAGGCGCCCTCAATGGCATGCTTCAGAGCAATCGTCTTCTCCAAAACATTTGTGTGTCGTTTCAAAGTTTCTTCGAATAACCGAAGCTGATGGGGTGAATTGGCGAGTTTAGGACGTTCAGCCTCCATGGCCTTGATATGTTTGTCCAGGTACTTGATTTCACGGTCAAGGTTCTTCAGCTGTGAATTCAATGCCTCGCTTCCATAATGATGGGCGGCGAGGGTCAGGAAAAAGGCTTCCGAGATGAAGTTTGAGTCCCCTTCGACCTTCTTGGAATAATACTCATCCGCTGTGGCTTGGTCCGCGTTCAATTTAGTCTCATCTTTAATGTCGACTCGAGGCTGTCTCCTGAAGTAGCGCACATCGATCTTATCCACCTTACTAAAGTCATTATCCATGAAAGGTTCGCAAAATCGGTCCATGATGGTGGTCACATTGAGCATGAAACCGTCCGAGGCAACTTCCTTAGGGTCAACCTGCATAGCTCTTCTCTTGTGATTCATATTCACGATGTATGCGAACCAGTTCAGCGTCCTGCTTCTCGTGTCCGGGCCGGCACGAATAAAAGCGTTTGCAATTACGAACAGATCATCTTGATGTGCTCTCAGAACAATTCGTAGTGATTCTTGGGCGTTCGAAATTCTAACTCTATCGAGAGATCGAGCTCCGGGAAAGTAACTTTTGATTGCCTCGGGTTGAAGGGGGGAAATACGAAAGAAAGGGCCGAGAATGGTATGTCGCTCAATGCCAGGAGCAGACTGTGCCATGTTGAAGGAAGGGTGTTGGGCGAGGTTGGCAATAAGCACTGGGAATCGCGTGTATGTGAGAAGGGCCTAGATACAAAGGGATCGGTTAGTCGAGGCGTCTCCTATTTGCTGGACGGCGAAACAACCAACCTGGACGTGAGGTTTATACTCGTCCCCCAAAGACAGGGTAGACAGTTGGCTGCTAATTTTGATCATGGCATCATTGAATAGGGCAGGGAACGCTTCATCTTCGTCAAATCGTTTGATAGCTTCTCTAATAAAGTCAAAACAAAGACCACCATCGTCTTGAATGCCCTTTAGCAAGTAAGGCACAAGCGTATCATGCTGAGGGTTCGGGTCACGACTACACATTGTCAGTCTAAAGCACAATACATACGAGCCACTTTCTGTATGTCATCGTGAACGAACCCATAAAGAGCCGGCATTGTCAACGCGAATAGACAGTTGCTCATACAAAGCCGCTTGGCCTCGTCCAGAATTTCTTGTCTCGGGGCCGAAACATTCTTCGCAGTGCTGGACGCCCTGACAGCTCGTTTCCAACACGGCAGGAGATACTCTAGAAGGGGTTTAGTTAGTGTCCAGCTGCTGCAGGCCTCTATTATGGCCTGGTCCAGGTTACCAATGGATAGCTTCAGGGAGTCGCCAGAATCGTTCAGCTCTTGGTTCAAGTTCGGTAGAAAGACCAGACGCTGGCCCTGGGGGTTTGCCATATGGTGCGGATCAACAGAAACGCGGAAGACTTGTGAAAGCACCCGATGGGCATAGTCCTCATCTGTCTCCGACTTTTGCTGCTGCTGCTGCTGTACTAGCTGTGGAGTTGGTTTCTGGGCGGGCGGTGCTGAATCGGTGTCGTCAACATCAGGCGCTGGCCGTTTGCAGGCAGGACGGGAACTACCTGTGGCGGCGGATTCATCTCCTGCTATCTTGCTGCTCTGTACACCGAGTCGTGCAAAAGGATTCGGGTTCGACTGTGTTGTCGCGGCCGGGGTCACGTTGATCTTTGGTTTGGGGGTAGAGGCTTCTGAGGTCTGCGGTTTCGGCGTGGATGTCGACGATGATGCGGGTTGGTTCGAAGAGCTGTCGGTCTTGTCTTCGCTGGGCTTACGTGCTATATTGCCCAGCATGGCAATACGACGTGCCCGCATCTACATGCACGGTTAGCTACAATGCCATGTAAACCATCAAGCTAGGTCGGTGATTCGGCATCTCCAAGCACCGACATCGCAAGCATGGAGTAGGTAGGTGAAGACTTGCGTGGTCTCTGTCCGGGGCATCGTCAGGCCCGCTGGGAGGGGGCCGGTCGTTGGGATCCATGATGGCCGACGTCCAATGCTCTTCGTGTGTGAAGGGAAGATGAGGTGTGGGTAAGAGAATTGCAAGTTGCAAGCAACTCAAGGACTGGGGATCTGGAAGCAGACGGCAAGGCTGACGTCGATGGAGCACCACGATTATGAAATCCGAAAGAGCCCCGCCCTGGCTGACAGGTTGTCCGCTGTCAACTTGTCAATGCCGAATGTGCAGGGTTTTGAATATTCAGTGGAATGCTGCGTTGAGGAAGCTTAAGCCTCGTCTTGTAGGTCCGTCCGTGGCCAATATGATTTAGCAAACAAGAATCGGCCGTTATTCAGTGTGATGCTTGATGTTGGTGAAGAACCAAGTCTGGTCAATAACGGGGACACATGAGCACCCGGTTGGCGGCCAGGGAGCCCAAATGTTGCGCGTGGTGCTAAAGAGCAGGCTGGGCTGGGTGACTTCAGTAGTCAATCAGTCTGGTGTCTGGTTTCTGGTTCCAGGGCGCTTCAGGGCGCTTCCATGACCAGTGCTCGCCACTAGACCCGCTGCATCCACTGCATGTGTCTATAGCGCCGTATGTGCCAACATTGAACTTTGGCTGAGCCGCCAGTTGATGCCAACAACGTCCAGCGGAAGTCGTGTGAAACCTCCTCTAGATATCAACACCGGACGGGTCCCAGGATGAATTTTGTCGACCCTAACAAGAGAGATGAAGATAGAGAAAAGGGACACAAAGATTGTTAACTAAGTATTAGTGGACGTAACAGAACTTGTCCCAAGGTAAAAACTCCGCGCCAGATGAGCTCCCCCTCGCGGACAGCCAAAGTCCGCTCGGAGTTTGACCAACATTGACGCTTTCATTCCTGTCAACTCGGCCACTGCTAATTGTTGATGAAATCCATTCTCTTCCTTGTTCGTGTCTACCTTGCATGGACTCTAACTTTATTTACGCGGACCTCACGACGGCCATTTTGATCCAAGGCAAAAGACGTGCTCCCTGCCCTGTCGCTCAGCATCCAGCACCGATTCCTGATGTTTCACCGCACAACCAACACCTATTTACCATCATAGTATTGTTTTAGCCCTGTTTTGTATATATGTATCGACTCGTGTGTCTAGCCTCGTTCCCATTATCGTGTCAAGCATCACTCTTGTGCATGTTTTCATGCTCGTACATCACATTCTGTATTGTGCTCCCCAACCTGCCAGAATCTTGCGCCGGGCACCCATTACATCATTATACAGCTCTCCATCGGTGTGGTCACAATTCCACCACACATCACAAGCGAGGCACATCCATATCAGCACTTGACGACCTCCGTCTCTCTGACAGAATAGGTGGTGCATCGCCAGAGCTGTCGCGGCGAATCCCCGCTGTTGGCCCCGTGTTATTCGCGGCTCTGATGCGGCCCTCTTCGCGACTCCGATTCAGCAGCCAGTTCACATGCATGCGTATCATATTGATGTTGTTTCGTAGCTCTGTCACCTCCTCGCGTATGGGCATAACCTGGTTCAGTGTCCACATACTCTGCCTTGCCTCGAGGTGGGTCAAGTTTTGATGGACTTCTTCAAAACCAGCATCTAGGTCCTGCATGGTTCTGTTGTCACTGTACACGGCGTCGTTGCGGCTTTCCCCCTCGCCGTTTATCCGTCGATTCGCCAACATGTCGTCAATACGCTTGGCGGTTTCGTCTTGGCGAAGTTGCATGTCTCGAAGCTGGCTTCCCAGGTCGCCGTACGACTGAATAATTTCCCGTTGGTTACGAATCACAATTCCCGATGGCGTGTCTGGGTGGAAAGCGCATGTGAACGAGTGCGCCCCAACCTCTCCTCGTATTGTCCTGACCGGACACCCCAGGTCTTTGTAGGGACAGCCAACTTCTACCCCGTCGCACTCCAAATCGTGATGTGATTTCATCTGTGACCGGCAAACCAGCTGCCAGCAGGATTGACATCTCGTCTTGGCCTGCGAGCACGAAAGCAGATGCATGTCTTTGTCCGCTTCTTCTACCTGATCATGGCACAAGGCGCAGCCTACTTCCCTGTGGCGGCATTTATCATCCTTGGGCTTGTCCCGTAGCTTCTTATCACACGCAGTATCGGGGCATGTAAATTCCCGGAAGCGGCATTCGGTTGTCGCGTGCTTTTCAACGTTTTCACGTCGCAGTTCACTTTCACAGCCTCGCCCCTGGTTGGGGCATTTAACCATCAAGCAATTGAGCTGTGTGCGAACAAGTCTAGCCGCACTGAAACAGTCCACCCACAGCAAGAGCTCGCGGTCGATGGGGCAGGCTGTTCCGGAAGGGCTTGACGCAATACTGCGTCGCAAACACCTGTAGCAGAATGTGTGGTCGCACGGTGTGGTGACGGGATCGACGAGCGGGTCGTGACATATGGGACACAGCAGGTTCGGATCGGGGTCAGAGACATAGGTCAGCATGTGCATGTCGAAAATGCAGTTGCCACCATACTTGTTGGGTATGTCGAGAGAGGACGGGTGAGGGGGCAACAGAGGGCCAGTCCTGCGGTCGGGCCCAGCATTTGAATGTCGTCGCCCATATGGTTGTGATAACATGGCAGCCGGACGCGATATTGCGCGCTGTCGAGGATGACCGTGGGCATCTTGAGCAATATAAAAGGCTTCTGGGGATGGTGGTCTGACCAGACTGGTGACAAGGTCTGGCGTGGCGGCTGTCCGCCTCAAGTTGCGACGAGCGAAGCGTCTTGCCGCAGCGGGGCTCATGCGAACTCCTCGATCTCCCTCGTCGCTTGATTCTGAAGCGCCCTCTCGGGATAAATCGACGCTCGTCGGTCTGGTGGTTTCGCGCACAGTTGCTCGCGAGCTGGATTCTGCCGCAGCTTCTTCGGGGGTATGGACTGTCAGAGCGGGCGCCAGCATCGCCTGCATCGCCTGGGGATCAGGTCCCCCTCCCTGGGCTGTAGACATGCTCAAACAATCGACTTGGGCAGGGCGTATTGGGCGGGTGCAGTCGTTAGCTGCTGACGGAGGAGTAAGGCATTGGGAATGCAACCCGCGCACCTTTGGGAAAGATGGGACGGGAATGAAAAGGAGAGGAATTGATGGTTAGAAGACAGTGGAGGGCAGAAGTGAGGAGACGTGACGATTTCTCTAAGTAGGCCTGAGTTCAGTGTACTCCTACATGTGCGTCCTGTCTTGTCCCCAAATTGGCCGGTTGATCGGATCGGAAACGGACGAACCGCCGCCACCCACATTTAGCTTCCAAGGCTTACATACATATTGAAGAAGTTGCCTTCATGGCCGATACTATGCCGCATCTTTCGTTTTTGGACACGACCGCGGGATTCATAGCTTGGAAAAATAGTTTACTTGACGGTGTATTTTGACGTCAGATGAGTAGCTTTTTCTACAAATCTTTTTTTCTCTCGTTTCCAAATCCCAGCTGCATTTTTAATAGATCAGGTGTGGACATGCTATACATGAGCGTGTCACCAGCCGCAGCTTCTATGCTTTGCTTCTCGCAGCCAACTCTGAGCGAGCTACGTCAAGAAAGAAGAGGAGACCAGAAAAAATAAAAGACGGTTAAAAATCGCTGTAATCAATCGTGCACGAAGCATTTCATTATGGCCGGTGTTGTTATCCTGCCACTCTGACTGCCTCAATCTGCCTGGCGCTTTGCAGCATGTGGCTGTCTCCGCATGGGGGAGGGGCTGCAGCGTGCCATGTTGGAATGTAGGAATGGAGGGGCACGGGGGGACCCCAGATCTGCACCCTCTGTACTGGAGTACATACAATAAGTATTGCTACGGTGTACTCCATAGTTCCTTGCAAAGAAAGATCGCCTACGTGCATTGTACGTTAATCTGCGATGCAGCATCTGGCTCAGGAAATCTCGGGTTGCGACAAAGCTAATATGTCGCAGCACTGAGCCCATGTTTTGACGTGAGGAGGACTGACCACTCATTACAATTGACTTGATTGGCCAAGTCTCCCTTGTACCTTCCCCACGAACTTGCGGCGACATTAGTGCCAGCTCAGTCAGACCGGCACCAACGCAGCTTTCACATGCCAGTCCTGGACAGACGTCAGCAGCCCACCACTGCGCCTTTCTTCGCACTCGTCCAGTCTGCATCCGTCCAAAAAGACTGGTGTCACGAGCCCCTTCACGGGCCAGACTAAGCATGCAAAATAACCATAGAATGGCCTGCCACCGACTTTTCCTACATTACATGTACAACTTCTGTCTCTGCCTGGGGGCTGTCCAAACTGTCTATTCTCCCACCGAGTAATATATGTTTGATGCATCCCCAGAAGTCGCCAGAGTACGGTTACTCCTGTTCTATTTTCAGACACCCTTTGACCCATTGTCTCGACTCTCGGGTCTGAACGCACGACGCCACCGACATATTTGTTTCCCTCTCTCGCATTTACGCCTTCGTCTGTTGCATTTCTCCATTGTACCAATTGAACATTTACATTGCGGTAGCGGTTTGTCTAACACAATGAGCCGGGTCGCTGCTGGCTGATACTACCAAAATTTCTGTGCTGCCGTCGACTTTCACATGTCAGATCCTGCGACGGCAAAGACCCTTCCCTAAACAATCACCCCTACAAACAATCAGCATGATAGACCACGTCTTAGGGCGGCCGTCGTCAAAGTCAAGGCGACTTCAGGTCCTGGCCGTGTTATCTCTATGGTCCTTTTATTTGTATAGGTATATGCGATACCGACAGCCCATCATGCATACAGCGTTCGAGACTAACGTCATCCTAGAGGACACAGACATGGACCGCCCGGGGCCCAGTCACTTTCTAAATTCTTCACCAAGCGCCTTACAGCGTGGCAAATATCTGCCCTGACAATCATCTATCTCTATGCTGCTCGAAACTTCAGCGCCCTTGTTGGCCTGGCCAGCCCTGAGCCCATGGCCAACATGTACGACACGACTTACTTCCGCGCCACTTGGGTCCTAACCGCTCTGGACGCTGGGTTTTGGACGGCAATGAAGATCAAAGTCAAATGGATGAGGGACCTGGCGAGCATCCTGTTCTCTCTATTTTACCTAGTAGCCGCAGAACGAGCGGATGAGAAGGTCCGCAAAGTCCGAGGTATGATCACGGTCGAGCACCTTCGCGTTGCGTGGAACAAAGGCACGACACCTTATCTGAGTGTACTACAACGCCTAATGCGACCCCGATTCACAAGATGGCCTCCAAGGCAAATTCGAATTCCCCGGCCATCGAATAGTGATTACAAGGAGCCCATCCTGGGATGGTTGTATTTCGACGGGCCACTAGCGGACTTGCTGCTTCACAGCAGACTTGTGCTGGATGTTCCTGGCGGAGGCTTTGTTGCCATGGACCCTCGATGCAACGATGACAAGCTCCTTGCTTGGGCATCAAAGTCTGGGCTGCCTATTCTTAGTCTGGACTATAAAAAGGCCCCAGAATTTCCCTATCCCTATGCCGTCAATGAGATATTTGACGTCTATGCCGCCATCATCAATACAAAAGGGCGTTGCATCGGCCTGTCAGGTCGCGAGACGCCTCGAATTATTATCACGGGCGATAGTGCTGGAGCCAACCTTGCTGTCTCCGCAACCTTGATGATTACCGAGACGAGTGATGGTGAGTTCCGGCGATTTGCTGGCCGAGGAGCACTGCCCGCTCCAGACGGTTTGGTGTGTTTCTATCCAGCCCTGGACATGAATATCGGAAACTGGATGACAGATGAGCAAATGTCGTTGATTAGAGACCGTAAGATGCGCAAGACAAATAGAACTATTGCCCGACGCAAAAGCATGCAATACAACCAACTGGTGGGAACACCACATCACTCCGATGACGAAGACGAAATCACTCCTCCTGAATCAACTTCTATCCCGCCCAGAAGTCCTCACGATTGCCAACCTCAATTCTCCCACACTGGGCCGCGGTCTTTTACCTCAGATACGGAGAGGAACGGACCCAAAAAGGTGGACAACATGTCTCACCACTCGCAGCCGATGCAAACTCGTCTCGCAACATCCTCCATGATTTCCTACTTTAATGACCGAGTCCTCACTCCGGAAATGATGCGAGCCATGATTATCCTCTACATCGGACCCCATAATCGACCCGACTTCTCGCAGGATTATCTCTTAAGTCCGGTCCTCGCGCCTGAAAACCTTCTCGCCAGGTTCCCCAAAACATACTTTATGACGGGCGAACGTGATCCTCTCGTCGATGACACCGTCATCTTCGCAGGCCGTCTCCGTCGCGCCAAAGAGGCCGTAGCAAGGGAACAAAACCGGCCCTTTGACGACACTGAAGCAGCTGAAGTAGCTCTCATCCCCGGAGTCTCCCATGGATTCATGCAATTCCCTGGAATTTATCCTCCTGCATGGAAACACTTTGATCGGTGCGTTCTCTGGTTCGAACAGCTCTTCCTCGAAGCAGAGCATCTCCGCACCAAGAACCAACACCCTACTCATCTCTCCCCGCGCACAGAAAGGATGGCATACCACAGTGAGCAACGACAACATCATCAACATCACTTGGCGGAGTCTAGTGGTGACGAAGATAAGCCATTGGAGATTAGCATGACCAAGCTAAATAGGGGACGGGGCTCAAATGCTTCTGGGGCAGAGAAGCTTGAAATGGTATCAAATGAGAAGGGAAATGGCGATGCGCAGAAACATAAGAAGAAGATATTGAGTAAGAATAAGAGTCTCATCAAGTTAGGCAGTACAGATGACCTGTTGGATAGAAGAATGGAGGGGTTGGCAGGTGGGCTGACGGGGACAGGGGAGGACAATTAGTTCTGGTACATATCAGAATGCTCGAGTGACCGTGTGGGTGTTGATAGTAGATGGTGTCTGGAAGCAATTCATGCGAAATGTGCTAGATCATCAACCTTGGAATAACAAGTGACAAAGCTCTTGGTACTAAGTACTAGGCACCCTAGTACACAGTCAAAGTTGCCAGGTTGTGAGGTGGTCAGCTACAAGAGTATCCCTTCGAATGTGCGCAGGTCTAATTTTTGTAACGGACCAGGGTTCTAGCCAATAATAATTACTTATTTAAAAGATATATACTTAGAGATTATAATTTTAAAGATACTTAAGTATATAAGAATATACTAGTTATTATTATTAATAAGAAAGTATATTTAAGTATCCTTAAATATCCTTAAGTATCCTTAAGTATCATAAAAAAAGTGGGTTGAATACATCAATTGGACCTGCGCACATTCAAAGGGATACCGTGTCGCTCTTGCCCAATTGCATGGCAGACGACTGGCGACGACTTCCAGGTTTTCTGTCGAACCCCGCGGGGAGGCTTCAGATGTTACATCCTCCCTTCTTTTCTACCCCATCCATCAGAGACCTCACTTGAGCCAGGCTGGTGCCTAAATGCTAACTAAGCATGAATACCCTCTGCACTTTTGATTGTCTTGGCGAAAATGTGTCTCACGGAAATGACATGTAAGCTTCTAGGCCATGCCATCCTTGGTTCTCACACCCATTAACCTCCTATGCATTGGTTCCGGCCAGTAGCACAGTGTCTCGTCGAATCAGCCCTCAACTTCTCAAGTGCCACGACAAAAAGCTGGCATAAGGACGGACTGCTGGGTGGATTGAGTTGAGCACAGTCGCCGTCCAAACATCTGAATCCCGGCACAAAGCGCAAACTCGGGTCATTCTGCCGACTGCGGCCATGTTTCACATCACCTCGTCTTCATGAAGCCCTCACAACTCATGGTACGGGGTAGGAACCAGGTGCCCGGTATCCAAGAGCTAGTCGGTACTACTCCGTCGTCCCATAGACCCTGGTGGTGGCGCTCGGCAAGCACGGCTGTGATCTGGCGCGGCTTTAGTGGGGAGGGGAAGCGAGTGTTAAAGCTGTGTTGGTGAAGTAGTATTGCGGCTTTGGGTACTACTATTGTCTTTATGCGCGCGTTATTGCCCCTCGTTCCAGGCCCATATTTCGCTGCCCCGAGGTGAGCCGTCAGATCCGAGGCGCCAACACAGTTTGGTGGTAGGATGCAGCGAAATCCATCGTGACCCCTGGCCTAGTCACCAGGGGCTATCGAACCAGGACAAAGAGGGATTATGGACGCAGCCCCGCCACTGCCGGTCGTGCTGAACAAAGTAATTATATTGGTCAGTTTTATTGTTTCGAACCTGGAGGGGCTCAAGCTAGACCTAGCCACGAGCTGCAAGAGAGGTTGCGCTGAAGCACACATTCAGGCTGTGTGTTGCTGACGTCGAGTGATTAAGCTCTTAGTCGTTAAGGTTCAGCATATGGCCGGAGCTATTAACATGTCCCACGCTCCCCTCTTCTCGTTGTGTTGAAAATCCTTTTCTGGTCTCTCGATCTTCTCTGTCTTCTCTATCTAACATCTTTTTCAGCTTCGTGAGACCGCTTCAGTCCCGTTTAAATCCGCCTTTGGTGTCTTTGTCCATCACCCAGCATTCCACGTCATCATGGTTCATCTCAGTGCCATCAACAAGGACGACAGCGGCAGCGCTGCGAGCATTGCCAATGACGCAGTTGCCCACCTGACTCAAAAAGCCCGTAGTACTTTGAAGCTGTCGTCCGAGGAAGATAGCCTCACTACCAGTGTTTACGGCTCCCGCTTCGCGGAGCAGGAGTTGCCCAGATTCACCATGCCAGAGCGTGCGATGCCCCGCGAGATTGCTTATAGAATGATCAAGGACGATCTTAGTTTGGATAACAACCCCAAGCTCAAGTATGTCTGCATTTATCAGTCTGCATAGCACGTCAGCATTATTCTAACAGTAGCAGTCTAGCGTCTTTTGTCACTACTTACATGGTTGGTCGCCTCAACTCCTGGCAAACGACATATACTGACTGGCGAATAGGAAGACGAGGCTGAGAAGTTGATGGCTCACTCCCTCTCCAAGAACTTCATCGACTACGAGGAATACCCCCAGTCAGCTGACATTCAAAGCCGATGCGTCAACATGATAGGCGATTTGTTCCATGCACCCAGTGGCAATGGGATCGGGTGTTCAAGTGTGGGTTCCTCTGAGGCTATTATGCTGGCTGTGTTGGCGATGAAGCGTCGTTGGAAGATTCGCCGCCAGGCTGAAGGCAAAAGCACTGAACGCCCTAACCTCATCATGTCATCCGCGGTCCAGGTGTGCTGGGAGAAGGCTACCCGCTATTTTGAGATTGAGGAGAAGTTTATTAACTGTACTCCGACACGCTTTGTCATTGATCCTGAGGAAATGGTGGCCAAGTGTGATGAAAACACCATCGGCTGTGTTCTCATTTTGGGTACGACTTACACTGGTGACTATGAAGATGTCAAGGCGGTGAACGACTTGTTGATTGAGAAGAACATTGATGTTCCTATCCACGTGGATGCTGCCAGTGGTGGCTTCGTCGCTCCATTTGTCGTGCCTGACCTGGAGTGGGACTTTAGATGCGACAAGGTCGTCTCCATCAACGTCTCGGGCCATAAGGTATGCTGATACTATGCTTCTCAACTATTCAAGGTTTTTCCCTTGTAGCTCTCTAACGCATCAGCAGTATGGTCTGGTCTACCCTGGTGTAGGTTGGGCCATTTGGCGAGCTGCCGAATATCTTCCCCAAGACCTCGTCTTCAACATCGACTACCTCGGAGCCCAGCAGTCATCTTTTACTCTAAATTTCTCCAAGGGAGCATCCCAAGTCATCGGACAGTATTACCAGCTTATACGTCTTGGCAAGCAAGGCTACCGCCTTATCATGAGCAACCTGACCCGCACAGCTGACTATCTTAGCGACTCTCTCCAGAAGCTCGGGTTTATCATCATGTCTAAACGTGCCGGAGAGGGTCTACCCCTTGTCGCTTTTCGATTTCCGGAACCCAATGAAGGTGGTCGCGAAGACCGCCATTACGACGAATTTACCCTGGCTCGTCAACTCCGATCCCGAGGATGGGTTGTCCCCGCATACACCATGGCGCCCAACACTAACAAGATGAAGATGCTGCGTGTTGTTGTTCGTGAAGACTTTTCCCGTAGCAGATGCGATGTCCTGATTCACGATATCAAGATCTGCCTCGGCATGTTGGAGGAAATGGATCGCGAGACGATCAAGCGACAGGAGGAGTACATCAAGACGCATTTGACGTCCTCTGGCCGAGCTCAAGAATCTATTCACAAGCCTCGACATTTCAAAGTATGTCTCATCATTCGTCTGCTTTCATATGAATCGTGGCTCACAATTTGCAGGATGATGATCATTCCCTTCAGGGCAAGACTGGCAAGACTCATGCGGCTTGTTAATTAGCAATACTTTTCATATGCTGAAAAGTATCAATTTGGCTTGCCATGCCATCGGAGCAGTACTTAGACTCACTCCTCGGAAAAGTTACCACTGCCGTGAGGAAATGCCACAGTATATCATTAGCACATTTATAAAATGCAAAGCCAGTTTATACATTCAGGTGACTTTAAACACGGTGATTGTTCACGAGTACCCTTATCCAGAGTCATTAGCCAACGGGACCCGTAATAAGACGCGCCAGTCAGAATGCAATTATATATGCCGCTATACGTCTTTTCCACACGACAAGACGTCAACCTATCTGTGAGGCACAATCCTACCTCGTCGCAGCAATTGCATCCTCCAGAATCTGTAAGCCCTGCGCAATCTCCTCATCCGTCACCACCAAGCTTGGCACAAAACGCAAAGTATTCGTTCCCGCCGTAATCACCAACAAACCCCTCTCCCTCGCCGCCTTGACAATAGCACTAGGATCCTCCGTCAGCTGCAGGCCCAGTATCAGTCCGCGACCCCTAACTTCCGTAACCAGCTCCGGAAACCGTTCCTTCAACTTGGCAAACCCATCCTGGAACAGCTTCGACTTTTCAAGAACCCCCCGCTGTAGTGCGGGATCAGAAAGCCTCTCGACGAGGTAATGCGCCAGCCGACACGCCAAGGGGTTCCCGCCAAACGTAGTCCCATGGTCGCCAACCTTGATCTTGTCGCTCACAAAGTCGTTGACCACAACCGCACCGATCGGGAACCCGTTGCCCAGGGCCTTGGCGGTCGTAATAATATCCGGGTGCGCATCCCTGGGCAGGCTCCCATGCGCCCAGAGACTGCCCGTCCTCCCCATCCCGCACTGGATCTCGTCGTAGATGAGCACTGCGCCCACCTCGCGACACCTCTTGGCCAGCGCAACGAGGAACTCTTCCGAGGCGGCCATGACGCCGCCCTCGCCCTGGATCGGCTCAACAATGACGCCGCAGGTCCTCTCTGTGACGAGGTCCTTGATGCCGGCGACGTCGTTGTACACGCCCTGCACGAAGCCCGGGACCATGGGCGCAAACGGCTTCTGGTACTTGGGGTTGTGCGTCGCCGACAGCGCGCCCATTGTGCGCCCGTGAAAGGCGTTTCCAAACGACACGACCTCGACCTTGCCGCCCGACGGGTCGACAACCTTGCCCGTCTTGCGGGCAAACTTGATGGCCGCCTCGTTGGCCTCGCTGCCCGAGTTGCACACAAACACCCTCGAGGCGTTGTGCATGCCCCCCGACGACAGCGTCTTCTCCACAAGGAGCTTGGACAGCGCGCCCGTCCACGGATTGTAGTACAAGTTTGAGGCGTGGATAAGCGTCTTGGCCTGCGAACCCAGAAAGAACGAAAAAGTTAATCAAGAAGAATTGCCAATTTTGCACACGGCATCGCGCCCGGGTGCACCAACAAGGAAAGGGGGGAACCAACCTGCTGCGTCAGAAGCCGGGTAAACTCGGCGTCACTGTGGCCCAGCGACGTGACGGCTATGCCGGCCGTGAAGTCGAGATACTTCCTGTTCTCAACGTCCCACAGCCACGAGCCCTCGCCCTGGACGAACACGGGCGGCGGCCGCGCATACGTGGCCACCATGTACGGCGCGTGTTCGCTGACGAGCGCGGCCGAGGGCGAGTCGGCGCCCGGGTCGGGATTGGGAAGCTCGGCGTCCCTCTGCGACAAAAACCCCCCCCGTCAGTCAGCGTCCGTGGATCAAGGACAATCGGCGGGTAGGGACCTATGTAGACTCACGTTGATAGTCTTCTTCGCGGCGTCGGAGAGGTTCGACGCCGTCGACGTAAAGCGCCGCGTGCTCGGGGAGGCGGCGGCGGCCCATGTCCTCGTCGTCAGGGCGAGTTGCCGAACTGGAAGCCTCATGGCCATGGTTGTTTTTCTTCTGGCCTCCCTTACAATCTGTCAGATGACAAACGGTCGGGATTTGAGCAATTGTAAACGGCGGCAGACGTTTGGATTGGGGTGGCCGCTGGAGGGGGGTTATCAGACTGTCCATGGAAGGGCGTTGACATTTCATAGCTCGCTTATCGATAACGCGTCTCCGGTCTCGCTGTGCCGCTGCCGCTGTGTCGAGTGACTCGGCATGACTGGGCCGGATGCGACAAGAAACGACTTGAGAGTTGCAACATGGCAGCTTGGAGACTTACATGACCCTCAAGCGCTAGCAGATGCACTTCTGCAACGGGTGAGGCTGTCAGCCCATCACTGTGCCTTGGTTCCATTTTCTTAACCACCCAATTTTACTATTGCAACACGTCTAGGAGGGAGGTGCTTGATGCTCTTGTGGTTACAGGCCATGATAATCATACTGTAATTCATATTTTTACCACCTAGCCAGGTCCATTTACGAGCTTCATTGTATACAAAAGTGATGCTTCCCGTCCTTCATCAATTCTACCGTCGACAAGCCCGCCCGTCACAGCCGTCTGCAAACATCTCACGCGAGACCGGCATCTTCATTCCCTTTGCATTATCTGTACAATAGCGCAAACCAATTCTTCCAATGCGCCTCAAAAAAGAGAAGAAAGAAAAAACGCGGCCCAGTTACAGGACATCCCTCTCGACTCGAGCGCTGCTCCAGACTCGCTTGTTTATCCCATTTGTTACACCCTCTCTAAAGTGTCCAACGAACCCTCCTAGACGGCGCTGTACCCTCCGCGACTTCCTGTGCCTTGGACAGTGTTCAGCACGCGTCTCGTCCAATCCTTCAGCAGATACGGGATGTCCCGGATGGTGTCACCATGAGGGAGTAAATCCCATCCCCGAGCACCGTAGCGGTTGTAGTTGAGCCAGGAGCCGAAGATGAGATATGCTGCGATGCCCAAGAAGGCACTTCATATACCGTTAGCAGATTGCACATGGAAAACGCAAAATCCAGTGTTGGTAACCACTCACACTATGACAAGCCAGGTGAAGAAGCCCCAAGAAGCGCTGCTGTCCCCACCGTCACCATTTTTATTGTCATTGTCTCCATCTCGCTTCTCGCATGCATACTTGGTATGCCAGGTAAGTCGCAGGACATCGGCGTCCTTTTCCGGTCCGTAGCTCTCCCAGAGCAGCGCAGCCTTGTCGCTTTTCAGCTGGTGCTCCCCAAAAGACTCATCTTTGTCACCGTCACCGTCCTTGCCGTCCTTGCCGTCCTTATCGTCCTTATCGTCCTCTTTCTTATCCTCACGGCGGCGAAGCTTGGAGTACTTGTCCTCCGACTCCCACTCCCCCTCGTTGCCCTCCTTGTCCGGGTCGCAAAGAAACTCGACAACAGCCTTCTGCTCGCGGCGATCCTTGACAGGCCCACTGAGGGGATGCTTGCCGCCCTTGAGCACCAGCCGCAAGCCCTGCTTCTTGGAATCGCTGTTTGAGTCGCTGCCATTTAACCTCGTCGCCTCGTACTCAAACTGGGATCCGCCCACGTTCTCCAGACTGCCGGCGATGGCAGTGACCGTTTCGACCTTGTCCACATCGCCTTGAATAAATCGCGAAATAGCACACACTGCACAAGGCTTTTGTCAGCAATCACATACTCGGGTTGGTTCCAACAGGGAGCCACGGCGTACCTCTGGTGCCGTTAGGGCACTCTTCCGTGGATTTACTCGTGCCACTCTTCTTCAATGGCTGGCACACATCCAATGTATAGGTTGTATTATGATGCGTGTGTGTCACCGAGTCGTACTTGGAGGTGACGACAGAATGCGGGCCCTTGAGCTTCTCCAGGTTGAATTTATAACCATGAATAAGGATATTTTCGCAGTGCAGCATGGCCATGCTGGACAGGGGTGCCAGTAGGAGAGGCAGCAAGACTGCCGATACCTGTGGCGGATGCATCGGATCTAGTTGGTGATGGAGTCGACCTTGGGGCGGACGAGGCGATGCTGACGAGACGCGGGAGGGAAAGCGTACAAAAGGGACGATTCGGAGCGGAGAGTCGGTCGCTATGCAAGTTCAAAAAAGAGAATAGTAAAAGAGAGACGAGAATACACCACTTTATCCCCCTAGAGGCCGGGTGAAATGTGTCACGTTAAGCTGCAGTCTAAGCCCGGGCTGCTGGACGTGGTCGAATCCAAAGTCCAAATCTTGGACGTGACCACTTGAGCAGCTTCCGTCCTTGGCGTCTTGGGCGGTTGTGTCATGACGGAACCTCTCTGTGCTTCTGTGGAGAAGACACGTGACCCGCTTGTCCGTTCTCCGACGCTGTGAAAAGGTGAAGACGGTCAACATTACATGGCCCAGCGGTGACAATGCATTTGCATCAGAATAAAATTAATGCTTTCGTAACCATGATTCATATTCTAACAAGTGTATAATGTACAAAACAACCATCTCCACCTTCCAGGTGAAGCCAGGTAAACGCCATGCTGGAGCTAACACGCAAGTACGCCGCCAGTCTCAAATCCATGTGCTCATCCGCCCGCGCCCATTGTTCGGTCTTTCTGTACATTAAGCAAAACCTCAAATAAAATCCATGGGGTATTCAAAGTCCGCGCCCGATTCTGCGGAAGAAGACAAAACGGTAAGACAAAAGTGGGAAAATAATGTGGCATCGGCTGTACCATAAACTCCAGTACCCATCCCCATCCGGTCAAAAATGCACAAAAAAAGGTCCGCCGGGTGTTTCGTTTTCGTCCCCATCCCATCACATAGCCCGTCGCTGACTGCGTATCATTGGGCATCCTTTTGCATTGTTCTACATGCCTGGGTGTCCCATCATACCGCCCATCCCTTGCATCGCAGCTTGTTGCTGTTGTTGTTGCAGCATCATTTGTTGCTGTTGTGCTCGCCGTTGCACCATGCTCTGTTGAAGCATTTGCTGCGCTTGTAACAAGGAGGACTGCTTCATCTTATCAAGTGTGTCCTGTGGCACGTTTTCAGCGCTGCCAAATTTGGCGACTGCACCCTGCATTAGGCGAGAATATATTTGCCGAGCATTGATTTGTATCTGGGCTTGGATAGGGTTGGCGCCTATTGGCTGCGGTTGAGGTTGGCCCTGCTGCTGCGGGTGGTGTTGTTGCTGCTGCTGTTGCTGCGCTTGTTGCATTTGCATAGCAGCAAAGGCTTGCATATTTGCGTTGCTACCGTTCATCATCTGTCCGCTAACCTGTCTCTGCATTGGATTGTTTATCTGTCCCATTCGTGCCATTTGTTGTAATTGTGCCTGCACCTGTGCTGACATCTGCCTTGTCTGATTGCCTTGCATGTTCTGCTGCAGTTGCGCGTACTGCTGAGCAAACTGCTGCTGCTGGGGTGTCATCATGCCTCCTTGTTGCTGTTGCTGATGCTGTTGCTGCTGAGCTTGTTGCTGCTGCTGTTGCAACATCATTTGCCTCTGCATCATTTGCATCACTTGCTGTTGCTGAGGTGTCATCCCCTGTGGATTCAAGCCCGCGTTCGCACCCCCATTTTGCATAGCCGCCATCTGCTGCTGCTGCTGCTGTGCAATGGCTCTTTGCTGTGCTGCCATTTGCGCAAAGATCTGCGGATTGTGTTGGTTAATGCCCTGTTGATTCATCATCATGGCCTGGCCCATTTGAGAATTCTGAGCCACCATGTTGGGAGGCGGGCTGGCGTGTGTCATCCGTGGAGTGGCTGCCACGGTTTGTCGGTTAATTGGTGTACCGTGAGGCATGTTAGGCGTCGAGTTGGGCATACGAGGAGTGCCAGAATGATGACTCTGTTGACTGCCCCTAGCAGACATGTTATGCGCCATGGGTACGGACATCTGACCGTTCTGAACAGCAGACGGCGGCCGAGGGGGGCTGGTCGCAATGTTGGAGTTGGTCTGCTGCATAGGCACACTGCCGACCATCGGCGAAGACAGCGGTGTTCCTTGCCGAATCACAGGAGACGAGGCGGCTGCAGCTTGAGACATTTGAGCCGGGAAGCGAGGTTGCGCAGCTCCTTGCATATTATTAGCCATAGCACTTTGTCCGCCGGCAGGGACCCCGTTGGAAATGTTGCCAGTAATACCATTTTGCGCAGGGTGAGCATGCTGCGTCGTCTGCTGAGGCTGGGGCTGCTGCTGTTGTTGAGGTGGTTGTTGCTGCGGTTGGGGCTGGGGCTGCGACTGCGGCTTCTGCTGCTGCTGCTGCTGCTGCTGTTGTTGCTGCTGCTGTTGTTGTTGCTGTTGCTGCTGCTGTTGCTGCTGCTGCTGCTGCTTCTGAGCCGTCTGCTGGTTTTGTTGTTGCTGTTGGCTCTGTGCCGCAGCCGCCGCAGTAGAGCGTGCCGCCAACTGTTGCCGTTGGGCTTCCTGTCGCATCTGGTTCTCCTTCAAAACAGCCTCGCGCCTTTGTCGTTCGGCTTCTGCTTGTTGGCGCTGAGCCTGTAGTAACTGCTCCTGTCTCTGAAGCTGTAAACGTCGATCATTCTCCTGTTGTTTAATCTTCTCTTGCTCCTTTTTCTCAGCATGATCTCTCTTGATGTCCTCGATAACTTTGAACCTCTCGAATCTCGGCTCAAACGCCGCTGCATTTGTCTGGGCTTCACCGTCAGTAGCGCTGGACCCTTGAGCTCCAGAGGTATTGCCCGACAGTCTATCATCCAGTACAAGCATGTATCGTTCCTGGTCGGCAGCGGCAGCCTCGTCGGCAGCCATTTCAGCGACAGTCCTCTTTCGAGTCTTTGGTTGAGGCGGGGGCTCAGAGTGCTTGGGATGCGCCATTGCCTCCAATAAAAGAATAGTCTCTTCCGGGTTCCGTGTTGGCTCTAGTATCAAGGGCGCAGTTGTTGCCAAGAGGATCTGTCCTTCGGCCGCATATATGGTGCTGCTGTCCAATTCCATCCTCTCCTTCTTTTGGCGCTTATTTGCGGGAGGTGGCATGCTACTTGCAGTCGGTGTTGGCGGAACGAGGGATAATGGGGTCGACGGCGGTGCAAGCGATGGAGTGTCGTTGACACCCTTGCCGTCGCCTTTTGGGGTAGTGGCCTTGATCTTGAGATCCGATTGTAGAGACTCAGGAGTCGGATGCAAGACGGCGGTGAAAATCTTGGGCTTCGGCGCTTCCTTGGTTGTTGTGGACTCCGATGGTTGTGTTGGAGCAGTCACGCTCTCATTGTCCTTTCCTTCTTCTGGTGACTGCTTTGAGTTGTCGGTATCCTTGCTAGCAATTCCATTTTCCGTAACTTGTTCTTCCTTCGGGAACGGTACGTAGGGCGAAGGCGTTAGACATTGGTTATAGTTGTGAATTGACGACGGTAAGACAGCGTCAGACGTCCGTGAAGCCTTGGTGACAGCCTTTGTTGTTTGGGCGAGAGATTTATGATCGTGGATTTGAACGATGAGACATCCATCATAGAACGGTACCTTGGCTTCGATCAGATATTCTAAAATATCATGCGGAAGTGTGCGCGCTCTAAGATGCTCGATGAATTTTCCCATTGGCGACTTGTAGGGAAACATTCCATCCTGCCCGTCAAATCGGAAGTGGGTAGCGTGTAGGTGAACAACCAAGGAGGGGGGTTTGCCTGAGTATTTGCTCAAGATGTATTGAGAGGTAACAACTAATGATGAGACACTCTGTTAGTTGACAACGTTACGTCGCAGTCAGACGTTGCAGAACAAGGGTATTTTATACCATATGGGGGAGGGCCGTAATCCTTGGCACCAGCATCTACAGAAAACGAGCCAGTACGCATTCCCGCACTGTTTCTCGAATTCCTACCGGCTGCCTGGGATGAGTTTTCGCGGCGCGCCCGGTTGACCGGGCGAACCGTGGAGGCGGTTATAGAGCGATCGCTGGCCGAATTCGGAGCCTGTTTCGCGCTCGTCGGCGGTTTCTTTGCCGACATGGAAGGTGAGGGGGATGAATTTGACGACGCGATGCCGTTGGTTTGAATGCCGGGCGGAACTGGTCGTTTTATCTTGGCCGCGCCATTCTGTTGAACGACGGGGCTGGTAGGCAGCATGGTGGCTCGCGAATGCCGTCCACGGCTGATAGCAGCCTACGCGCGCTCAACAACTCTGCCAGCTGAAGTCGAATCGGAATTCGGAAGCCCAGTATGCGGTCATCGATGCACCCAGGGCGGGTTGGGTTTGGTGTTTATCGGCTCGGAAGCGTTGCGACTCGGAGGTGGAAGGAGATATGGCAAGGCGATGTCTGATGTCGAAAGTCGAGGAGTCGTACTGCGCTAGTGAATTGCGGAGACGTCGATATTTAAAGGCAGAAAGAGTTGGTGTGAGTTTGGCCGTGCAGCGCGGCAGAAAAACTCATGAAAGGGCCCGAAAATGATCCATGAGATATTACCACACAATAATAATTAGTCTGCAGATACCAGGTTTGTAAGTGAATGACGCTGGCGCAGCGCTTCGCACCCTGTTGATGCCAAACGAATGATCATTGATGTTGCGTTTGTATGCCCATGCCGGTCGTCTCACGCGCAGATGAGCGTCACGTGATGCGCCTTGTTCGAAGCACAGTGCCCCCCTTTGAACCCTTTGAATAACCTAGCAGGACATGGAGCCTCATGCTTAGGTTGATTGATAAACAAAGAAGTGTCTAGACGCGAAAAATCAGAGTGCTTCAAACTGTCTAAGCAGAGGGCAGAACCAGTCCGTGCATCAACCATTGAACAAGGTATGAACGTCAGCTGTGCTCCAGATCTCACTTCCATCCTTGCTGCTCCCAATGTTCATTCCGCACCCAGTCCTCAACCACCCCAGATGTTCAAGGCTACATACATTGTCAATTTATCATAAAAATAAATAAAAGTAAAGATGAAAAAAAAAAAAAAAAAAAAAAAAAAAAAATATAGACCATACATGTACGTCAACTACAGATCTTATTCACCCTTCATGAAATGACTGCCCAACCATCCTGTATATCACTGGACCGTCACTCCCTACCCTGGACCCTTCGAGCCCAATCATCATGTACCCGCATGCCATCGACCACCACGACTCCACGCCCGCGTCCGACTCGTTCAGGTCTTTGCCACCATTTCTCTACTTGTTTCCCTGTTTTCTCGGCTTCCGACTCGCTATCCGCCAGCCCTCCAGAACCACTCTCAGCGCCAACGACCAGAGTAATGTCGTGCCGTAGCCAAGTTTGGAGAGTAGTGATGATGCTGCCATTGTCTCCACTCAGAGACTCCTGTAGGTACAGGATGTCTGGCTGAATATGACGCAGAATATGAACGTGACCATTTGGCGTTGTGAATGGTAGGATAGTCGTTTCCTTGTCCACCAGGCTAAGAGCCTGGGAATAAACGGCATCGTAGGCGGCATTTGTGTTTGACGGAGCGATGCTGTGTTCATGTTATTAGGAGCTGGGACAAAACCATCAGGTGACGAATGGTGCGGAAGCATACAGAGGGCTCTTGGTCTCTTCGCCAGGGGTTTGGGCTTGATCATGACCAATGTTAGAAAATGATGAGCTCAAAGAAGGCGGCGGGAGGTTACTAGAAGTACCATCCAACATGGGCTCCTTTAGATCCGGCGCATATATCAGGATGTACAACTTGATTTTTGAAAAGTCATTGTGGCGTGGAATGTGGGACAGAATTGACTGTCGTAGCCCGTTAGCTCTGTCATAACATTGCCGATCAGAAATGCAGATGAGTTAGCTTACAGCCAGCTCGTGTGTTCCGTCATCAGATATATCAGAGATCTTTGTATCGGCCGACACGACGATAGCGACAGTCTTCCGGCTTTTCTCCCCGGTGGCGGGAGCGCGACCCTTCTTCGCATCGGCCTCTTCTTGCCAAGGGTTTTCTCCGTACGCTTTATCCTCTTCACGGATAGAAGCAAGGGCCTTGCCCACAGCTGCGCCAGCGGCAGCCATTCCGGCCGCAACCGTCTTGCCAGTCGAGTCGAAGAAGTGTTGAGGGCTGGGCGTCCTTCTCAACGCGCCGGACATGCGTGCTCCCCATCCCCCCGCAGAAACATCACTGGGAGCCGTAGCTACGCCATAGGATGCAGCATCATCGCCTTGTTGATACAGTCGAGGAGGTTGTTGGGGCCCTCGCGAATCGCGCTGCGAAGCACCGTAAGGGGGGTTGTCCCCGTAATCAGCGTTCTCATAATCCAAGCCCGGCTCGTGCTCATTATCCTCCTCGTCTTCTTTGCGCTGGCTCCATATCCAGGCGGCCACCCCAGCAGTTGCGACTGTGAGGGTTATGGCAAGCGGCACCCAGTGGCTCCAGACACCGCGCCGGGAGGTACCACGGTCGTACCGATCTGGAGACATTTATGCGAAGGAGTGGTATCGCATTTCCTGGAGACTGGCAGACGAGGATAGGGACAGGATTTCAGATTCAATGCGTCTGGGCAATATTCGGAGAGATGAACCAGAGTCGTTAGGTGTGGCGCAAAAGGAAAATGGTTGGAATGATGCCGCAGACTGAAGATGCGGACCGTTAATAACTGGGACGGGTTTGGTGGCTGGTGGGTGTCGTCAAGGTTCATCTTGTCCAATGTCAACAATGGGGTGGAGCGCCTCTTTTCCGTGCCCAGCAACGCTTTGGGTTGGCCCGAGGTACCAGAGCTCGGAGAGCGGGACCACCAAAGATCCGGTGCCGAGGGGTGGAGCTGTGTAGCCTTACCGCGTCGTGCTCCGTACTACACGTGAACTTTCGCGCAAGCTGCGGGCAGTGACAGTGATGACATCAGCCACCCTCAGCCACATATGCCCCTCGCTCGTACCCAGCCACACCCCACCACACAGCTCGCTCCGGCCAACATAACAATTCTGCGAGGCTATGACTCCTTCTGAAAAGCATCCTCGAACATATCAGGCATCTGAACACGAACGCCCGGACACGTGGGCACACGAAGGGAAGACCCCTCAAGGCTCAAGCACAAGATTTCAACTGAGCCTGCTTCCCATCTCACGAGCGGCGTAGCGAACGAAACACCAATCGGCCTCACACCGGCCAGGGCAACGGTCAAAATGCCCCACGCCATGTCGATGCCCTCAACAGGGCTGCAAGCACTCATCCTTTGCGGACCGGGATCATCATTTCCGACCTTCACGTCAAATCCTGATGAGAACCCCAAAGCTATTCTACCCATTGCTAATCGTCCAATGGTGTGGTACCCCATTGACTTTTGTCACCGAATGGGCATCACAAGTAGGTCACTGTCACTCACACCCGAGTCCTGGCACAGCCAACATACCACACTAGCGTATGCATATATATGTATATATATATGTGTGTGTGTGTATGACGGCAACAACTTGTTGTTTCTTGCTGCAATATGCTATATGCATGTATTTGTGTGACAAAAAGCTAATGTCTCGCAGACATCACCCTGATATGCCCACCATCAGCATCCAAAGCCATGAACTCTGCATTTAGCATAAACCCCTTTCTCACTGGCCTGCCTCTCCCCAGACCAGATATTCTCGCTCCGGCAGACTTGGACTACAACACGGGAACCGCGGAAATTCTTCGCCTCTCTGAAGTTCGCAATCTGATCAAATCGGACTTTGTCGTCCTGCCCTGCGATCTTGTCTGCGAATTAGGCGGAGATAAGCTCCTCCAAGCATGGATGGTCAAGTCTGCAAGCCTGACTGATTTGTTAGGAGATGGGCGCTGCACAATGGGTCACCAAAGCCACCACAGTGGCGGTCTTGGAGTTTGGTACAACACGAAGTCAGGTCCGGTGGTTAAAGGTGAAGAGACTGATTTCATCGCCACCTCTCCGCTCCCTTCTGGGCAATCAGCCACGCAAAAAGGATCCATTTCCCCCCATCTCTCAAAGCTGGTTTACTCGATGCCTACAGACTCATTGAAAGACATTATGGAGGATGAGAAGTCATTGCCAATCCGGCACGCGTTACTCAGGGCACACCCTCGCATCCGAATGCTGACTACTCACCGGGACGCACACATTTACATCTTTCCCCGATGGATTCTGGACTTCGTCAAGGAGAATGAACGACTCGACAGCATTGGTGAGGACGTGGTGGGTTGGTGGGCCAAGGCCGGATGGCAAGTCGGACTTGCGGACAAGCTGCATATCACTACGGTTTGCGACGCCGCCAAATCAGAAGATGACAACGGTTCCACATCGGGGAGTGTTACTTCACCACCACCTGGCCCAGAAGAAGCAGAAAAGCAATCTACTGAAAGACTAGGCGAAACCAAGTCCATAGGCAAAGATGGCTCACTGAAATCACAAGCAAATCAACATACCCCCCCGGTCGTCGCATACGTTCATTCAGGCGAGGGACAAGAAAAACCAGCTATTGTTCGCCGTGTTGATACCGCACAGCTCTTGCTTGCCATATCTCTACAACTAGCTAAACTGGAGTCCATCGAAGAAGTTGGGCTCGAGGCAGCGTCGCCCTTTGCCCACTCGAGAAAAGTGGCATACCCTGAGGGAGTCAAGTCACGAACTACCATTACCAAGCAGGACAGTCTCATCGCTGAAAACGTAACTGTAGAGGAGAAGACAGCCATCAAGGAGTCAGTCGTGGGAGCCAATTGTCAGATCAACGAAGGAGCCAAGCTGTCTCAGTGTCTTTTGATGGACGGAGTTGTGGTTGGGAAAGGGTGCAAGTTGACAAAGTGTATCTTGGGCAAGAGATGCGTCATTGGGGACTACTCTGTGCTTACCGACTGTGAGGTCCAAGAGAACTTGATGGTAGAACCACGAAGTAAGTGCTTTCCCCCTCTGCGGCCGACTCGGTGCTTGTTCTTCTTACTTTTGCTTGGTCTTCACGCATCTGGGCGCCGCATCTATGACAACCGTTGAGCCTGCGTCATCATACTAACAAGGGTTTTGTAGCCGAGGACAAAGACAACAAGCTCATGAGCTCGGAGGGCCTGGAAGCAACGGAAGCCGAGATGAATGAAGTCCTACAGGATGTAGACCGCGAAGTCGCAGCCGCCACAGACGAAGCCGTCGAGGATTAGATCAACCGAAGTGTTCTCGGCACCAAAAATAGTTAAAAAAAGGCCAAAAAATTCCAACATCTTATTTACAAGACAATTGACCTTGACGTGATAACCCCACTTATGGCCTTTGCTCAACAGTTCTGATAAACTAATCACGTTATACCAATTTGCGATCCCGGTGCTACAATATATCCTACCATGTGGATAGTGAAAAAAGGCATGCCCGTCACGTTCAATACTGAAACTGGGCTGTGCCAATATGCGAATCCTCTTTGGGAAGGGGTATTAGAGATGCACGGATATCTAATTCCCTTCCGTCTTTGGAACGAAACGAGCGAAGGAACAGAAAAAAAAAGAAAGCAAACGATAACTGTGACTAGACAGGGTGGTATTTCAGTAATCAGCGTCGCCTCGTTTAGGGCTTGGTTCCGGAGAAATTTCACCAGTCGTACTACAACCTATTATCGCTCTTCTCGTATGGTGTTGAAGAATGTTGGACGACCCGCCAGCAAGTGGTAGTTCAAAGTGGCTTTGCGAGACGAACATGTCAGTACCCAGAGGAAGGAATAGAAAAAAAAAGGATACCTGTACAATACTCCGTACTCCGTACCAGAACCCTGGAATCTATCTAGATAAAATGCAGGGTTCCTCGCGCGCAGTGGAGACGAGACACCGGACACCAGTCAGTGACGGCACTTTTTGTCGGTCGAATATGCCAGAATAGGACCTCGATAGGGCTTTTGCAGGTCTCGACCAGAGAACAAAACACTTGGCAAGAAGAACCAGAGCGTCACTGACATTTACAAAAAAAGAATGATAGAACGTGCGGTAGGCAGGGTTATGCGGTGTACGGCGACAGATTGAACGGGGCGTGTGTGGTTTTTTTTCTTCTTGTCCTTGATTCACTGCTTGGGTTGGTATTCTTCATGGTAACATGTCGTGTGATTGATTGGGGGGGAGTGTCCGCCAAGCCAGCCAATTCGATGTTGGTAGATGGATGGCAGGGACAGGACTAGTTGGAGGATGCAAAAATACCCAGAGCTAGCAACCTTGTGCTTGTCGATAGTCCGGATTGAGCTATAGGTGTCAAGTTGAGTGTCAAATCTGGCGATTGCCCACCATCCCCATACATACATGCAACGCACGCCAGAGAGCGTCGAGCAAGATTGATTTGCGCACGTGCGAACTGTTGTCGGTGAGCAGGACCGGCCAGTCGTGCTGTTGTGGTGGCGTAGGGATCATGGGCTTTATTGATGCCGTCCCCGCCCGTCTCCCGGTGGGATTTCCCAGGATCCAATGTTACATCGAAGAGAGATGATCAAGACGGATGAGTGGCTGTCCAATTGAGGCCAGAGGCTGGAGAGAAATTGGCATGGCGTATGATGGTGGTGTTGACGTTACTGTTGATGACGACGATGATGGTGGTGATGATGATGATGTAGTTGCGGCGTTGGCAGCCCCCAGGCTGGACGAGCTGATGCCTCACGTTTTCAGTCTAGTTGGCGCTGGCCCACGACATGTTCAGTTTTGCCAGAGGAGGCGACTTGCATTGGTCATGGGCTTTTTTTTTTTTTTTTAAACTCCGGCTCTCCAGGTCTTTGCGCTTTACACTTGGAGTGTTGAGTCCTCTGGCAATATTGAACCCCCCATCGCGGCAGTCTGTCCGCATTCCCGATGGGTCAGGACAATACAATACTACTACTACAGTGCTGCTACAATACAACCTCCCCTTTAACCCCCCTCGAAACCCTACCCCTTACGTTTCACAGGAATTCGCGTTCCTGGATGCTGGGCTGGGTAAGGTTGGTGATCTTGGCGACTCTATTTAGCCGAGTACTCCGTATCTTTTGCATGCATTGAACAGGCTTGTGCGCACACACACACCGCGGTGGGTGCATGACATGACCCCATGCCCATGTTAGGCCGGGCCGCACCTTGAGAAGTGGGTAGAAATGGATCCTGACTGCGGCATTGCCGCTGCTGGCTGATCCTTTTCCACCGATGCGCCGCGGTGCAGTGCGAATAGACAGCTGCAGACGTCTCGTTGGCGGCGACATGACGTTTTGCATCCCTGGATTGCGCTTCCCCTGCCTCGCTGCAGCTTTTGGGAAACCGATGGTTCCTGTCAAGAAGCTTTCCCACCACAAGTACCGCAATATGGGACCACTTCCCGGACTCACCGTCAATGGTCTACATCTTGGGACCCAGCCTCGATCTTTGGCCAGTCATGAGGCCGGAAACCCTGGAGCTTGGCACCCTGGTCATGGCACCCAAAGCATGGGCAAACTCTGTTGTGCCGATTTGGAACCGTTTCAACACAATCTTGCAGCGCCATCCCATCAGCCGGAGTCATGTCCGACTCGACTCTGGGACAAGGCTCGCCTTGCAAATGGCGAGCTGGCTATTCGAACCGTCGCCTCGCTCTCCGCGTATGTCATGCATGGCAGTCTCGTTTTGACTGCAGTCAAGCCTCCGTCTGCTGGCCGCCGAACCGTCGTACCTAGTACTTATATTGCATCAATCATGTATAATGACCCGGTGCGCATCGGCGCGGGATCCTTCTTTGGGGCTCCTCAATGAGCCGTTTTGGAGAACTGGAATGCAATCCTACTAGATATCCTTCTTCTTCTAGCAGGTTGCGTAACTTCGCTGCGGCAAGTGCCTCGTTTGTTCGCGCCAACATCAGGAACCAACTTTTCCTTCGTTTCTGGAAGGAATCGAGAGATAATCAAGAACTACCACTTGGCCATGGATTATTCCATCCGCCTGCGAGTCGCCACGCTTGACTGAGAACTGATCGGGTATCCATCAGAGTGACATTTTCCTGCAGCCTTACTCCGTAGAGGTAGTCAATCATGTCTGATTGGTGCATTGACGCTGAGTAAAGTAACACTTGGCGGGCCTGACCTGACGCTCTTTCGAAGCCAAGATGACGGACACTCTGTTCTCAAAGTAGTATTCTGGTGCTAGAGAGCCGTGAGGGCGTCATGACGTCTTGTTCCATGTCTTGCGCCGTATCAAGTCAAATTGGGTCTGACCACATAGTACCCAATGAACTCTTTGGGCGCCATCTTGTTGTCCTGTGTCCAATCAGTAACCTTTCAATTACGATGCATTTCACGCGCTTACCGGCGTCTGCAAATATTGCTCTTCGTGCCCGCCTTCAACACCAAAAAATACACACGCACGCACGCACAAAAAAAAACTTGGCTACCCAGACCTCTCTGTGAGTATGAGCGGGGGCGGAGACCAGGTATCCCTACGCCCTGTGTACATCATGTAGGTAAGATGAGCGGATTCAGCCAAAGAGCTTCAAACCGTGGTCCGCCAAGAACGAGTCCTGCAGCAAGCATCAGGCAAATGGGCTTATATTTTATCCACATGACTCATTGTATCCAGGTGTGACGTAGTGAGTTGCCTGTCGCACACAAAATGATGTTGAATCGTAAAAGGTGCCCAGCGGATGCCAAGTTGACGCTTCACCTTTAAAAATTCACAGAAGCCGAACCTAGAGTAGACAAACCTCATGAACCACGGAATAGTTATTATTGGAACTCGACAACCGGCCGGGAGATTGCAAGCAATACCCAGAACTCCACTCCAGCTTCTTCCAAGGCAATCCCTTCCTTCCCTTGCAAAAGGTCTTGAGTCTGCTGTCTAGCAATATAACTTCTATCCAGTCGTAAACCCGTCGGCGATTTTATTGAGGACCCTGAAGGGAAGGTGTGTGAACCTGCAGGGTCAAAGCATGACGGACCCTTGACGAACATTCAAGGGATGAGTCTTGACTTTTTTTCGATGCAGCTTTTTGAAAAACATCGTCGTTCCTGGACTGGCGACAACGCGATACGGATGACATGCGCTAGCTAGTAAAGCCGACATTTGTGGCTCCTCGGCAAGAGCACATCAGAAACACCACCGTTCAGGGATGCTTTTCTCCAAAACAGGATGCCATTGTACACTCGGAAATGGTGTTCTCATCCCTCTTTTGCCTGCCAATAACTTCTTGCCATCATTCATAATGGGAGCACCCTTGTCCTCGGTTCAGATCGGTTGCACCTTGTCATTGTGTGGGACGTCCAAGCTCACTGTGCCTGGTTGCTGGGGCTTAGTCTGTTACTTGCGACCGATTTGGAAGTGATTGATCATATATTTGAGTCGAGGGTTGGATTTTCTACTCGGCATGGCTGAATTCCTGCAATCCGTGTCCCTCCAGCGACGAGATAGCTCCATGTATAGTACAAGGTAGACCACGGAGTAAACAGGATCGAACAGGATATGCCCGGGGAACATTGCCTTTGCTTGACTGCATCTCGGGAACACATCATGTGGTGCCGCCAAGCTGATGGTGGCTGGTCAAGGCCGAGAGTCTGCTCACAAGTATTAACTAATTACCACGTGCGCAGTACCGATGATTTGGATATGCGCTCATACAACCGTCCACCTTATCGGGATGATCGGCGAAAGGGTGTCCCAACGTCTGAGATGCCCTGCAGGTTTGGCTGGCGAGGGCAAGTAATCGTGAAAAAATGGGTAAATGCGTCCGGGTTCAACGTGGTGTATAGCGTGCAGTATCGCCAGCCGCACCTTTTGGTGACTTTCCTGTTGCCGAGGGCACCAGGCTAACTTTCCATAAACACGAACTATCAAGATCAAAGGAGTCGCCAAGACAAGTAGGAAATAAATCCAGCGACTCCAAAGGGCAGAATGGCTGAATTAAGTCCAAAAGACAGGGTGTGACGCCCTATTCAGGAGCGTCGGTGCCCTTGAACGCCCCATCTCTCGTGATCTAGCGTCACTGTTTAATTGAAGGTCCTCGATAGAGAGAGACTCGAGGAAGCTGTTCGACTATCAGCCTGGCCCCAGGACCGAATATGGATGTATGTACGGCCACTTATTACAGCAGCGTGTACTTTGAACCCACTGACAAGGATCTCTCCACTTGATAGCACCAGGACGGAGTGGTGGTCTCTCATCGTAACTGATCCTCCCTCAGTGCCCAGTAGTCTGTTATGACAGCTATTGGGGACAGCGGAGTTCGGTTACATGCCGATCCAGGGCGGCGCCAAGAGAGGCCAACGTCGACTCGACTTAGAAGGTGAGCTTTGCCTCAAAGGTGGTAGATTCTTGAAATCGGCCATGGCCTCTGTAATCTTTATTGCGGTGGATAGACCTAGCATAGACCTAGTATAGATCTGCTTCATATTTCTTCTTATAAGCCGTGGTTGCGCAAAGCAGCTGGTAAAGAAGCAAATTGCTGCATGTGGACGTTGATTTGTGTATAACGGGTGCTTTCACAGCCTCTGAAATTGACCTCTATTCCTCTATTACAACCCCCTACACAGCTAGACCCTTGGTTGGTACTGTGTGTTTAATATGGAACCCCAGAGGCGCAGCTCTTACAGACAATGGATTTGTCTGACCGGGCTGTTCATATTGCGTCTACTCTCGGAGCCTTCTAGGACGTGAAGCAACAGTTCAAGAGCAGTGTAGGGACCTTTACTGATATGAGGTACGAAAAGTTGCCGGGGCAAGAGCGCAACTCTTCACCTCTTGAGGCCCGCTTGTATAGTCTGTGATGAAATTTGGGGCTTGCACTGGATCTGGGGAAAGCTGGAGTTTAGGCTCTGTGTCGTCCGTGTTAGTGTTTGAAGGAGATGGAGAAAAAAAAAAAAAAAAAAAAAAAAAGGTTCCTGTTCCTGGCTTGCTAATTTGAAGCGGCAGCCCATAGGAAACAGTTCTGGATACCCTCTTCGTGTGTGAGACTTGCGCTAGTGCGGAACTCTCTTTGCTTTTTTTCCCTAGATCAGGCAAATACGAATCTTGCAAGCAATCTGTTCGTGTGCTCATATATTTGTGTGTGCATTGATGCAAGCACGTCCATGGTGTATTGCATCCATGAAGATTACAACTGTGTCATGAGTGAGGACGGATTCAAACTCTGCTATCTGAGCTGGCCCTGTTCCTTTGGCTCGCAACCTGGTACGGAGACGTGCCTCCGATTTGGGCTGTCCTCAGTAAGTTATGGATGTCTCACCAGGCTTCGATGTTTTGGAGTGCAATTTGCCATCTTTTCCATTCCACTGACAACCACCTACTGGTTAGTTGAGCCGCCACCCACACCGTGTTAGTCAATGTTTTATAGTGGGTAGATCTGGCCCCGACTGGCAATTTGACGCTGGGCGATGAAGGCCCTGATTACAAACTGAGGAAATAATAGGTCTCCCCAGATGTGGGTGTGGTCCCGCGAACTATATGACTCTCGTCCCTTGGAAGCGAGGAGACCGGATGGTAGAACTGTGCGCCGGGGCCGGACCGAAACGCTCAGTCTGTTCGGCAGGATCGAGTATTAGTGACCACGGTTGATTTCTTGCCTTCTCTAGCACATCGTCTGATGTACGGAGTAGCCCCAAGATTCTCCGGTCAAGGTGGCTGGTACCCTGATATTGGGCTCGCCAATGGGGTTCCGAGCAAGCTAATTGGTGTCGATCGTGTGTTCCTGGGTTGGCCAACGGGCCATCTATCCGTATGGTGCTGATATTGAGGGCGGGGATGTAGAGCCAATTCAAAGCTCACAAGGGGAGCGGCTGCAGGGCGATGATGTATTGACGGACCTTGCAGCGGCGGAAGTAAAATTTTGCGGGCATATTCTCCGTTGACTGTGGGGGAAAAGCCGCCATCAACCTTGGGCTTGGTCGGGCTACGAAGTTGGCTGTGAAATATCATATCATTTTCTGTGCGGTGCCTCCATGCGGAATGCATTCGTAGGAGCGCCGCCCACCGTGATAGTACCCAGGAAGCCAGTACAGGAGGACGCTTGATTTCTTCTTGGCTTGCTAGTAGTAGTGCAGAGCGAGCGGTACGGTTCCTGCTAGGCGTGCCTTGCCTTGCCTTGCCTTGCCTTGCCTTGCGCTGCGTTGCTGAGCGGATCACGGTGCAGGAGCGGAGCTGATATCGATGGAGCTTAACGGAGAGATGCCGGCTTAGATGATTAGAGGGCCAGCAAGATCAGAATGGTGGCACTACCCGACAGAGGCCGGCGGCGACGTTTGGGATGGGATTAAAACGGCAAACGGCAAGCGGGAAGCGAATGACACGACACGACGCCCACTGCTACAGGTGGATTTTTTTTTTTTGGAGGGAAGGGAGTAAACTGAGAAGTGAGAAGTGAGGTGGGAAGTGGGAAGTAGGAGGTGGGAGGCGTGAGGCGTGCGGCGCGAGGCGTGAGGTGTGAAATGTCGCGAGGTGTAGGGCGTGAACATTCAAGGTGCGAGGCTCGAGTTGCTGGGTTCCAAGCTGCCAGGTTGACTAGCACTTGCGACTCGTTGCTGGACCCACGCCACCCCTCCAAGCCACCCCCCTTAACCAGGTAGATCCTCGACTCTCGACTCTTGACTCTCTCGACCAGACTCTTGACTCTTGACTCTTGACGCTTGACGCTTGACTTGACTTCTCGCAAAACCTCTTCTTGGCCTGGCCTTAACTTTACCATACATGGGACATGGACCTCTTGTCTCTGGCTACTCCCTGCACCCCGTCCCATCCCATCTTCCATATCCGAACCATCCCATCGAGTGGGCCCGCGTCGTCAGTCCACACACACATCCACCTTGTCGTCCACATCTCGTCCACCTCTCGTCCACTGCCAACTATCCACCCCGAGCTCTTTCGCATCCACACTGCTCAGTTTAGCATACCTAGGTACCCAGGCACAGCTGGGATACCTAGTCGCACGAACGATCTTTGTTCTCTTTGTACGATGCATCCCAGCGATAGTCACTCCCAGGCGAATGGGGCATCGTACAATACGTGGATGCTGAATTTGAGGCGGCAACTCCCAAGCTTGTACCTGGATTCCTATATATCTACTCGACGAGCTCTTCTCCCTCTTGCCTTTTCCTCCTTAGATCAGCTGTCAGTTGTCGGATGGTTCGAGTTCGAGGGATGACGAAACAAGGCACTAGATATCCAAAACATCAAACCTATACCAGCGATAGTTCCTGTGGAGTCTTGTCTGCCTGCCCTCCTTGATCGACTACCATCGAGACTTGTTGGCTTTTCGCCCATCTCTGCGCCCATTCCTTTCCCACACAGGCTGGACACACCATCTGTCTCTCGGCCTCTCTCGCTCAGCACCACAAGGTCTCTCGATCGACTGGGGTTGATCTGCACCTTGGGTTGTCTCACCTCGGTCGGCATATTCCTCCACAACTCATTCCACCTCAACAGTATATCTTCAGGGGCGTCCGTCCTCTTTTCGTTGAAAAAACATTCCCGACCAGAACCACTCCTTGTCTGCTCTCAGGTCATTTCTACCTTGCTTTATTCTGCATACCGTTCTCAACATTGCCTTGAGTTATCGGTTAGCATTACTTAGACCTGTTCTCGAGCGTGCAAGCCGAGAATAATTTCACTCCTTTTACTCTCTTTTGCAAACGGCAACAACAGCAACAGCAACTATAACAACACCACCACCACCAATAGTAACACGCAACAATCACAGCAACGCCTACTACTATCATCATGCAGTTTGAGTCGGACTTCCGGTTCGATATGGACGACAGCTTCAGCATGTGCAGTCAGACCCTGCCCTGCCCTTCAGCTGGCTCAAGCTTCTCATCAGCATCCTCTGCGTACGAGCCTTTTACTCCTACATCACGACGATCCACACCAAATGAACTCAGCCTGGATTTCGAGGGCGCATACAATCCCTTTGCTACTCACCACAGTGAGCTTACCTCACCTTCTGGTCACATGTCCAAGTATATGTTTGGAGGTCCTGTCAAGGGAGAACCAGAACACATGTCATTTAATGAGGCGATCCCAACAACTCCCATGAAGAAGTTGGATGGAATGGTCACTCCGGACTACGACCACATGCTCGAGATGAACCTGGCATCAAGACACTCCATTGGATCTATTACACCTTCAGGATCCTTTCCTATGTACACAATCTCACCGACGACAATGGGTCCTACTTCGTTTATGATGACACCAACCCACAGCCTATCCGGATCCGAGATTGCCGAGTCCACATCATCATGGTCATGTTCAAACGAGAGCCCTATCTCTTTCTTCCCCCAGAAGGGCCTTGGCCCTCTGGAGCTTGAGGGGTTAGATATGGACAGACATCCTCAGTCTCCTCTTGGTACCTACCACTTACATGCACCACCTTCTCCCGGCCGATTGCGCGCCCATCGAAAAATGATGGTGCATGAGATTCAACGAAAGACCAATGAGTTGCAACGTGCCCAAATCCGGGCTTCACGCAGGGTATCTGGCAGCAAGTCAGATGGTGGCGTTGATGTAGTTCGCCGAGCCATGTGCAAATGTGACTATCCTGGATGCCACAAGGCTTTCCGCCGCAACGAACATTTAAAACGTCACAAGCAGACGTGAGTATTCCGAGTTGCCAACCCATTTACAAAACCTCACTAACAGTCAACTAGCTTCCACGGCGAGGGACCAAACCGTTTCTCCTGCGAATTCTGTGGAAAAGACCAATTCAACCGTCAAGACAACCTTAATAATCATCGCAAGCTACACGCCCGCCCCAACAGCAGGAATCGCGGCGTCGAATTCATCCCCGCCGCAGTGCCCATTATCGAACAAGAGGAGCGCAGTCGCAAGCGCAGAGCGCCACCGAAATCAAAGTCAGCCGATAAGCGGGTCGATGACTACTGATTCCACTTCTCTCCATTTGCCTTTTGCGTGTGCCTGGTTGCTAGATGATGCATACCCCCTGTCCCTTGCTCGGCATCCACTCTGTGGGGTAGATCCCGAGACCTGCAGCCCAAAGCGTACCTCGTCGTCTCGTTCAGGATAGAGGCTGGACGAGAAAAGAAACGAGGTCGATCTAATTGCAGCAGCTAATCTGCACGGCTCCACGATCGGTCATCGCTCAGTCATGGAGGATACCCTTGGAGACCTTTTCTCCTACCGTTCTGCTGCAACGGTCAACAGAGCAATCATCCTAGTGCGGCTGGATTCAATTTTGCGACACATGCACAACGACCCCGCCACTTTGACCACACGTCGACCTTGTCTCATTTTCTACTTGACTTATTTCTATTTCTATTTCTCTTTACGCAATCTTGTCACATGTTTCGGCGTATATTGGTTTTCTTTACGGGTTTCGTACTAAACTTCACGAAACTCGGCGGAATGGGGCCTGATTTTGATATCCTAGGCGGGAGAGGAGGAGAGAATTTTTCCCTTTAATTTTTCAATTTTGGCTGCATACATCATTATCACCGGGATTGGCAATGTGCCAGGGGAAGGGAGACTCGGGAGAGTGAGCCTCAATACACGGCTGCGTGGATAGCGCGAGGCCGGACATCATGTTTTAACGCTGGAAATGAATGAGGATGGTGGAAGCAACGGGAAAAGCAAAACCACTACCGGGTTCTGGACAGGTAGCCACGCTGCCTCAACGGAAGACCTGATGCTCATAATTGGTGCCATAAGTGTGGAGGTGTATTTTACGAAGGGCACCGACATAAACGTATTGTACTGTAGTATACAAACAATGTAATCTAGTCTCGACCAAATGTATTGTGCCTAAGGTTGAATCTTGGTGTGTGAGTTGTCGAATGTAGTCCAACTTGGCTGGTCTACTATTGCGCATGACGAAACCTCTTGGTGCATCAACTACATGTGGCGGGAGACTGGTAATCGTTTAGCTTCAGCCTTGCAAGTTATGGACATTGCGAGAACCAAGATTGGGGCTGTCTTTTATCAACCCTGTTGCTTCCTCAAGAATATGCTGGAAGCACAGGCCCGGGCTCTCTATAGTGTCTCAGATCTACATGTCATGGTAAACCGTATTCCGTACTTCGACCACTCATTGCCGCCGGGCAGCAGAAGAGCGTCAGGACCCATGTCGCACAACCCAGCCGGACTCCGTACCCAGCAGTAAGGAACTGATAACTACGGGTTTCATGTTACACCACGGTAGGCCGGTAACACAAGCCCAGGCAATGGGGGAAAAGGGGGGGAAGATGCTAGTATCAGGTCCAACCAAGGCACGTTTTCCAACAGCCCCCACGTTGCATCAATGCTAACCGCTTTGCCGCCTGTTTGGGGTTCAATTGGAAGACAAAGTCATCGGGTAGGTTTCAGTTTTCTCATGCATGATTAGAAACAAACTGCATTTTTTGCTTCTGTCAAATTGCGCCCCAGGCCAAAAGAAACGGGGTCTAGACAAGCGGAGAAGGGGGGTAGGCGCAAGACGGTCAAGTGGCCACTCAGATTTCGGGGAGTTGACTCCGAGTCGGTGATGGTCGTGACCGTGCGATTTATGCTAAGTCTTTTCAGGTGCAGCCCAAGCAGTATAGCGCCATAAGCTGCGAGAAGATATCCCCGTGACTGAGACAGCCTGCTCGAACTAGTTCTGGAGAAGGACGAAGACAATGAGGAAACGAACGACCCAGTCTGCTTTGGGATTCCCAATCGGCGCCCGTAGGCAACAAGTGCGAAAAGCTGGGGGTGTGCAGCAGTGTATGCATGTCCCATCGACCCGGCATTTGTTCCATTTAATTTACTTGCTTTTTCCCCGTTCTTCTTTTTTCTGACTTTGAAAATATTCGGTGATGCAACCTTCTTCTGAACCGTGGCAGATTGATTGAGTTGCTCGAGTGGCTTAAAGATGCAACTAGCGTCGTTCGTGATATTTGCTTGTTTCTGGCTATTTCGCCCAGCTTGCAGGCAACAGTGGAGAAAACGATTTTCTCCCACGCCACGAATGCTATTGTATTTGTGCGTGTGATCGAAAAGAAATGATGGTCTTAGCTCTGGCCTTCTCCCGGAGGAAAAACACCAAGGCCAAAAAGCAAAATATTGTTCAATGCTGGTGGCAAAGTCTTGCAGTTTTGCCTCATTGCGCAAGACCGGACGTAACCACTTGGGAAAAAAACCTTCCTCTAGAGTCATACCTGGCCTTATTCCGCAGCTCTGTCTCTCAGCATATTGTGTCAAACGCAGGTCCTAATGCAGCAAAGACAATGTACTCCACACTTTCTTTTGTGGCGAATGGCTCGCGTTCCTGGCCCTCTTGTAGCTGCAGAAAGAGGCGCATTGCAGGGTTTAGTGTGTTGATGTGCCCTTCCTCAAGGTGTTGTAGTGGTTTCAAACGGATTCTGCACTTGAGCCCCTTCTGGGAACTCGAAGGGCTATCATCCGTCAAAAAAGGGCATTTAAACCTGCATATGTATTTCCAGGTGCCAAACTGCCGGGCTGGCGAGAATACTCGGTACTGCTCCCACAAAGCAACGATAGTATACTTCAGTACTTAGTACAGGGTCTGTCACGGGACCACCCCCTTGGTGGCTGGCTTTTCCTCCCAGTTGAATCGGAAACTGCGGCTACACCTGACGGTGCATGTTCACAACATGAGCGTTGACGGTTGTGTCACTATTTCTCTGGCTAGTTGAACCGTCGATGGTGGCTGAGAAAATCTGGGGAACCCTGATCATATGCCATCACCCAACATGAACATGATTGTTGTCAGATGCACAACATGAACGAGACCTAGCCCGACTAGGCCCCCTGGGCGAACGCCACACTGAGAACATTGGTAGAAGAAATCTGAATGAGGACAGTGCCTGACATCTCCGCAATGGCACTTCAATTCTTCTCGGTGATTGATTGATCTGCTGTAGCAGCTGAGTCTCCCGACTTTGAGCGGCCTTCAGGAGAAGAGCCATCCAAGCATGCCGCTCCCCACCTTGAGAGCATGGACTTGAAGCTGGCTCCAGTTGGCCGACGAGCGACCGCCAGGATAGGAAACCTGTCAAGCAACGGGGTCCAGGTATTGGACAGTACGGCATCGGTGCAAGGTTAAGACCCAGACGGCCGCTTCCTCGTGGAGACGGACGGGAAGAGACGAAGGTTCCGCCCGAACTAACAGCAGTGACGGCGATTGAATCGGCGGGAGTATGTGCTCCAGGGCCGTGCCACGAACCGGCAGCAAAGATCACAAAGCGCCATCGGCCTGGGATGTCGGCGTCCTGGTCAAGGTGGGTTGCTGCCAGTCCACCTTGGCCAGAGGACTCGATGGCTGTGCTTCGGCGATCTCGCTGGATATTCTCTTTTGCGAGGGCGCGTTTGCGAGGGCGCGTTTGCGAGGGCACTTGTGGGTGCTCGTCATTCCCGAACGGGGTCAAAATTTGTCAATATGTTTCTCATCTCGAGTTGGCTAGGCATTCAGGTACGCCCGAGTCCAAGCCATCAGGCGAACTGGGGCTGGGCTAATCGTCCGCTGCCATCTCGAGTCACAATCAAAAGCATTCATCGGCCGATCCACTTAGGCGTGGGATCTATCAGACTTGATAAGTGGTCTGCGGCAGCCTCGGGAATTCGCTATCGGATGCAGAAGATGCTGGCCATAGCTTCAAATCGGACCTGTCATATTTCCGGTGGTGACGGAGGGCGGCCATGGCTCAGGGCGTGAGTGCCTCAGCTGAGCCGGGTACATCGTCAGATCATTTATTGTTGATCATAGTTTAGCTTCGCGCTTGGCCAAGAACCTGACAATTCCCCATACCTGCAGAAGTCCATGGGGACGAATTCCCATGTTCCGACATGGAATTTTGCTCCTGTAGTCGGGTCTTGTCCGTGTGCCTAACTTGTGGATCGACAAAATTCGATAGAGTCTGGTGGAAAAGCAAAAGCATGTGGATTAGATATTTGCCTGGGACATGGGTGATAGATCGGTCGATCAGTGGTTCGCAGCGTGTGGTGCTCATCTGAGTCCGGTATGGCATGGACTCATGGAGCACCGTCTTTTCTTTTGTCCTGCAGCGACGCTCAAAGTTGTAAAAATACATGGCACCGAGAAAAGTCGCCTGCATTCTAGCTGCTCTGAGCAAGTGGCCACAAGCCCTGTCGAAGGGGCCTGGCTGGTGCATAAGCTGATGCAACTCTTGCAGGCAAGACACCTCAGCCCACTTGGGCACCAGACTTGAGACGCTCGCGCTTGCCTCTTATTATTAGCTCTGTGACTGGCGGCGGTGGCCGCAGAGTGCGTTCCACTTGCCGTCAGGTGTCAACCTGTTGCGCGATTCTAGGTGCATTGCTAGTACAAAATTGTACACTTCATGCGCATCTAAAATTACTAGGTGTGGAGCTCAATAATCATTGTAAAGCGTCCTACGCAAACTACTCATGTATGGAGTAGCATGAAAGAACCAACAAGCCTTGCTACTTCTCTATGGCCTTGAAGTATTGAGAGGCGCGGTGAAAACGTCCAAAGCTTCCTCTGGCCAGGTGCTTAAGTAGGTGCCTAAAATGTCGATTTGGATTACATTGCGTAGACCCACTTTCATGCTCCGCTTTTGCATAAACCGGGTGCACAAACCAGGACTGTGTCCGAAGTGACGTAGCGCCGGGATACGTACCAGATGGATGCCTTTATGCCACGCCCCGAGCTTGTCTGTCGATGCCCCTCGTCGTCGCCCTCGCTCAAATGTCAACCGGCCATATCAGCAAGTTAACGTGTCTCTCAACAGGGTCATCCCACGCCGCACAGAGCCATGCGCCTCTGCTAAGGCCAGTTCTTCCTTTTACGCATTTGCAGTCTTATCATTTGCATTTGTTTGTGTTTGCTGCGGCTACCTATTGGCGGATGGCGAATGGCCACAGGAGCTGACGGAGGGATGAGTTTTGCGGTATTCGCTCTGTTCAAACACAGGCTGTGCCGAGCGCGACGTTGGATTTCTGTCCGACGCGAGGACTTGGCGTTTGATCCAAGACCGTCTACCGGCCCTTTCCAATACGGTCGATAGTACCTACGACCGCGAAACCGTCTAAAACGGTTGTCGAAGGGCGTTGACTCACCAGCACGCCCTGCCCCTACCACCGGACTTGGTGCATAAAGTATTGTTGATACGTTGTGGGCGTGTGGGCATGTCATTACCGTCATATCAAGAAGCTACCGCCGGAACAGATTGGCTCCTTCTGGTTGCTCCATTCTGCGACTTTGATGACTACCGCTCCTTGTGTCTGGTCAGTCGTCGATTTCGACAAATCTTTGCTCCGCGATTGTGGAACGACCTCTTGTGCTCGGTCAGACGCATTGGTCTTGATCCGGGAGATGGTGAGTGTGTAGAATATCCCAGCCACTATAGCTACAGGCAAGGAAAATGTTCTTTCCTCAGCGCCCTGGTGGAACTCAGTGTTGACCACGCGGTTGCTCAACTCTAGATTTAACTTGGTGGTTTGACTTTGTATTCAATAAGCTTGATCGGGTTGGGCGTGCAACTCGAGACCTTGTTCAAGCTCTAGACGCAAGACATTTTGCCAAGGACGCCTTCGACTTCTCATCAGACCAAAATGAAAGAAGGTTAACAAGCAGTTTGCAGCGGGCGTTAACACTGCTGCCACATGTGAACACCATTCTTCTTGACGGTCATGCTGATATCGACCACGCAGTCTTGTTAGGAACCCAATCTTTGGCAGCTCTTGGTCTGAATAATCTTCGTATTCTCTCCATTAAAGACTGCTCCTGTCAACTCCCCAACGTGTTCTTCAACACCCCACATCTCCAAAAGCTGATATATTTGGACATGTCCAATCTTCCGGGTTCGCTCATTTCGCTGCTCCAGTCGGATTTATTGCCGGCTTTGCGAATACTGAAAGTGAGAGGAAGAGAACTGGACGACTCGGCGTTGTGTTTCCTAATGAGGCGATTTGGACCTCAGCTTTGGAGCTTAGATGTGGGCAGTAACAAGATTTCAGACGATGCGGTCCAGATTTTCAAAGATTGGGGTTTGCCTGCTTCACAGTTGCGTACCAGTGACCATTTCCAAGTTGAAGGGAAAATAGTTACACAGTCTTGGGGAACAGCTGACTACGGGCACTTTCTCTGCATACAAGAGTCTGATCTTAGTGGATCTTTTTGTCACCCAGAACGATACTTTGTCGACGCCCCGGCTTATACTAGTCATGCTAACATGGCGCCGCAGGAATATCAAGTTCATAGGTTGGATGGAAACCAAGCGGTGCGAAGAGATAGTGCCGATGCTGTGAAAGAAGCAATGTCGGAAGAACACCAAAGCCGTCTAGGAACTGACGACTATCTATTTTCCACAGGCATCACTCATCTTCGTCTATCATATAACCGCCTTTCCGCCCATGGCATACAAAAACTGCTGCGTATATCCAATGGTTGTATAGAAGACCTGACTTGCGATGCCATGCCTTTGCTCCCCAACGTTGGGACTTACCGCAAGGCTTGGCCACCTAAGTCTAACCTGGACGGTATTTTGGGCGCAGCACATTTGTTCAGGCCCGTATTTTCGTCCAACCTACGTGTGCTCAGAATTCACCACTCTCTCGTAACGAATATACCGAGTTTGCAAATGGTGGGATTGTCGTCCTTGGCACGATTATTTCTGTCCGAAACGGCCATTCTACGACGTGTAGAGAGGGCCTATCCCCAAACATTCACACCGGATATGAATCCACGCCTGCTCTCTCTAACCTTGACTTGTCTTCCCCGTCGATCATCCGGGCCGTTGATCTCGCGACTGCTTCAATTCCTCAAACTACTGGCCATCCAAGAGCGCGGGATCCAAGAGGCGTTGTTAAGCGCATCGACGCGGCGCAGCCCCGGCGTCTTACAGGGTCTGAGACATTTGAGGCTAGAATTCGAACCTGATTCTATGGAAGAAGGCTTTTCGACGTCAGAAGATCTTGACCCAGAGGAATTGATGAACAGTGGGGAAAAGGTCTTTAGTTTTTTTGAAGATGAACGGATGGAGAGCTGGTCGAGATCTCGCGCTAGACAAATGCTGCATTCCAAAAGGGTGGCTGTACACAGTCCTGCAGCAGTTGATAACCAGGCGTCTGGATCGGACCGAGACAACCCAGAGTTTGTCACATATGATGCCGACTGGAGCGGCGATAGGTTTTCCATTCCCGTATGGGCAGGCCCAAATGACCCTGATGCGCCAGAAGTACTGAAAGACTACCGACGCCTGGTTCTTGAACGTCATGTAAGAGATGGCGTTGGGCCTGCAAGTCCAGCTCAGATTTTAGCCGGGGCGCCATCCAGATCGTTCATCTTTCATGTCGCGTGGAGTGCCGCGGTGATGCCCTCAGACCTGCGGCCCCCAACACGCAGTGAACTTGCTGGAATGAGTGATGTCCTCGATGAACTCAAGACATATCGTTTGAATGGACGAGCCAACTACATGCAGCATAAGGAGCTGGCGCAAATGGCTGGCCGTCATGTTTCACTGGGAGAAACACACTTTTTTTGGACTGGACGGTTAGAAGTCTCAACTGAAGCTACCCTGCCTCTGGCGCAGTCATCGCAGTACTGGAGATGAAGCCCCGAGTTTAATATGTGAATCAAGCCGTGCATGGCAACGGTCAACTGCCCCACGAAAGACGGGCTCTTTGCTAATTTGTCGGTTGGCATCTGCAAACCCTGCGGCCCTGAAAGTACCGACGCAGCGACTGGATCTTGCGATTTCCCAGGGCCAGATATTTCCGGAAGAAATGATGGCCACCATGGTACTTGTGACCCTTGGAGATGGCCATGTCTTGCGGCCATCATCGCAGCACACAACCCCAATGAATGAACAAGGCTGCAGAAGACAAATCAGGAATACTTGTCTCAGCAGAAAACTCAGAATGGTTGCATTGATGTGTTGCCTCGGAGCCCATACGATGTCGAGCAATGGGAGTGCATGTTTTCTCAGACAGGTTGACAGAGCACCCAGGTGAGACTGGTGTTGAGTGTACGGAGTAGGCAGCAAGAAATCCAGTTCCAGGCAAGCGATATCATGCAGGCGGTACGTGAGGAATGCCGCGATGGCTGTGTGGCTGGATGAGACATTGGGGGAGATGGGGATCAAGAAAGACGGCAAGCGGTTCTGTGCCGTGTCTTGGAGATAAATTTACGTACGTAGTACTACTACTACTACATACTACCCCGTACTTGATGCAGCAAACCTTTTTTGCCTTTACGTTGTCGTTGCCTCTGCTTCCCCCCAACGGCTGGGGGTCTAATCCCGGGGCCACGGAACAGGGTTGGACTTGTGTGTCTTGGAGAAATGCTGCCGTAATGTGCTCCCGGAAAAGAAACATGTTCGTTGAGATACTCTGGGCTAAAGGAAGTGAAGGTTATTTATTTTTCTTTTCTCTTTTGTTACCATGGTTTGACTTTGGGCCATATCCTCGTTGAAAGTAAACAAAGTTGATGGCCATCTGTACGACTCGCTGTTGTAAGCGGATGCACCCTTTGACGATGTGATGCGTCTAAATGACACAGTCTCTTTGCTGATCCCATCCTGTCAGTTCTCACCAAGAGAGTATTTCAGTGTGAGGAGGAAAGAGGCTAGAGAGAACTGCATTTATCTTAGTTGTGGCAGAGAGGGCATGCTTTCCCTCGGTACTTACTTGAGGCGTTCTAGATGTGGTGTAGTTGTGCTGATTTTGGCCATGTTGAAACAAAAACAGGGGACAAGGGGAGACTTTGTAAAAAAACACTATTCCTTTATCATTGACTGTTTCTTGTTGAGTGTTGCCTCCATGTTTATCTCCATCATATGTAGGGGTAGCTTGTGGCTTCATCTACGAGGCTCATGTCATCTAGCCGGCTGACAGCTCATTTAGAACAAGAGAAACGAGCTGTGGTCTTGGAGTTTGCGTTGCATCGATTCTTACCCCGTGCTGTATTAGTCAAGGACGGGTTTCTGGCATTGAGTTGTCCAGCGATCGATGCCAGGAACAACCCAAGCCGTCGATTGAGCCGGCTGCTGACAATGGACCGGACATGATTGGGCTCAAGAAATCCGCTTGTCATGGGGTTCAGGAGCCATGCCGCGAGCGCAGGGAGCGCCCGTTGCGTCGTCGATTCTGACAGACTTTGTTTGCCCAAGCCGGCGCAAACCACCGGCCGGTACAACACAAACCTCCCAACACACCCAGCTCTGAACAACCACCACCTACGCTAGCCCTCCCGTCTACACGCGCGCTATTCCATATTCCTGTGGCTGATTTAGCCCAATACCGTACGTTCGCTGCGCCACGGCGACCAGAACCCAGCGCCCCGGGAACACGCTGCTCCGGCACGGAGGAACCCAGCCTGTTGATCTCAGCCAATCCAGCCAAACGCGGGTCAATACTGAATGCCGAGTCTAGAGCGTCGCGGGAGACGCACGAGCAATGGCCCAATAGTTACGATCCTGCTGGCCGGCAAACACCACCCAGGGCTGCACAGCTATCATGGGGGGCCAAGCCGGAACACCAATTGCCGTATTGCAAGTATGCTATTAACGGAAACGGGTGGCCAATCGAGAAATGATGATTCATTAATTACGAGAGTCTGCTGTGTTTTCCTTTGCGCCGCGGCTGAAGGATGAGTGTCGCAAGACCGAGATATTTATGGCCGCCCAAGGACTCTGACTTTTGCGGCTGTGCCACCGCCGTGACAACCTGCTTGCTCCTCTGCTCTTTCTGATCGCGACGAATCCGCAAAGAAAGAAGTGGTCTGTCTGCGAGAGCGCACCGTCATCGAGACGAACATCATGAGAGGCACCGCCCTTGTCGCCGGGCTCGCGGCACTGCGTAAGCCCTCTACTGGTTTCTTCTCTCTCCCAGCCGTCAAATGTACTTGTACTGACTGCACAATGAAAAAGGTGCCGGCGCGGCCTACGCCGCAGCCACATCCTACTGCCCCGTCCCTGGCCAAGTATGCTTCCAATGGGGGGTGCCCGAGGCCGCTGCCTCCTCTGGCTCCGGCAGCGTCTACATCCAGATCCGCGCGACGACGTCCTACGAGTGGGTTGGCCTGGGCATCGGCGAGCACATGAGCGGCGCGGACATGTTTGTCGTGTATGCTGACGGCGCGGGCAACGTGACGCTCAGCACGAGACGGGGCTTGAACCACGTCATGCCCGTGTACGAGGCCAATGCGGGCGTGGAGCTGCTTGCCGGGTCGGGCGAGACGGACGGCCGGATGGTTGCGAATGTGAAGTGCGGCAGCTGCTCCCAGTTGATGTTGGGCTCGTCGAATGCGTGGCTCAGCGCGTGGAAGCATGGCGGCTCGTTGGGCTCGCGGGACCTCGACGCCCAGATCGGCTATCATGACGGGCATGCCTTGTTTTCCGTCGACTTTGCAAAGGCGACTATTTCGTCGGACCGGAATCCGTACGTCGGCGGCGGCGACGACGCGGGGAATTCTACATCTGGCTCTGGCGCAGGGCCAGCACCTGGCGGTGGTGTTGTCGTCGTGCAAGCCGACCCCATCCAGACGCTCGTGAATGCCCACGGCATCATCATGTCTGTCGTCTTCGTGCTTGGGTATCCCATCGGCGCGATGTTGATGTCGCTCGTGGGCCGATGGGCCATCCATGCAGGCTGGCAGCTCGTTGTATTCTTGGCCATGTGGGCGGGCTTTGGGGTCGGATACACTCTCGCCCGTCGGACGGACCTGGTATGCTTTCCCCCCCAGGCATCCTCGAGTTTTCGTTTTCTCCTCATACGTCTGAGCTAACGCCGGCGTCACAGTTCTTTAGGCAGTGCCATTCGCAGCTTGGCATCATCTTGGTCTGCCTCGTCAGTCTACAACCCCTCCTGGGTTACCTCCACCACCGACACTATCTCAGGCACAAGCAGCGCGGCATCATCAGCTACCTCCACATCTGGTACGGCCGCTCGCTCATCATCCTGGGAATGATTAATGGCGGTCTTGGACTGCAGCTCGCTGGTCTTACTACTGATAACCACGCCTTTATTGTTGCGTATTGCGTCGTGGTTGCGGTGGTTGCCGCTGCGTATATTGCTTGTGTCCTGCTCAAGGTGTGGCGGACGGGACGTAGAGCAGCGCCGGCGGGAAGTCCCAGGGATAATAAAATGCACAGAACTGTGTCTGCGGCCACACAGCCTTAGGGAATGTACTTGTGATGCATCACTTGTTGAAAATATGACATTATTATAGGCCCATCTTCATGACTGTATTATGTGCAGCACGTACCCAAAACTTGTTGCTGTGCCCTAGAAAACCAGCACGAAATAATAAACCGTAATCTGGAACAGGGGAATTGGTAGTAGTATATATTGCTAAACTTGATGTATTGTCCGTCGTTATATTTTGATGCAGCGACGAATCGATCATATCGTAGAGCCACTGTATACCACTAGATGGGCCTGTTATGTGCCATAATCTATTGGGTACTCCGATGCACCCAGTACGATATCGGTCCTATTTCAGAAAGATTCGGTCTCCAATTCATACAAAGAAACCGTACGAGCAAGACGCCGATTGCATCAGGTGAAGCTCGATGTTGCATTCAACGAGTCGACATTATGGGGCCGAAATGATGTCATTTCCAAATCATATACATACATATATGCTTATACTGTAAGAGAGTTTCTTCAGCGGCAGCTATTGTTGTCATTATCGAGATTAGGCGCGACGAAGATGTGGCCGTCCATGGAGCCGTGGATGGTAAGAACGCCAACCAGGACCCAAAGCAAAGCCGCAATGCACAACGTGGCCTATATAACAAGTTAATTCGCCAGTGCCTCTGATTCAATTCAGCGAAAGCTTGCGCTATTGTTGCACATCTGGCGGACGGACGCCACACTGCTGTTATGGAGGGTAGTTTGGCCATGAACATGCATGCTGGCCATGTTGTATTAGCTTACGGAAAAAGAAGTGTCAAATAGCCAAGATGTAGCTGAAAAGCCCAACTTACTTGAGGAACGGCACCAAATAGCATACTAGGACGGATAAAACAGTGTCAATCCAACACAGAACCCGGTACGAGGAGGCCAACTTTATTGTGGTGGGTGAAAGGGGTTTCTTTGTGGGCGAAATACCATTTCGAGAGCCCAGTTACCCCACGCTGGTACACAAACAAGTACAATCATTATAATAATTGTAGCAACTCCACGGGTATAGCACCCAAAAATAGAGACACAACTGGGTGTTGCATCATGTAATTGCCCACAGTCCTCGTCAATCGTTATGATGGAAATCAAGACAAACGGCAACACATTCAGCGCGAGTATGACGAGCGATATCCAGTATAAATTCGTGTTGCCAAGTGGGAGGCTGTGGAGCAGAATGGACACGATGCCCGTGCCCTTGTTGGTGAACCATCTTTGAGCCTCCGCTTGTTAGTGACGGTTGGTGCCATGAGTCGCCGAAGGAGTTAGCTTACAATGGGGTGGAAGCCTTGACAAAAGCCGTGGATCAGCCGTTGACGCTTGAAGTTGAGGTTGGGGCTCGATCGTCTGCGCCTCCTTCTCTCGTTCCAAAGCTGAGGCCGGCTGTGAATCTCTGATCAAGTCTAGCTTTGGTAAGGGGTTCGTGACGCAGGCGCCTCGGGCATTGTGGCAATTCTATCCAGACTTGAATAGACTGAATTGAAGATCGGAATACGTGATGAGCGTTTTCATGAAAACATGGTATATATTGAAACCAGCACTTTGAAAAAAAAAAGAACCGCATAATCAATATTGTCGTCGCATCGTAAGACGATTCGGCGTCTGCTTTCACAATGTTTGTGATGTCAGGCCATATGGACGGAAGGCGCGACCGACAAGCGGTGCCCGTTTTGGCCGGAGGCCGCCCCACATTTATGCGTCATTTGCCCAGTCAGGTCATGATGGCCAAATGCCGCGGTGTTTGAACTTAAATCATGACAAAGCCTCTATATCTGACGACTCATTCGACGAACTGAGACTTCTACAAACCACCATCGATATTGATCTGAATTATTCAATAGGATACCTCAAACCATTGCGATGCCAAAGTTGGGTCAGCCGGAGCGGAAGGCAGGTCGCGGACCTGTCAAACTAGCATGTCTGGCTTGGTTCGTTCTCTCTTTGTAGACTGAGGTCAGGCCCGGTGGCTTGTATCAGCCTTGTACTAACAATTACATGACAGTCGCGTATCGAGGATTCGCTGCGATGGGGACCAGCCGTGCCACGGGGTGCGTCGAAGCCATCATGGCTATTCCTCAGTGTTTGCGTTGTTCAAGACGCTAATTTGTGGACGCTTTAGTGTCGAATTCGAAACCGGGAATGCTCATACACGCCTAGTCGCCGAGGAGGCTCACGCAAGAAGAGAAATGTGGCTGCGAAACCTACTTCCAATGAACAACCTGATCTCGGTAAGTGCTTATCAAGACTGATAGCTCATCCATACTCGGGGCGTTTATAACTAATCTCAAATTGCAGCTTTCCCTTCTCCTCCTCTGAGCGAGATTGATCACCTCACCTCACCTGGCGCGGGACTAAGGCTGCTCTCATTTGATGAGTTGGATCTGCAGAATGGTGCTGGCAGTCTCGGAACCAGTGAATCTGGAGCTGAGGACTTTGTGCAACACGCTGTCAGAATATATGACAGTGAGCAGGCTATGTATGTGTACCATTGGCTGCGTCTTGTCACCAACGCACCGGAAAGAACCTTGCTAACCCCTGAACAGATTGAATGCCTACTACATTTACCTGCATCAGTACTTTCCAATCCTCCCGCCTCCCGTTCGGCCTGTTACCCCTGATAATCCGATACGGATCACGAGTCTTGAGGGATGCTTTCCTCTGAGTTTGACTTCGCCGCTGGCCCTGGCTATATCAGCCATGTTGGCTCTGATCCCCTTTCCGGACCAGGAACCTACGCCCGTCATGTCAACCGAGGAACCTCTCAGAAGATCAATAGCTCATAAACTGGCCCAATTGGCTTTGGAATGTGTCGAGTCCGACTCTGAACTCATTGACGACACTCCTGGTGGCCACCCAAGTCCAATTCCTTTTAAAGGCCAACCAATCCCTCGCTTTCCGTTACATCCTAGAACTCCAGTGATGCTTGAAGGACTGCTTGCACTACTGCTGCTAAGTAACTATGAGCATACTCAAAGAGGAAATATGCTTAAAATGACTACAAGAGCTAGTCAGGCCTTAATCATGGCAAGAAATATGTCTCTCCATCAATTAGACGGTTTTGAGGACGAATATTCTGAAGCCAAAAGGAGAGCCTGGTGGATGAGTGTAGGTTTTGTATCCAAGGATTCATTGTGGGCATTTTTACTGACATAGCACAGTATTTTCGAGCCCAACTGTGCTCCGTTGTTCGACAGAGCGTAAGTCGTGTCTCTGTTCCTCGATTGCTCCCGATTTTCCGCTTCCCGACTTGCTAAAATGACCGCTCAATAGGCATCCGTTATCATGGAGGATGATAGTCTCTACACCACTCCATATCCCACCATACAAGGTGATCCCGAGGTGAGTCTTGACTGCTACATAGTCATGTTCTAGTAGGCACTAACTATAATCTCGCAGGTCTGGCCGTTGTATATCGCGTCTCTTCAGGTGTCTTTCGCGACTGTTCGGCTTGCAGCAGCCGGAGTGCCGCCATGCGCAAAGCCCGACCCAGACTTACTTCGTTCAAAGTCTGAGAAAATAGCAGCACTGGATGCCCGAGCCGTACAATTGATTGAACGTGCCAAGACTGGCCCGGGATCCAAAGGGTACCCTACCAACGACGACCCAGCGAGCGAGCCGCTTGTTTCCAAAACGATGCGCAGTATTGCAGCCATTAGGAGTTCCAGGTATGACTGTTGGAAGAGAGGAAATAATCCAACTTGACTAGACCCCGGCGCCTTCAGCCGATACTGACATGAGCTTGTCATAGTGCTAGAATTCGACTGCATAGATATCACGCATTTTCCGATATTCCTTTATTTAGCATGAACCATTGCGACTTGAGTTCTCCAGACTTTGTTCCCGACACGGACAATGTCATTCCACAGACCAACCCGCCCGAGTCATCGCCTTTCACATTTGATGAGGCTGCGGAGGTGTGCGTAGAATCGGCGTTGGAAGTATCTCGGCAACTGAAGAAGCTACCGTACCCTGACAAGACCCTTACTACTGTCCCAGCTCGAATGACCCCGACAATCTTGTGCTGTGCAATGCATGCCAGCTACGTAATGATGATGCAGTTCTATCGACTGTATTTGAGGCATCAACAAGAGTCTGGCGACATGATGACGACGAGCTTCGAGCGCCGAGTGGATGAACTCCGCCACGCTCTGCAGGACGTTATAGCAACTTTGGACGGATTTGCAAATGTGCTGGAAGCTATTCGCGGAATGAAGAGTAAGCATACCTACGATGCTTGCAAAATTGTGACATCGCTGTGAGCTAACATATTATCGCAGTTGATGTGGAAGCCGTTTTCACGGTTGCATTCTCCGACATGATGACCTGATCCATCGCACAATCGCAACACGTCCGAACTTGTATTTGTATTCCATCCGCATATCTTTGTGTAACTGAACCTGGCGTTGTTGTCTCTGGGGTAGGGGCTTTGCCTTGGTGGGCTACATCATGTTACTGGGAATATCTCAAAATTTACTATTCAGGTTGCTAATTGTAATCAATATTGGTGCATATAATCTTGAGGCTTCTGAGGGGCGAGCTATTCTTGCAATTGACAACCTGCCTCTTATACGATTCCCTCTTTGTGTATCTCGCCTTCATTGTGCTCAAATTAACGAATGGAGTTGGAATGAGGAATGCGACTCATGGCTGCAAACTATCACCGCAGCGGATGGGGTGAAAGGAGCGCATAACATTATGCTGAATAAGTTTCGAAGTGCTACATTGCACACTAGGCTTAAATGGAAGCAAAGAGAATGAAGCAAGGCGTTTGAAACAATCCAGACGGCGTATGCTGCGAATTTTTACAATAGAACGTTGGTGTGGATTACTAGACGCTGGTTGTCCACAAAAAGTGGCACAAGGCCTCTCTGGTCGCACTCAAACTTTTGCCAGTCATGTCAGGGACCAGCATTGAAACAAAATAAGTTTTTTGCCTCACTGCACCCATCTTGCCAAGTTTGCAATTTCCACCAAATACCCTCTCTCTTCCAAACTCCTTTTCGTGTTAGCAATTACTTTCAAGCAAACGCATACATCCCGAGCCAGCGTCTTGAAGCGACACAGAATGGCATCGCAGTCGAGCAAAACGTACGCCCAAAGAGGCCACGCGCATCAGCACCCCGTTGCGCGGAAGTTGTTCGAAATCGCCGAGCTCAAGAAATCCAACTTGGTTGTCTCGGCTGATCTCGAGGAAACGGAAAGCTTGCTCCAATGCGCAGATGGTTCGTTCGGGATGAGGCCGACTTGAGAAGAAAAAAAAAAGGCCGGGAAGCTGATGCAAGCGACCCGCAGATCTAGGCCCGTACATCGCCGTGTTCAAGACGCACATCGATGTCGTGAGAGACTTTGGCGACGCCACGATCCACGGTCTCAAGACGCTGGCCAAGAAGCACAACTTTATGATATTCGAAGACCGCAAGCTCGTCGACATTGGCAACACGGTCCAGAAGCAGTACCACAACGGAGCCCTCCGCATTTCCGAGTGGGCCGACATTGTGAACCTCAGCATCCTCAGCGGCGACGGCATCGTCGACGCTCTCACGCAGACCGTCACGGACCCTGGCTTCCCGTTCCGTGGCGAGCGCGGCTTCCTGCTGCTCGCGGAGATGACGTCCAGGGGAAGCCTGGCGACGGGCTCGTACACGAGCCAGTGCGTCCGTCTGGCGCGCCGCCACCCCGAGTCCACGTTTGGCTTCGTGGCCACGCGTGCCCTGACGGCGGTGCAGCCCCGGGATGGCGGGCCCGACGAGGACTTTGTCGTCTTCACCACGGGGATTAATCTGGAGAGTCGTGGGGACAAGCTCGGCCAGCAGTACCAGACTCCCGCGGAGGCGGTTGGCCGGGGCGCCGACTTTATTATTGCTGGGCGTGGCATCTACGCGGCTGGGGATGCGGTTGCCGCGGCCAAGAGGTACAGGGACGAGGGGTGGAAGGCATATCTGCAGCGAGTTGGCGGCTGATGATGGTGCCCTGTCTGGAATGTTCTGCGCTTTTGACTAGGAGGAAACAAGAGGAATACACGGGTCTCGCTCTACGTCTTGAGTCTGATGGCCGCCTCTTGTATTCCGTATTCCGCAACAGGAGACGGTGATTGCCCGCTTCAGTGATGTCGATAATGCGTAGATACTAGGCATCATGGCATGCCGGAAGCCATTGGTTTGTCATTCCGTGATGAAGTTAAGCAACCATGCACGCCACGGCGGATCATGGCCAATCTCGTGCTATTCGGCCTTATGACAGAGCTGATTGGTATCGCAGAAGTTTCTGGTAGATGCTTTATCAAATATCGTCCTGGCGAGCATACGCACCAGAGATTACTCGGTACAACAATGAGCAACGGGACTCGGGTCTGCTCTCTACTCCCACGGTAGCCTCCCGTGCGCTAAACCTTACGGAATAAGACTAAATTCGTCACTGGGCATTACGGGACCGAGGCTGATTTTTCCCTTTATTTTCTTTTCTTTATTTTCCTGCAATATTCGTTGCATCTCTGTGGGCTATTACACATCGTGTCGACGTCCCAATGCAGCACGCGCCAAGATGCAGAGGATGCAGATGAAACCAGGCCGGCAGTTACTGGAATTATCGCAGGACCAGGATCTGGCAAGGGAACGCAATGCGAACGAATATGCCAGTCCTTTCGGGTCGAGCATATCGGCATTGAACATTTGTGCGCTGACATGGATCGTCGAGACAGCCCAGATGCGGCTACCATCAGACAGAATATGCTCGCCGGGACTATTGGACCGAGAGAAATCACAATCAACGTTGTCGGTTCACATTTGAAAGAATCCACCAAACATGGAGCACGCGCATTTGTCCTGGATGGTGAGCTCGGCGCCACACGCTACACTCTTCGAGAGTGGAAGCATTGAGGTTATTTTGACGGTATGGGCTTGGCTTTCCGAGAAGTATCGACCAGCTGCAACTTTTCGAGAGCGTGGTTGCTTATTTGAAGCTTGTTTTCCTCTTGGAATGTTCCGAAGAGACCATGATCGAGTGGCTTTTGTCTCGAGGGCGGGATAAATAGCCCTGAATACGGCCAGAAGCCTGGCTGTTTTATCGTGTCGCGAACATGCTTCCTACTGCAGGTACAATTGCAGCAGGAGGGTATGAATGGGCTGGGAATAAGCAAGTTACAGCGTGCAGATGTAAAAAAGCTGTCAATGCTTTGACCAGACCCGTGGGGTAAACATTTTGCCCCTCAACCCTCCAACTGCTCTGCCCCTCTACCCCTCCACCCCTCCACACCTCAACAGCCAGCAATGACGACAAACCCGAAGTCCATTGCCGACCCGATTGAGCCCGATCCATCGGATCCACTGCCACTGGCGGATGAAATATCCAGGTCCATGATGAGTCTCATCTTCAACAGCATCATAACGGCCAATTGCCATCCTCCCTCCATATCCAGCCCGATTTGTACAACTGTATTCACGTACTCAACCAACCCAAACTCATCCAGCAAACCTCGAGCTCCATCAAGCCGTCACAATGTCTCCTCCCGGTATCTTGCTCGTAACCATGACCCCCAAGCCGGGCCTCTCACTCAGTCAATTCCACGAGTGGTACAATAATGAACACGGTCCGACTCGTCTGCGGCTTCCCAAAATATTTCCCAATGGCCTTCGCTATAAAGCCACTTCTGATGACCAGCCTGCCTTCATGGCAGTATACGATGTCACGGCAATGAACCACCTTGAAACGGAAACTTACACTACCCTGAGAGAAAACCGCTCCAGCCGCGAAGCCAACACTATTGGCCAGGTTGACGTCAAGCGTTACTTTTACGATCTGCTCTACACCAAGCAATCGCCTCTCTTCACATCCATCGAGACTCTGACAGACGAGGAGGCCGAGGGCATAGTTACCGTGGCCGTGAGTATCACTGTGTCCGAGGCCGACGGAGCAGGACACCAGTATCAGAAGTGGTTTGTCCAAGAGCACGCCGAGTTGATTTCGAAAGTGCCCGGCTGGCTGCGATCGCGGCTGTTCAAGACGTCGAGTCTAGAAGACCCTGGAAAGGTCGTGTATTTCTGTTTACACGACTACACAAAGCAGAACGGCCTGGGAGGCGCGAAGCATAAAGCTTCTATGGATACGCCATGGCGCACAGAGGTGTTCAGCAAATATGTCGTCTCGAAAGGCCGGCAAACGTGGTCTCTGTTCTATGTATTCGGATCTGGCCCTAGAGACCTTGCCTCGTTATCAGAACTGCCCGCCTCTGCGGCCTTTACGTCCACTGACGGGAAAACCACAACCACGCCCGGTTCCGACCCTGTCATATCGTCATACGTCACAACCAAGGACTCCCTGAACATTCCCTACCGCCTCGAAGGCAACCCCTCTCCCACCGCTCCCACCGTCGCGTTCTCAAACTCCCTTCTCACGTCCCTCCACATGTGGGATTCTTTTGTTGCTACCCTCAAAAAGAACCGGCCAGATCTTCGTATTCTCCGCTACGATACCCGCGGACGACACGCCATCCCGCAACCGCCGGTTCCCGCAACACTCGACATGATCACGGACGACTTCAAACTCATTCTAGATTCTCTCCGAATTCCCAAGTTGCATGCCCTGATCGGTGTGTCCCTGGGTGGTGCAACTACTCTTAACTTTTCCATCAAGAACCCCACTCGCGTTGGCAAGTTCATCGCCTGCGACTTCAACGCCACATCCAGCCCGGCCAACACACAAGCATGGAAGGATCGCGTTGCCATCGCGCAAGGCGACGCCGGACAGGGTATCAAGAAACTTGCCGTTCAAACCGTGGAGCGTTGGTTTCACCCTACAACCATGGAGAAAAAGAATCCCGCGCAGGAAATGACAGACATGTTGGCAGGGAATGATGTAGACGGGTTTGCAAACAGCTGCACGGCACTATGGGACTACGACATGAAGCCGGACATGAAGAGCTGCAGTGTACCTGGATTGTTCGTGGTGGGGGAAACTGATGCAAAAGGTGCAGTAGTCAAGGCCATGGAGGGATTCAGGGGGTTGTTGGGCCAGGGCGACGCCGAGTTGAGGATTGTGCCTTCAACGGGACACCTTCCTATGTTTGAGGACCCGGATGCATTCTACGATGCGGTGAAAGATTACCTATGATGTTGGGTGCAGGAAGATTTGTTTTGGAATGGAAAGGATTCCCTGCGATTTAGAATCTCAAGATGGATGCTTCATTTTATTTTGTAAAGACTAGATTTAGTACCTAGACAAAGTGGTATATCGTTCGTGCGACAAACGGCTTTCCCTTGTTTCTGGTCTACACTGTGAGAAAGTCTTATCGAGGAAGTTTGTTCTGCATATAAGTGATGAGTCTCCTTGAAAATGGCCCCACAACTTCAGTTTACTAGAGCAGGACCATGGATTGTTGATGGGAAGGAGCTGCCCTCTTCTAGCTGCGACTTGGTCATTTTTTTGGGCAACAATCGGATAATTCCATGCGTGACCAGAGAATCAGGCAGGCAGCACCCAGGCACATTGGCGATGCGGCTGCGAATCGGTCAAGGTCGAATGTTGAGGCCCGATTGTAGGGTAAGTAAAGTACGAGAGGATTCACATTGCGTATTCAGAAATCAGTTTCCTTGTTGACGGCGAAACAACACAGACATGTCATCGACACGACGTATGGTGTCGCGGGGATAATCTGATCATCCCATGTCGCACGCCCAACACGCTTCACGGTTCACTGGGTAGTCGCACCGTTCCCCATCATGCACGGCAATCGGACTGGGTATGGTCTGGGTATCGGAAACCTCGTGTGCCCTACCAGGACTTCAGGTCCAACCACACCATGTGGCTTCATGTCTAGATCGGTCTTCATGCGACTCCACCACGGCCACCTCAAGTCACGGTTGGCGGAGCGGGTAGCCACCTAGCTTCAACGGCCATCGGTGGGTGAGCCGTGTTGCAGTGGCTTGACATTTCCGCGCCTTTGCTTCTGTGGTCGCCGATCATGATGGCGTCTCGGCGACTGATGGTGTTGAACCTTGACGCATTGCTTGGTCTCGGGAGGTACCCAAGCGGCACTGAACATGTTAGAAACCGCTATATAAAGACTCGGAAAAATGTGCCCTGCTGTCCTGCATCGGTAAACCACTTCTGCACTCAAACCGTCGCGGAATTGTATTCCAACATCGCACCGCAGAAAGCGCATCATCATATATCGAACGCAACCCACATCGCACAGCAAAGATGGACCAGAAGATCACAGTTCACGATATTCATGAGCCAAATACTGGAACTTGGCAATATGTCGTCGCAGACCCGTCTACTATGAGCGCGGCCATTATCGATTCCGTCTTGGACTTTGACCCTGCCTCCGCCAGCATCAGTACGAAAAGCGCAGATGGTTTGCTCGCTTTAATTAAAGACAAGGGCTACAAAGTAGACCTGATTCTGGAGACACACGCCCATGCCGATCACCTCACTGCCGCAGCATACTTGCAGGACCAGCTTGGAAAAAGTCAAGGCTCTCGACCCGAAATAGGCATTGGCAAGCGCATAGCCGAGGTGCAAAAGCGATTCGGGGATCGGTACGGCGTCAAAAAGGACGACTATGAAAATGCTTTTGATAGGCTATTTGAGGACGAGGACGAGTTCAAGATTGGTAATATGAATGCAACTGTGCTGTACCTACCTGGCCACACGCCAGACCACGTTGGATACAAGATTCAAGGCAGGTCGCAACTCAGTCTCGAGGTACTCCTACTGCTAACTCTTGAGTAAAAGACAACATCTTTTGCGGCGACTCCCTTTTCAACGCCGACGTCGGTTCCGCGCGCTGCGACTTCCCCGGCGGCGATGCGACGCAGCTGTATAACTCGGTGCAGAAACTGCTCAGCCACGGACCGCATGTCAAGATATGGACTGGACATGACTACCCGCCCGAGGCCAGGGCTGGTCGTGCCATCTCGGCCATGACGGTCAGCCAGCAGCGGGAACAGAACAAACACCTCAAAGACGGGACCTCGCAGGACGAGTTTGTGACTTGGAGGAGCGAGAGAGACGCCACCTTGAAAGAACCGCGCTTGATTCACTATGCTTTACAGATTAATATCAGGGCAGGACGACTGCCGAAGCCGACGACAACGGGCGATCGATTGGTTCATGTACCGTTGAAAAGTCCATTTTAGTTGAACATGCAAGACCTTGCTGATGATTGTCGTGTAAACTGTTTGTCGCTGGGTATGGCACCGCATTTTGGGTGCGTGTAAGTGACGGGGGCAAATTCCACTCTATGGCACTTTGTATTATGCATACCTTTTGGTTCACATGTACTACACGATGTGCTGGACGGTGTTTTACAGACATGGTTTGGGTTCCTCTGCACTACATCTCACATGGCTCGAGCAGGCAGTGCCTGTTTGACTCTTGGCGCAAAGACACAGGACCTAAGCCCGGCAGATGCCAGTGTATTGCGTGCAATTATTTTTCCATGTCATCGTTTGAGCCATGTCAGCCAATGCCCTGCTTTGTCAAGAGCGAAAAGGACAAGAGGTGGATATATTCGGACAATAATCGGGGTGGCTGGATCGATGAGTGCGACGCTTTTCTCATCAAACAGTACAAAACATGCCACGGCAGACTTTATTGAGCTTCAGCTTGAGGAGTGGTGGTTGTGTTGAGTCAGAAAGGTGGTAATTGAAGGTTGTAACTTGTTGGTCCACGATGGTTGCTTTTTCTAGGGCTCAAATTGGGGCTTGGTTGAGAGTCACAGCAGGGCAACCGGCCTTCAGGGTTCTAACAGGGCATAAAATGGGTCAATTTCCTGCACTTGTGGGTTTTTAGGGCCATCAAGGAAGTTCTGTAGTCATCATCAATACATGTATCAGAAAATCTGCCCAATCCCTCTGAATGTGCGCAGGTCCAATTTTTGTAACGGGCCAGGGTTCTTTCTAGCTAATAATAAGTAACTAAGATTTTAAAAATATATAAGTATATAAAAATATATTAGTTTATTATACTTAATAATAAAGTATCTTTAAGTATTATAAAAGAAGTGGGTTGAATATCAATTGGACCTGCGCACATTCAGAGGGATACAGGCGCCCGTAAGCCTCTTGAAATACCTTTACTCCGCCGTGTAAATTGCTGTTGTTTTCCCAACACACCAGACCCAACAGGTCAACGGTCGCACCTGCCAAAGGCGGGGCATGGGGGACGGCGAGGCACGGGCCTCTGTGCACTCGAGGCCAGAGAGAGGGAACCCAGACCCGTGATCCATCTTTTTTCCGTGCCAATCGGCTTTTTTGCTTCTGCTCACAAGAAACAAAGCGGACTTGACATGACGGTGTGACAGACGCGGTTGGATTGGGCCGCACCCCCGCGCAAACCACTGACGACACAAACACACGCATGGGCTGTTCCCGAGAAACGTCGTGCAAGCCGCTTGATTACCCCGGCGCCCATTGGCTCGTCGGTCCTGAATCAACAAGCCATCCGTCCGTTTTAGCGTCGGCAGCGTTGCTTCCGCCGCGCGGGAAGGCGAGCATCCGGGGATGGAACATGGAAGTTTCCACAAAATCCAGGACAAGGACCGAGCACGCGGCTTTGCGCTGGTGAGACCTGCTGTGACAGCATTGATGTTGGGTTGGGTGATTTATTCCCCGTGTTTCCCCACACAACCTGTCATTGCTGGAATCGCCCCTTTTGGAAATGGTGAGTGGAAAGTAAATCTTGGTGACTTTGCCATGGACTGATATTGAGGAAATTAGATGTGTTGCGAGCTGAGTATTCGTTGTCGTAGCTGTGGCTGAAGGACTACTCTGCGTCTACTCCGTACGCCAAGTCATATATGTCACGAAGCGTTGGCGTCAAATGCGAGCGGATGGTCGGCTAGACACCAGCCAACGCCAAGCAGCCCTACTAGTACAATCTCAAGTTGTAAGACATATGTGTGGCCTTTGGAATCATATTGCTCAGGAGACACTAGTGTCAACTTAGCTCATCCTCGGCTCTGAACTGGCGGCATCATGAATCATGATGCACCTGCGCCACTACTATGTTTGGTCGTACTGTACAAGGAATATCGGTGAAGGAGGATGGTCTTTGTTCAAGACAGCAAGCGTCTCGATAGAGACAAAGGACAAAGGCAGCGAGCTGTCAGGTTTCGTCTACACCACCAACCGTCAGCTACATGTCGGTATCGTCAAAATACTTCAGCCAGGATCCAAAATTGGAGGTCCGAGACGCAAGACCAAGGGAGCCGGTCAGACCATTCGGCCGACTATCCTAGTTGTTCAAGCCATGTCCCATTTCCCAGGAGGCAGAGTCCTTCCGCGTCTGAGGCAAAGACATGTACGCATATGCCACCACCTTGGCGTGGCAAGCGAAATTCCAGATCAGGCAACGAGAATGTAGGTCACTTAGTTCCAAAACCTCAACCTAGTCGTAGCGTAGACTTGAACGTCATGAACGGCTCGCACAAAGGCAAGCATGGATTTGCCCGGCCCCTTGTTCCACTCTCGGTCTGCCATATTTGAAGGGGCGTGGCAGCCACCTACTCGTCATGACAACAGATGGCATATGTCCCGCCTCCCATCTCCCAGTTCCATTCTCTATCTTCACACTCTCTCTGAAAGGCCATACCCCAAGATCAACGTCGTCCATATTGTGTCAAAGACCAAGGTCAACCAAAAGATCACCAACTCAGATTCTCTTTCCAATCATTCAGTCATCATGCAGTTAAAGAATGTCATGTTAGCAGCGGCAGTCACCTTCGTGGACGCTCAGCGCCCCAAGGACCAAAGCATCTGCGACTATTACACGACTGCGTTGCTAAAGACGAACAACGCAACAAACCAGGCTACGTTGCTGACCCTATTAGTAAACACTGTCGTTATTGGAAATTGTAAGAGCCCTCTATTCCATTTCAGTCTTCTCAGTTGGGCGCTAATCCGAGCATATAGACACCATGCCTAACCACAATGCTGTTCCTGGCATCCTCGCCCCCGGCGAGATTGACGGCAAAAAGGTCAACCTCGCTCCTTACTTTAACGGCGGTCTTGCCTCAACCAATACTGGTGGAAAAATGGGCGAGTCTGTCAACTTTCTAGACGGCGGTGGCGCAGCAGTAAGTCGAGCGTTCTGGCAATACTCAACTGGTGAACATGTGCTAATGATTGGAAAAGCCCCTGAAAGAGAACAAGCCCGCCAATGACAAGACAAGCCATCAGTAGTATGTACATCCTTCACTGCTGCTCCAGGCCGCGCTGACCCCGTGAAAAAGCTTCCTCCTCACGCATCTATACGAGTTCTTTGGAAGCCTCACAGGATGCAGCATGCAAGGAATGGCCGGATTTGACGCGTACAACGGGCAGGCCTCGATGGCAGAGGTCCACAAGTTCATGGGCCTGGGAAAGCCAGAGATGGATTACTTTGTGACGCAGGTTGGCCTTGCAGCGGCCTCCTTTGGCGTCGCCAAGGACGACATCTCCGCCATTGCCGACTCGCTCAACTCTGTTTTCAACGTTGCCTGCGGGCCGCCCACCACTGTTGTGAAGGCGCAGGGTCCCCAGTTGCAGTCTATCTGTATTGACCAGTCGACTTGTCCCAAGGCTGCGAAGGATCCCATGTGCGACATGTACGCTGCTGCTGTTAAGCCGGGCAACGCGACGGGCACCATGATGCCTTCTGGTAGTATGAGCGCGACGGGCACCGCGTCCGGGACGAATATGCCGAGTGGAACTGGTTCGGCAGTCCCGACTGCTGCTGCGGCTGTGAATGGATATAGCGTTGTGGCTGTTGTTGCTGGGCTGGCTGCTTTTTTTGTGTAGATGGAATGAGGCACTGATGAGATGTGGTTCAAGGGGGGATGAGGAGATGTTGTTGAAATAATTGAATTCTGTAAATCTTGTGCAATATATGAGTAATCACTGACCGTAGCATTGAGCATGTTACAACGGATGATGATAAATATTTTCTGCGTGACAAAATACTCTGAAAATGTGTTTGCATCTCATCTGAGGGTATCATTTTGAATGTCACCGGACTATATGAGAGAGAGTACACAACAAGGCAACTGCGTACAATCGCTCCTCTGCGAAAAGGGGTTAGCCGCAACTTGGATGGCAGGCTATATATTGAATTTAGTTAAACCAGCTAGATTATTAACATTAGTCAAGTTAATAAATGACGAGACTTTTAGAGTTTTAATTCAAATAACATCTGAATACGGAAATGGCTGTAGGTGTCATGTTTTAGGGTCGTCACTTGGCGTGGGAAAAACTGCAGCAAATAAAGCTAGACACACAAATTTCCAGTCTTGTTGAATTCCATACATCTGATTTATCCTAGAAACCTCTGTTTTCTACCTGTATGGTGCCTCCGCCGCCGGACCGAGTAGGTAACCCCCCGTGGGAGGCAAAAAAGCTCTCGGAACGGCCTTGTACCATGAATAGTCCGTCTCCCAAACCCAACACGTTCCCAGACCCTTGTGGCAAACCGTCCTGACTGATCATTTCACGGTGGGCAGCTATCCAGCTGCAAAACCGAGACCTTTTCCTGCCATTGCGAGGAGATCCGCTTAGGCTTTCTCTGTCTCTGTCTGCTTCTCCTCATCCCGCCGTTTCTCTAGGCTGTGTTTGAGAAAAAACGCGAACGCGATGGCGTCTTTCGCATTTTTACCATTCGCAGTTTTCTCGAAAAAAGGTAGAAGCTTTTCTATGAGTTCTTCAACCTCGATGCTATCCTCGATGATCGCTTGCACCGCGGCGAGATGCATATCGAGAAACGCATATGTTTTTTCAAATGCTTCCTCAGCCTGGGCTGAGGTTTCGAGGCCGTGTAAAAACGTAGTGACTTCAGTCGCAATGTAAAACGCAGCCCCGAGCTTTTCACTCCGCAGCTTTTTTAGAAATAGATCCATGTCCCCCAAGGCAGCACCCTTTGCGTGAGCTAGCATTTTCTTGGTCTCCTTGATAGTCTTGGCCTGTTCCTTCGCCTTGGATAAACTGAGCTCTTTGACACGCTTCTCGGCGTCGAGATCCTTTTGCAGTTTTGCTTTCATCGATTTCAAATCGTCCACTTCAATGTTTAGATCTTTGATGGCTTTGGTGAAGGCACTCGTCCTTTCGGCTGATTCCAAGTTTAACACTTGATCTTTGAGCCTCTGTATAGTTCTCGATTGCTTTGCGTCTTTGGATTTGTAGTAGTCCCTCGATTGCTGAATCGCCTTGGCTTCGTTGAAAATGGTGTCGCATTTACGTTGAAATCTCTCTTGCGCGGTGACCTTTTCCTGCAACTGATTCTCAAGATTCTTGCTCTTTGCTATCATTTTCTTTGTTTCTTTCAGCTGCAGATCACACCTTACACTTTCCTTTTTGGCTTGTGCTCGAGCGTCGATGGCCTCCTTCGACTGTTTCCGTTTTTGAGCAGCAAGAATTTTGTTCTGGTTGATCAGGTTCGAGTTCACTTCTTGTTCATTCTTGATCAGGACTTGGGTCGCTTCTTTGGCTTCGCGTAGTAGGCGTTCGGTTTCCTTCAAATCGCGCTCGGCGTTTTCCTTTTCGATCTCCCTCTGCAACAACGTTGCTTTCATTGCCGTGTACTCGTGAATCATCTCCTGAAGCTCCCTCTGACTTGCGCTATCCTCTTTGCTTTTAGACGCAAGTTTCTCTTGGAGATCCCTTGTGGCCGAGCTGTAATAATCCGCCTGTTGGCTCCATTGAGAAGTAGACCAATTTGCGGCCGCTAACAACTTTTCAAAATGAGCTGTTGCCGCTTCCGTGGCCGCTGCATTTTCTTCAGTCATGAAGGCGACGTAGTTCTCCAAAAACCTGACTTGGGCCCGGAGAATTTCAGCTTCCTGCATAGCCTGGTATCGTGCTTTCGTTTGGGCTTCAAAGTGAGCGCTGACGTCGTTGAGTGCGCTGGCTACATTCCCCAAGGTACCCTTAAGCGTAGCGACCTTGTGCTCCAGCCGAGCAGTCTTTGCGTTGGAGGCTGCGATGATCTGCTCTGGAGTCATGTTGACGGGCCCTGTTCTGATGTTGACTGATGGAAAAGAAGGAGTAGAAGACTTGAGAAAATTGGGACTGCGGAGGATGGTGGTTCCTTAGTCGTAATTGAGCGAGGGGAAGCCACGGATTAAATAGTAATTTCACCCTGAATTGAACACCAGAAAAACTAAACTAATTTTGTTGTTCTTCTGTTGTTCAGGGGTGGAGGAACCAGGGGTGTCTTGTGATGAATAACGTCCAAGCTTGTGATTCTAGAACCACAAAGACGACCATGGCGGACGAGGAGTTCATTTGATGTTCAGTACTTGAGTAATCATCAACCTATAAAGATTCTGTCATAACCAGGTATGCTGTGCTGTGAACAGAGTTTGAGCATATACCAAGATGTAATTTGATGTAGTGTGTTCCAACATCCAGCCATGCACGAAACAGGTCATATGCATTGTCCTGTGAAACTTGATACAGAAGGCAATGCTGCGCCCCGATCACTTTGTGCATATCATAAAGGGTATTGGGTTGAAACGTGGAGTCATGAAGCAAAACAAAATGCCGCAACAGCGACCCTTGGCCCAACATCCCTAATCGCTCTTCTGGCTCGGTTCATGCCATGTATATTAAGGAAGCATTGAATAATCATATTTGAGGTGTCAGATATCCTTGGTTTTCCAAGAGGAAGAGAGGGACAAGTGACCACTTATGTACATGAAGCGAACATCTGTGCCTGGGGCTCTTGCCCGATCATGTGTTCAATCCCTGTCACCAACGAGCCCTTTGTCGGTGAAGCCCCTTTGTTGGCTTCACAGCCGTTGGGCCTTTTCTGTGTAACAGAGGGTCAGAGGTCTCTATGAGTACAGAAGAACTCTGTGAAGCCTAGAGACCCTCGGCGGCCCTCGCTTAGGACCGACTTCAGGCCTCGTGACGTTTGCCTTTGTTGTTGTGTAACCTTTGTTGGCCCAACGCCCTTTATTGTGGGCCAGCCGTGAAACACTCCGGGCTGTCGTGACACCTTTCTTTGTTGTTGTGTACCCTTTGTGGCCGATCAATGCCTTTGTTTTTGTCTTGGCCGTGTAACACAACCCCGGAGGCTCTTGTTCAATTCCAGTGCTGCTTACGACAGCGATTGAACATGAGAACCGTCATTCAAAAACAGCTATGAAGTCGGGCCAGCTCGATAATGGTGAATGATTCATTGCAACATGGCGCCGCCACAGCTTGTTCAGCCCTGGCTACACACCCTTCTGTAACTCCAGGCCTTTCCTGCCACGGGAGAGTGGCTTTGGTCAGAGGCTTGTTTGACAGCTCAGCTCTGTGCGTTATACGGGGGGCTTTTAGCTTACCTGCCGCCCGGGTTTGTGGACAACCTTGCTAGGAATGAAGAGATTCCGAGAGGCTGCCGCCATACCAACAGCTACCGAGATGCATTGACGTCACTCAGAATCACTGATGAGGATAATTGAAGAGGTCAAGCTGAGTAACTTCTCTCTTTGTCTAGCTAGGTGGTCACCATGACTAACACCCCATAACCTGATGACCTGTATGCCACAGAGGCCAAGAACACAACTCTGAAGGTGGAAATGCGATCTCGCGGCTCATCATTGCAATCATTGAATCCCGCTCACGCGTGGCTTCTGCCCCACGGCGGCTCGGGAACGTATCAGTTTCACACGGATTGGAGCCAGCAATCGCGGCCTGTCAATGCAATCACTTCAAACGCCACAACTTTATACGTTACCAACCACTCCCAGAAGCTTATTTCAGCCGAGTCTCAATCTGTGGTTGTTTGCCCCTCCACATGATCCATCGGACTTTTCATTGAGCCTCAAAGTCAGTTTAAATGCGCAGCAAAACCTTATTTCGGAAGCTAGTTCCAGCCGTTGGCAGCGGTTCACCACGTCTCTTTTGACTACCACAGTTGGCTGGGAAGCATTACTTCTGGCGGTGGGAGTGTTTCGATAGTTGTTTCCAATAGACCACTCGAGGCGTCGGGGAGGCGTCCTCGCAAGACATGCATATATACAGAGCTGAACTGCAACCGCCACCAGTCCTCCAGTACCAATACGGCAGTTGACCCCGACGTTTACCGAAAACAGTGTATTTCGCGGGGCTGAAGTGAGGAACTGTCCGATTCAGCTCGGAAAGACGTGGTCATTCGGGGCAGTCTTTCTTTCCATCCTCAGGCCAGTGTATGGAGAACGAGTAGAGCGCGTGTGAGGTTAAGATCTGTTTCCCTGAGGGCACTCAGCCACGATTAGCTAGTTATTTTTATGTCGCAGTGATCTCAGACGCCTCAAATTGGACCTAAAATGACACGGGCGTCACTATCCGGCATCCACACCCTATGGCGGCAGTATCAGGACAACTGGTTGTTTGGGCTGTCACAAGTCATCTGCAGCGGCGTAGGGCTAAATAGAGAATGCAGATGCGACCTCTACCTTGGCACAGCCAAGCTGAAATGTCACCAGCAGAGCCTAGATTGGTCCTCATACACGGGGCGTCAAGCCTTGTGAAAATGAGGTGCAAATAAGAAATTCTGATAGGGAGCTGTACAAGCATGCTATTAGTCTAGGAGGCGGTTGAGAATATAAATAAAGGCTGAATACGTTGTCTCGTAGCCAAAGACTCCCAGTTTTACAAAGGCCTTCTACACTGCTACTCCTTATAAAAATAACAACGGGTTACTGGCTGTAATCAAATCTCCTTTCACGGCTCTTTCTCCGTACCCCATACGTGTGTTGACCTGTAGGACAATCCTCACTGTTAAGATGCATCACATCCAGATTAACGGCAACTCACGCCCTGATGCAGGAGCTGCCAGCACCGCATTTCTCAACACTTTCGCAGCACCGCCACCCAGTGTAGCTAATTCCAATTACATCCTAATCCAGACCAAGGGCCCCTTAAGCGCTCAGCAAAAACAAGAACTTCGGGACAAGGATGTCGAAATTCTAGAGTACAAGGGTGAAGACGTCTACCTCTGCGGCTACAAGCCTACTACGTTAGAGCCCCTGATCAGTAACCTCAGGGACTTCGTCACAGACGCCGAGGTCTATCACCCGGATTATGTGGTTGAGCCAGACCTCAAGACGGGCAACGACGATGACGAAGCAGAGGTGGAAGTTGCCCTTCATGAAAATATTGGTGACGATGACATGAGCCGTGTGGTCAATGACATTGCTGCCCAGGCGGACATTCCGGTTGCCAACGTCGAGCTTCATGACCGCAAGGCTTGCGTCAAGGTGCCCAAGTCCAAGCTAGCCCAGCTCGCGCGCATCGACGAAGTGAAGGCCATCAACGAGGTGCAAACCCGCCGCCTCTTCAACAATGTTGCTTGCGGCATTCTCGAAGCCCACACGCCCGTTGGCACAGCGAAAACCACCTACAAAGGCAAAGGACAGGTCGTGTGCGTAGCGGACACTGGGTTTGACACGGGTTCGCTAACCGAATACCACGAAGCGTTTGGTGACCGCGTCATTTCCCTCCACGCTAGGGGCCGGCCTGCCGCCCGGGGTGAGCCTGGGAACTCGGACGATCCAGACGGCCACGGCACCCATGTCTGCGGCTCTGTGCTAGGCAAAGGGGATCATGCCAAAGAGGGCGAGATTGAGGCCCCAGCGTCCGAGGCCAAACTCGTCATGCAGTCCCTCTTTGACAAGTTCGACAAGAGTGAGGGTCCAGATCCGAAGTCTTGGAATGCTGGGTTGGGCGGGATTGGCAACAGCTACCCCGACCTCTTCGGCGGCGTCTTCCGGGAGGGGGCCACGATCCATACCAACTCCTGGGGCGGACCACCTCAGCCCTATGTTGAGCGAGAATCGGCCAGGATCGACAGCTACCTCTGGGGAAACAAAGACATGACGGTTCTCTTCGCCGCGGGCAACTCGGGAGCCGACATCGACCGCAACCCCGGCCACGTCGACCCGTATTCGCTGTCCGCCCAGGCCGTTTCCAAGAACGTCATCACCGTCGGCGCATCCGAGAATCGTCGACCCAACGTCAAGAGCCCCGTGGCGGGAAATAAGCCGCTCGTCTACGGCGCCTGGCGCAGCAAGTTCCCCTTCGGGCCCATCTCGGTCGACAACGTGGCCGACAATCCCGAGGGCATGGCCGCATTTAGCAGTCGCGGCCCCACTCGGCCCGATGGCCGGATCAAGCCCGATGTCGTCGCTCCCGGCACTACCATCCTGTCAGCCCGCTCCAGCAAAATTGAGCCCGGGCATCACGGCGAATCCTGGGGACGCAGCAGCGATGCCAGGTGGATGTACTTGGGCGGCACGAGCATGGCCACGCCCCTTGTTGCCGGCTGCTGCGCCGTGATTCGTGGGGCTCTAGTTGACAACCGTGTGCCCCGGCCAAGCGCGGCGCTTATCAAGGCATTGCTGATCAACGGCGCGGTGCCTATGAAGGGACAGTACAACCAGGCTCTGCCAAACGGGGAGTTTGGACCGTCCGTGGATGCGCCCAACCCCAACTCTGGCTTCGGCCGCGTCAACTTGGCCAACTCTCTTCGCAACATTGTCGCCAACCAGGAGAGCACCGTCTACGGATACCAGGACGTGACGGGCGATCAGTCCCTTGGCATGGACGGCCAACACAGGGGCGAACACGCCGTCACCGTTGACATTCCAGAAGGCAGTCCCGCAGGACTGACCTTGAAGGTGACGCTCGTATGGACCGACTTCCCCGGCGAGAGGCTGCAGAACGACCTCGACTTGATTGTCGCTGGAGCTGGTGTTGAGAAGCATGGAAACCAGGGTGACGGCTCTGGGTTTGACCGAGTGAATAATGTGGAGCAAGTCGTTTGGAAAAATGTGAAGCCCGGATCGTATACCGTCACCGTGAGAGCCTTCCTCACCACCAAGGATCCTCAGCCGTTTGCTCTCGCATGGAGAGCATTTGCGTAGTTGGATAATATTATATTTGTCTTGCGGTTAATTTGAGTGGTTGGTGATGTGTTATTTTGTGGTGGTATTGTCTGCACAAATGTTCTAATTTTCAATGGGAATACAACACCAGAGAATGGAACCTATACTCACGTTCTGAGAACCTGATTTTATTGGCTAGCACTAGGATAGCATATTGAATACGCATTTCAAATGAATTTTGAAACACAGTACGAGGATTTACCGTAGTTTGTCGCTCGCGAAGGTACTTCATCTAAATATTTGAGAGCCGGTCGGATGAATCCGTGTTATTGTTGGAATAAATAGCGTGTTTTGCACGGTGGCAAAAGACGATATTCTTTGTTTCAGGCCATATCTTGCCGAGCATGAGAGTGAGTGAGCAAGCCCGGGCCTGCGCGCTCTCCAATTCTTCGTTGTCAAGAGCTTGACTTTCCGGGATACATGAGCCTAGCGACGACGCCCTGGCGATCCTAAACGTGTCAATATCAAGCGTTTCGGTGCGAAACTCTACTACACTTTTGATATCTCGCTGTACCATCTCACGGCCGTCAGCGAGGGTAACGAACAGGGCCTGCTAAAACATTCCTTGCATGGGGGGGCTTGTCAATCCGCTTCGCAGCACTTTTCATATGCTCGGCGACCAGCTTCTTTGCCCATTTGGCCTGTTTCGAGGGCGCGTTGAGCAACTTAGGAAAGTCGGGGTCGGCTGCAACCACCAGGCAAAGGAAATGAAGGCGAAACTGTCAAGCAGACGTGCATGGAACCACGGGAGTCGGGACTCCATGTTGTATAGAAGTCAGAGGGCATAAATTTTGGCGGAACGCGAGTGAGGGACAAAGGCCAAAGCTCGTGTCAAGCAAAAAAAGAAAAAAGAAATAAAAAGAAATAAATGTCCGCACGACGCCACGTGTTTTCATTTTAAGTGCGTTGTTCTGCCTAATGCTGTGCAACAGAAGCAGTGACCACATGTCTGTGCATAATGAGGCACCAAGTGCCTCTTATTGGTTCATATTGATGCATAATAGTTCCATGTCCAATGCTCCTTCTAAAAGAGGAAGGAGCTCGGGAGCGTTATCACTGGTGGCCTCCGTCTGCACCGTGACATCACAACCACCACACAGATGAAGGCGTCAACTTGGTGTGGATAACATCATTGAGCTACATTGAAGTACCAGACATTAAAAGACCGGTAGCCTCAGCCCCGGCTTAACCTGTAATTCATTACCCTAGATTGCCAGAAATGCCACGACGGACGAAAGTAAAATGTTGCCAAAGACGACAATTCTTTTCACCCTCCACCTCTTCCGGTCGGTGACTGGTGTCCCGATGCCGCCTGGTGCAGAGCGAGGGATGGATGCATCGGCAATTGATTTTGATGCCCTGATTGTGGGTGGTGGACCAGCTGGACTGGCCGCACTGAGCGCTCTCGGCCGCGTACGACGAACAGCTTTGTTGATAGACTCGGGCGAGTATCGCAACAGCCCTACACGGCGGATACACGATGTCGCCGGGTTTGATGGTACGACGTATTCTTCTGCGCACCGGCCAGGCTTCTTGTTCAATTTGAATCTAATATGGAATGGCCGCGGCAGGTGTTACTGCGGCATATTTCCGATGGTCGGCTCGCCAGCAGATTCTTCATTACAAAACAGTTGACGCGGTGAACGGGACGGTAACGAGTATCCGACCCAAGGCGAACAACACCTACTTTATCGCCACCGTAGAGACTGCCGAGGGCTCAGCATCGACTTACACAGCTCGGAAGATTATCATTGCCACTGGAGTGCGCGATCTTCTCCCACCTACCCCGGGACTACGAGAGAATTTCGGCAAAGGGATCTACTGGTGTCCGTGGTGTGACGGCCATGAACACGCGGACCAGCCAATGGGAATTTTGGGCCCTTTTGACAAGACGGTAGAGGCCGTGGCCGAGGCATCCAATCTGAATAGCGACATCATCATCTTCGCAAATGGCACCGATACATATGAAAATCGGGTCCGCGCTGACGCAGCGTTTGCGGAAAACTCGTCTGCGTACCTCGATAGGCGGCATGTCAAAGTGGACAATAGGACGGTGACGCGGATCACCAGATTGCGAGATGGCGAAGACCTAAATAGGGACCCGTCCTTGCCAACTTCGCCCGAGTACGACCTGTTCAACATCGAATTTGACACTGGCTCTCCAGTCGAACGCGGCGTTTTGCTTACCGCATTTACATACGAACAGCGATCGAGTATAGGAGCAAAGCTAGGCTTGAATACCAAGGATGACAAACTGGTAGTTGATGAAGATATGCGCACCAGTGTACCAGGCGTGTACGCTGTAGGTGACGCAAATTCTGATATACGTACGAACATTTTGCACGCGCTGCATTCTGGGAAGTCGGCGGCTGTGCATCTTCACAGTAAGTCAGATTTGCGAATCAAGTCTAGGCACAACATTCTGGAACAAGTCAAAGACTAACTTACGTGAGCAGCTGAAATTGAGAGAGAGTTAAGTAGAAGTTTAACAAGCGCGTCTGGGTTCCGCCATGGTATTTCAAGGCCAAGCGAAGAGAGGAGAAATCACGGCGATGGCTTCTCTTCAAAACTGAATGATGTTGAACTTCCTGACTCTGGTACTCAAGTGGCTTTGAGTCGACTGAAAATCGATTAGCTCAAAGATGGAGCGTAGACATGTGTGCATTTTTCAGCGTCATGATGAGCGCCGAGCAGCCATGTAGCCAATCCAATGTGCGAGGATAAAATTAAGAATTGTTGATGACGTGTTACTAGATACATGACGTATTGAAGTGTATTACCACATTAGCCCGATTTCATCACCGGTCTGTATTGAACTTCGTCTTGTATCAGTCCACGCGGCAGCACAGCAGTTTCCACCGTAATGCACTCACGCGGGCTGCAAACCGCTTCCTTTTAATCACTTTCGGAATGTTAGCTGCACAATCATCATAGTTCCGGCATTTTTTATCCGGCATGATTTAGCAATTATATGAATGGCTCAGTTTAAGCCATTTCGAGACACACCAACAGCACCCAAATCCGTGACAGAGTTTGAATGGTGTACGTGCCACGCGACTCTATCAATTAGGCTTGCAGCCAGAAAACACTCCATCAAGCGTACTTTGACGCACATGATAGATTTCAATGCTGAAGAAGGAAAACTAGCCAAACTCGCCAACCCGGCCCTGTCTCGGCAAGCCTTGCAAAACCAAATGCGACGGTCCGTAGCACTAGATAATTACGATACCACGTACGTGAATGATGCCGTTGCGTCATCTTTCACAGGCTATATGGCATAATTCGTACAATTTATTCTTCGGCTGTATACGAAAGGGCTGAGCCGGCCCAAAACCACCAAAAAAAAAAGCGTCAAAAACCTCAAAAACCTCCAACCAGCCTCCACGACATTCACTTCCACACAATCACAACGCACGCTACACACGCGCCGGCTACAAGCCGTCCATATACTTCCCCAAGCCACAACTCTCGAAGCGCAAGCATAAAAAGGCAACCTCTTCCCTCCCGAATAGCCAGCAACTACATATAAAAAGGCCCAGCAGCCCATCTTCCCAGACCACGTCTCTCCAACCCTCACCCTTGGCACCGCTTTCTCCGCCGCTCACAAGAACCCCTCACAACAAACACGAGATTCGTTGCAAACATGTACTTCGCAAGCCTGCTCTTCGCCATCCCATTCACGCCCGTCTTTGCGTGGCCGTTGACGCTGAACCCGCCCCAGGCGTGCCCCGTATACATCAAAATGCCAGACTGCAAGAATCCCTCAATGGTACGTGCACACCGTGGCGCTACACGGGACCCGCGAGTCGCGATGGATGGTCTCGCCATCATCTCCCCGCTCCTGACTTCGCTCCAGGCGACTAATAAATAACTGTCTTAGCTTGAAATCTCTTGCGGAGCTTGTCCCCGTTCCGATATGACCTGGGCGAAGCCCTTTGTCCACGAAGGGAAAAATAACGGTACCAAGCCACTCACGCACTCATAGACGGGCCGACCGCGTCATTATGTTGGTGGGATAAGATGAGGGCGGTATAGTGATGCGAGACTAGGGCAATTCTTGACACCACTGTGTGTTTGGGATGATTTATCTTTTTGGGCTTGTATTGATGTTAGGTATCTGGACTGGTGTGCGATTCCACACCATACAAATGATTATCAATGACAAGTATCATGCATTTGTAGAAACCACTGTTGCCTCGAGTAAAAATAGTTCATAAAACTGTAATCCTCGACTTTAATAGATACCCTGCGCGTGTATCAAATCCTCTTTCCGTGAAATAGTAGTCCCTGCCGCCATGATGTATGCTTGAACGCCTGTGCTTCACCATTTCATACTAAAAATTGTGCCCCCGTAGACCCGGATACATATGATCCATAAGAATCCCATAGCGCCTCGTTTGAGTCAATAAATATGCGTATCGATTCCACCAGAAATTGAAGCAGCAGAGCCTAGGCTCCCACCCCTATGGGCGGTCCCTCTTGCAATCTTTGCCTCTTTGGCTTCAACGACGACTCCTGTTCGTCGTCTTCAGTTTCCTCCTCAAAGCGGAACATGTCACCAAGAGCTTCGCGCTTGCGCTTGGTATTTCTGGGTGCGTCGCCTTCGGAATCAGTGTCCCAGGTCTCCATTTCGGACGGATTAAACTGGCCCACCACCTCCTCGCCAAGACCTTTGCCAAGTCGCTCCTTCAAACCAAGGATTGGCCAGATAGGAACTTTGGTGTACTCAATTCTGATGCCCAATGGGTCATTCTCACCCTCACCCTTGATCTCATCAGACGTGGGAGTTGTCGAGGGGTCATGAAACCTGTCAAGGAACTTCGATGTGATGTGCCCGGTATAAATGATAAAATGTTCCATATCGCTGTCGTGAGTGAGGATCCTGAGCTTGAGGTCCTCAAATGCTCGACGGTGCGACTTTCCAACCCAAGTAGACCACCGGGAGTCTCCGAGAGACGAGGGCACAGGTGCATCATAAAAATGTCGCTGTGCCATGGCTAGGAAGACGGCCACCAAATAGGCATCGTGGTGCAAATTGGCAGGCATGACTGCCTTGGATCGGAGGAAGAACAGCCGGGAGACGGGTTCATTTCGGCATCGTTCTGACCCCGGTCGAATGCGGAAAACGCTCCGACGCATCGTAGCTAGTTGATCCTGTCCAATATAACAAATCATGGGAAAACCGGTTGGGTTATGAGCCGCGGGTGCTGAGCCCGAAAAGAGACCATTAGATTCGGCAGGCCGGGTCGATATTGACCTAAAGGAGCTTTGTGATGACTGGACATTGTCATCCGGATAATGCCACATTAGTTGCATGTGCACAGGATTTGGACAAGGACGGCCGCCAAAGAATATGTGCAGTTGTGGGAAAAGAATAGGCTGGCCGAATATAGCCGGCCATAATGTTGACAATACAGTCTGGACAGCACTTGAACGCTTTCTGGTTGCATTTGAATACAAATCCGCGCACGCGTCATCGGGATGCAAAATGTCGGTCAAAGCATGGCTCAGTGTCGTAATGGCCTTGGAAGGGAGCAAATGGCCCTTTGACGGAGGAGTACCGGGGATATTCTGAGGCAATGGTGTGTCGCAGGACGGTAATTCCTGAAAGTGCGCACCGAGGAGTTGCCAGTGCATGTCAGTCCAGTGCACGGGAGGGCGGAATAGAGGGATGCGGGCGTGCCGGCGCAGCAGATCAAAAAGGGAGTTTCTAGCGGGTCGAAAGGTTTGCGACTTGTTGCACTGACGGTGCCTCGAAGAGGCCGACGATGTCTGTGACATGGTCAACGAGGGAGCTGAGTTGTGGGCGGCGTTGTGCCTGATATCTGCAATGGAGTTTCGAATAGTGTTGTCGCAGATACAAGTCTATGGCAAGCGGTCGGCGATCTGACAATGGCGCGGATTCTGTCGAAGACGGCGCTCGAGTGAAATGTGTATCTCGTGCTGCGCGACGGATGGTAGGTTAGAGACTAGGGACACTTCATGCTTGTGAGGGAGAAAGAGCTGTGCCGACAACGTGGCTGGATCGAAATAATACTGACTCTAGTGCAAGCATTGAAGTTTGACGAGGGCGTGCAGTGTCTCTTGTGCGACCGTCGAAGCCCTATTTTGCTTTGGTGGCGTAATGTGATGATGGCTTTGGTGCTTGGATTCTGGTGGTGGCACACCACGATGACACGCTCAAGAGTCAAGATCCCTGTATACCCGCTAAAGCGAGTCTCTCACTTTACGCTAGCCAAGACGGGAGTCTGAATTTGATCGCGCAACCAAGGGAGTGCAAAAGATGCACGCGAGGGGGAGGAAATAAGACCAGGCCATAAAATGCCCACTGAGTAGGTAGTTGTCGGGATTCAAAGTCAAGGTCGCAAAGAGAGGTAGGCATTCGGCTGAAAGGGAAGTAGCATGGAGCGCACCTGCTTTTTATGACGGCGGCCACATGCAACACACAAGGGCGCACCGCGTTTTTAGCGTGTCGAGGTGGCGTTCTCGTTGCGCGAGCATTGTGCGAGGTCACGTGATTCTAGGCAGCCACGTAGGCAGGGAGGGTCACAGGGCAGGAAAATGCAAAAGCGGGTCAGAGAGGCACAAAGACAAGCCACACACACCAAAGCAACGCAGCGAATCAATCATGAACATTGTGTCTGGAGTTCAATGTTCAGAGCTAGCTCCTTACAGCAGTTGACACCACATAGCCTGAACGACAATTGCGTATGTATTTATGAAACCGGCCTGTTCCAGTTGTCGCCGAGGTCCGTGAATTCCCCGAAGCCACACTCTGTCATCGTGCATTGTGCTCTCAATGTTTTCAATCCTTTGACTGAAAATACTGGAACAGTCTTGGTGCCGACCGTCGCCTAGCATTACCGGTGGCACGCTCGTTTCTACAAAGATGAGCGAATATACGGAGTAACCACGATTGCCTTGTCGGGACTCCATCTGCCATCGTCTGGGCTCTACATTTTTTTCCCTGTCTGTGGCAAGAGGCTTCTGTCCTTCGCTCATCATCCAGCCTGCGAAGATAATGGAACGTTCATTGACCACCATCTCTTGTCCAGAAAGCCCATTCGTTCCCATTTCCCCATCGGACGGGTCTCAATCCCTGCTCCAGAAGGGCTACTCCAGGTCGAAATGCATTAGCGAAGAGTATACGCAAACCCGTAGAAATCTTTCCCTCTCGAACGGTAGCTTCCAAGCGTCAATCACTTGACGCTTCGACTTCGACTCGGGGCCAAAATTTCAACCTGCTCACTATTGCCAGGTATTCAGGGTTGAGCATGCTGCTGTGCCGTTGCATACATGTAATCCCTGCGAGTGGCGTGCTGCAGCATTGAACTCATGCGTGAACAATCTATCTTGGCCCCAATCCGACCACTAGGAGAGTGCCTCTGTGATGCATAGAGAGAGATAACGACCTGCACGACTGGATGTTCCTCCACTTGTGGTACATGTAGTGCAGCTGGCAGATGTCACGACAGCCTCCGACAATGTTGGCCCCGTATTCAACGTATGGGACTACCAATAATCTCCTGCAGGCGTCAAAATGCAGAAGACCCTACATGTAAACTCGGGGAAGTTCTGGAGCCTCTTCCGGACAGCCATGCTTGCACGTGCAGGTGAGCATACTATTTCCAGTCTTTGCGTGCACGGCATTCCTGTATGTACTCCGTACTGGCGCCAGTTTCATGTGAATATCATTTATGACTTGTTCGCTGATGTACGAATTCGGCCAGAGACACATATAGTGTAACCAAATTATGCGGAACCCCCTCCTTTGCCCGCGAATAATATACTCATTAGTCGCTCGATACACACCGGTCTTCCAAATAGCGTTCAGGGATGGGAGAGGAGACGGAAATTCGGTTGCCCAGGGACGGCGGCATGGAGGTCAACCTGCCGGGAGCGCGGGATTATAAAACCTGACCGACCACCCATCAGAGATGCCATGGAGAAATGAATCATACAAAACGGTTCAAAAGAACACAGCTACCCGCTCAATCCTATTTCTTACCTCGAAGTGTCCACAATGGGGGAGTCAAGTCCTACACGTCCCAAAAAGTTCAATACTGAGCTGACGGATTACTCTCTGCCTCGCCACCAGCAAGATGGTCCGTATGCTGACAATCTGGATCTCGACGTAATAGTTATTGGTGCCGGTTTTGGTAGGTCTCTTCAATCCCTCTCTCCGAGAGGTCGGGTGCTCTCACGCTCTCACGCTCACGAACTGTAGCTGGCATCTTTATGCTCAAGACTCTTCGGGATCGCGGATTCAAGTCTGTCATTTTTGAGGCGGGGAGCGACCTTGGAGGAACGTGGAGATGGAATTCGTATCCCGGAGCAGGCGTAGATTCCGAGGTCCCAGAGTATGAATTTTCTTGGCCCGAGGTCTGGAAAACGTGGAATTGGTCGTCCAACTACCCCGACTACCGGGATCTGCGGGCGTATTTCGATCACGTCGACAAAACTATCGGCGTGAAGAAGGACTGTTCGTTCAACACGGTGGTTGTTGGCGCCAGTTTCGACACGGCAGCCGGAAAGTGGAGTGTTCGTACAGAAGATGGGCGAACCGCAAAGGCCAAGTTTTTGGTTTTGGGCACTGGATTCGTAAGTACAAGTTGATTTCGATTCGTCTCGCTTCTTTCTGCGCCAGTTTCCAGAGCACCATATTGATTCACGGAAACTGCTACACCAGGCTGCGAGGCGTTATATTCCCGACTGGCCGGGCATGGACAAGTTCAAGGGCGTCATACACCACACCTCCTTCTGGCCCGAGGAAGACGTAGACGTGAAGAACGAGCGATGTGCCGTCATTGGCACCGGCGCCTCTGGCGTTCAAGTTGTTCAGGCGTGGGGGCCGGTCGCCGGCGAGGTCAAGGTCTTCCAGCGCACCCCGAACCTGGCGCTGCCCATGCGCCGCAGGAAAATGACACCCGAGGAGCAAGAGCGAAAGCGAGCATTGTACCCCGAGCTCTTCACTCTCCGGGAGACCAGCTTCTCCGGCTTCTACTTCGATTGGTACGAGAAGAATACATTCGATGACACTCCCGAGGGTCGCGAGGCAGTGTATGAAAAGGCATGGCGAGACGGGGGGTTCAAATTTTGGCTTGGCATCTACAAGGACAACTTGTTTGACGGCGAGGCCAATAAAGAATCGTACAGGTTTTGGGCAAAAAAGGTCCGGGCTCGCATTGACGACGCGCGCAAGAGGGACCTGCTCGCGCCAGAGACGATGCCCCATTACTTTGGCATCAAGCGTCCTTGCCTTGAAAATGACTACTACGAGCAGTTCAACCGGCCTAGCGTCGATGTCGTTGACATTAGCAACAACGGCATCAAGGAATTCACCGAGACCGGCATCACCCTCGACGATGGCACGCACCACGAGTTTGATGTGATTGCCGTTGCCACAGGATTTGTAAGTATCTGCTGATACATACTAGAGGCGTCTCTTGCTGACTACGGCAATAGGATATTGTATCCGGAGGTGGGCTAATTATTTCCCAACACGGTGACATAAACGGTTACTAACAGTTTTGCCCAGCAATGACGCAACTTGGCCTGCAGAGCATCAATGGCACCAATCTACAGCAGGAATGGGCCTCCGGGATAAGCACGTACCTGGGCATCAGCGTCAGCGGCTACCCCAACATGTTCCACCTCTACGGGCCTCACGGGCCGACTCTTCTCAGCAACGGCCCGACGACGGTCGAGGTCCAGGGCCGCTGGATCGCCGACATGCTCGACAAGATACAGCGACAGGACATCAAGTACGTGAACCCGAAGCGCGAAGCGGCCCGGGAATGGACAAGGCACGTCGTGGAGCTGAATGACAAGACGCTGATTCCGACGACCAAATCGACCTACATGGGAGGCAACGTCCCTGGCAAGGTGTACGAGCCCATGTGCTACGCCGCCGGGGTCGCGAGCTACAGGGCCGAAATCAGGGCTGCGCTGGATTCTATGCAGGGCTTTGAGGTTGTGAGCAATAGGATTGCGGTGAATCCCAGACTGTAGGCGCGGCTATGGGCGGGTGACTGGTATGGCATGATTCTGCGTGGGCGGAGTTTGGTGGTCGAGTGAGCTAAAGAAGTCCGGAGCCGTATACGAATTAGATGGCCAGCGATATAGTACAGGTAGGTTCTTTTCTCGTCATTTTCATGAGGGATAGGCTCGTGGCACAACTGGCAACAGTCTATTGTGCTCGACCATCAGATGCAGGTATATAAGAAGCCACAGGGCATGATTGGCCAACCTTGGATAGGACCATCCGTTCACACGATTACATGGTATTGGGGTCAGTCCCATAGCCCCGTCACACAGCAAATAGGGGCCACGCTTCTTGTATTAGCTGTATTCTTCTATCGATAAAATATACACGGGCTCTATGTACGGGTGATTGTGACAGACACGTCAGTGGCATTCTTGACGCCCGGGGACGTGAACAGGGCCAGGGTGCGCTCGTCAGGCTTGTGCTGCAGCAAGCTGCCCTCGGGAGAGATCCGGACGCTATATCCGCCGGGGAAAGTGGCCGGGGGCAGGATGACCTCGGTGGGCGCGTCGATGGCCGGGTCAGCCGTGAAGCGCAGCGTAAAGGTGGCAGACTTCTCGTCGAAGCCGAAGCTCCGGGGCACGCCGGCGACAGCAGCGGGATACGCGCGGGCATAGTGCCCAGCCAGCTCGGGGTAGGGCCGGCCCGAGGTGCCGTTGTACAGGTTCTCGTAGGCCCAGCCGATCCACGAGACCATGGCGGCGTCGGTGGCCTCCATGGCGTCGGCCAGGTCGCGCATCTGCTGGTCGTCGCCCATCCAAAAGGTCAGCTCGGTCAGGACGCTGGCGGTGCGGAGGCGCTCGCTGTCCCTGCGGCGGTTGGCGAGGGTGTCGGCGATGGACCCCAGCTGCGGCGGCTTGTAGTAGTGGTAGGAGTGGACGGAGCGGGCGCCGTCGCCGAGCGGCACGTTGTTGAAGCCCGAGAGGATGTCGAGCGTGGCGCCCTCGAACCAGATCAGGGTGTCGTTGTCGACGGCGCGGATCTGCGTGGCGGCGCGGTTCCAGAGCGCCTCGAGGGCCTTGTGGTCGGCGACGCCCGGCACCAGCAGCGACGGGTCGGCCCAGCTGTCGCCCACCCACGGCTCGTTGAGCAGGTTGTAGCCGACGACGTTGGCCGTGGCCGCGTAGCCCGCCGCCAGCTTGCGCCAGTAGGCGGCGAAGGCGTCGCCCAGCCCGTCAAAGTTGTTGTACAGCCGGCCAAAGGCGTTGCTGACGGCCACCGACGTGTAGCTCAGCGCCCAGTCGACGCTGCCGCAGAGCGAGGCCGGCGACGGGAAGCCGGCCGTGTCGACGGAAAAGGGCGACAGCTTGAGCGGGAAGGGATACCTCTCCCAGGCGGGCACCCAGTCCTTTTTGACAAACCACTGCCGCGCGCCGTTAGTCGTGAGCCACGATGGATGCATCAAGGGTTAGGGTCAGGGTCAGGGTCAGGGTCAGGGTTGGGGTCACGTACGTCGGGCACGCCGTGGCCACACAGCTGCCGCGCCAGCACGTCCTGGTGCACGTCGACCAGCACGTAGATGCCGTGGGCCTCGGCCAGGCTGGTCTGGGCCCTCATGATATCGAGAAAGGTCTCGTTGTACTCGCCTCGCACGGGCTCGGCGCCGGCCCAGCTGTGACCCAGGCGCACGACGTTGAGGCCCAGGTCGCGCATGTTGCGCACGTCGCGCTCGCCAAAGGACGACACGCCGGGCACCCACTCGGCCGGGCGGTGCCACGGCGGCTCCTTCATGACGACGTTGGTCCCGTGGAAGAAGCGCGCGCGGCCGAACTCGTCGACAATCTGGTGCGTGTCCTGGTTCACCCGCTGCACGCGCGCCATGCCGGGGTGCGCCGCGTACCAGCCCGCGCCGTCCTGCGCCAGCCCACCTCCCAGCAGCGACAGGGCCACGACGCCAGCATACACCTGGTGCGTGTACATGGTGGGCAGTTATAGTCCTGGGTGCAAGAACAGACGAATTGGCCACCTGTGCAGGCAAGTGGCCGGCTGCACGCGGCACGTTATGTAGCGCGGGCGGGAATATAAAAGCCCAGCGCTCGCTCCTTCCGCATTGACATTCGAAGCCGACAAAGCGGGGGAAACACCTTGGACCTGCTCTTTTCGGCGCCATGACCTGAACTATCACCCGAACTAGCTGGTCGATGCCGTCGACTGCAAAACCCCCGAGGGTCAACGTCAATGTGAGGAGTTGGGACTGAGGACCGGCCCGCGGTGGCTGTGGCGGAGCCCATGCTCGACTTTGCCCGTGAAGCCACTCGCGTACACGTGCCGTGCCGAGTCATCCATTGGTCATGGACGCCGTGGGCATGACATCAGCCAATCTCGCCCTCTAAGCGAGGTGCCATCGACTCATCTGAATGAGCCGTCGGCCGTGTGTGGCTGCGCCTCGTCAACTCGCTCCGAGGGGGTCCACGGAAGCCTCAGATGATGGTCGTGCTGGGGGACACAGAGACACACCGTTGACACTTGTATGGATATCGGGCGTATTCGGCCAAGTGCCGCTTTGCGGGATTCGTTTCCCGATAGCCGTGTGACAAGCATGCTCTGTACTCCGTAGTTGGTTCCGCCGTGGCTGTACCCGCATCATCTCGCTTACCGGTGAGCATGGAGTCGGCGACTCACTTCGACTACGTACCTGCTAGTTCTTGGGTCTGGAGTAGGCACGTTGTTTCGGCTCCGAGACTCTGCCTGGTCATGCTGTCTTCCGTAGCTATCGCATTGTAGAAGTTGCCGATGGATTTGACGACAAGTTTCTGATGACTGAAATCCACTGATACCCGTCACTAGAGCCTGTCAGGGGGGCTGGAAAGGACCTGACTGTTTATAATAGGTGATTGAATGGCCTTAATTAAAGACCTTGCATGTGTAGTAATTGAAAGAGGTTGAAAATGCAGTGTACACCGGGCTTATAACTGTCACGATGTAGTACTAGCAGCCACGGATAAAATTGAACGTGACCCGATCCTTGGATTGTGGTCATCTAACTAGGTGTGTTAGGGCTTTTTTGCAGATATACAAACCGAGGTCTGAATTAATTAATAAGTGATTTATCTGTGTTGAAAATGAGTGGTTGAATGCCTTTGTGAGGCTTTTCCGCGATGCCGATGAATAGCAGGCTTTTTCTGTTGTCAAAAAGACACCCTCCCTTCCAAGGGGCAGCAGCAATGCTATCACCAATACCCAGTATCTATATCTGTTACACGGAAAAGGCCCAACAGATCGTGACGCCCAACAAAGGGGCTTCACCGATGAGGGACCTTTGGTTACACAGCTTGAACACGTGCCCCTAAGCCTTCTATGTTGAACCCTTGTCACAATATCTTACTATTACCTAGAGAGATGCAAGATATAGCCCAGGTGTCTTCCTTGAAAGTGAATGAATATACAATCTGGGTACCTTTCTCAACTAGGGGACCCCTAAAACCCCGGACAGCTCAAAGGTTAAGACGCCATCGACCTTTATCCATTGGCACCCAGCTTTCCCCAGGCAACAGGGCTCTCCTCGGCGAGACAAAACAGGCATTGGAAACCGGTCCAACACGTCGCAGCTGATTTCCTCGGAGATTTTGACACCGACCATGCTGCTAATGAAATAGTTCCAACGATGGTACAACTCGGCCAGAAAGGTGCTGTGACAAGGGTTCAATATGAAGGCTTGGAGCAAAAAGGGCTCAATTCAACAATAATCTGGAAGGGTCTCTAAGGTCTTGAGTTACTACAAGAAAGGAAGAGAAGGGTAACCGCCTTATATACATAAAAGGAACGCCTAAGCCTAAGCTTCTTACCCGGGCACGTGTTCTAGCTATGTAACTAATAAGTCCTGTATCGGTGAAGCCCCTTTGTTGGGCTTCACGATCTGTTGGGCCTTTTCCGTGTAACAGGTGCAGAGCGAAGATGGCTAGCAGAAGCTCTCCTTTTATACGTGGCCGAAGCGGATGAAGTGAGGGCAAAACTAGTAGCAGTAACTCTTCTGACCTTTCTGTTTAATAGCAAGTTAGGTCAAGCACATTTATGCATTTCCTTACTAATACGCACATTAATAGCACCATATGGGAGGCGCAATCTGCCAGTTGCATGTGATGTGTGACGGGACTTCAAATGCTTCATGAATACGGTTGACGTCGTGAAGCAGCACTTATCGCTCCCAAATGACGATGCTGCAAAGACCATGTCTTGTACTTTTCTGTTTCAACAAGAGTACGATATGGATGCAGAAATACATCAGTTTCTATTAGCGAATGAGTTAGCTGAGGAGGAATGGCGCTCCGTCGATGCTCTCGCATGCATGACAAGCAATCATTCTAGCTTCAAGAACTGTGGTCGGGTATGGAGCGCAAAAGTCCAGGATTTCCAAGGATTGACATGATTTGTATTAGACGAGAGATAGAATTTATCCCTGTTGACGGAAATATTCATCCATCCGCCAGCTCAACGACATGGTCAATGTATTCGTGCCGCTTGCACCTTACTCATCTTGCAGCCGTGACGGTCAGTCTACAATAGCTCCTGGATGTGAGGTGCATAAGATGAGAAATGCCCATTTCCAAAACATGTTGGTTTCAAGACGCCCTGGTCTAAGAATACACCTCAGCACTCGATACACTTCATACTCTGGAACGTGTTTAATGCCAGACACTTATGGCAATCTAGCTCGCACGACGGCGAGCTGTTCCATACCAGCGTATTGATACTGCTATTCATATCTTCGTATTCGCTACTCTAGTCTCTCTACTTCTCCTTCCATCTACACCCCACGACGAGACGTGTCTGCACAAGTCAACTTCAGCGTCCGCTCAGTGGGTAGACCTGCTCGATACAGACCCCTTCTCAACCTGGTCCATCTCGCTCCTCTTGGCATTCTTGTCTCCGGCACGAGCCCGGCGACACTTGTAGATGCCGAAGCCCGCCGCGGCCGCAAGCAGGAGGAACCCAACCACGGAGCCGACGGCAATGCCAGCCTTCTGCCCGCCGCTGAGCCCGCTGCCGCTCGCGCGGAGAGCAAGAGACTCAGCCTGGTCAGCGGAGCGGTACGCGTTCGGCTTCAACCCAGAGTCGTGGTACCCGGCCACCCACGCCGGCGCATCGCACTTGGTCAAGCTCAGCGTCTCCAGCTCCTTGCCCTTTTCGGCGCACGTGTTGGTGAATCGCCTGAGGGCAATCTCGTCGTCTGGCTTGGAGACGCTGCGGATAAACATGTTTGAGTAGTCGGGCAGGAACGAAGGCGATACAACGGAGATGATGTCACGGATGACCTGATCCGGGCGCGCGCTGCCGCGGTCAAAAAAGTCTGCGGAAAGGGGGAGAGGGACACGGTCAGCAATGACAAGGGCGGATATCCAAAGCAGTTGGCATGGAACTCACTGTGACGGCGGTTGCGGTTGGCCGCCTTGTCCGTAAGCCAGACGTTGTTGTTCTTGACGGCGTACGAGGCGCTCGAGGCGCCCGATCTCGACGTGTACGTGTCCGCCGTGATGCGGGTAGACTCGGGCAGGGTCTTGGGGGCCTGCTTGCCGGGCAGTTGGTCGTACTGGGTGGTGTCGATGATGGCCCAGCTGTTCCTGGCAAAGTTGTTCCCGGCGCTGTTGGCGTCGATGGTGACGAGGGCCGGCTTGGTCGGGTTTCCCGTCTCGGCGGCCTGGCCGTCGGCCGAGACGTTGACGAGCGCCGAGCCGGCGTCCGAGAGGATCGAGTTCCACCAGGCGCTCTGGAACACGGTGAACTTGTCGCCGTCCTTGCGGATGGGCGAGATGAGCGCGCCGGTAGGGTACGTGCCGGCCATGACGGCCTGCTGGACCTGGGCGGCCGCGCAGCGGTAGTTGGCGGAGATTTCGTCGTAGAGCTTCTCGCCGAGCTCCTCGAGGCCGAAGAACATGGAGACGAACTTGATGTAGCCGAGCTGAGCGAGCGGCGCGTAGTTGCCAACGTTGTAGATGAGGACCTTTTTGTTGTCCGACGTGGCCGTGTCGCCGTAGAAGGTCACGTCGACTTTCGGGGCCTTGTCCCACTCGTCGTCGTCAAATGTAATGTTGTCCTTCATGTTGCCGCGAATACATGAGCTCGTCACGTCGGAATACACGCCGGTGCGCTTAATGCTTGTCGACATGCCGAGCATCTAGATTTGGTGGTCAGCGTCTCGTCCCAGGGTGCAGATGGACCAATGGTTTGCCAACCTCGATGAGATTCTGGGAAAATCCATCCAGCGCAGCTACATTCTTGACGGGAGCCTTGACGAACAAGGACGACTCGCCGACGATGGAGGTGGGAGGCGGCTCCTTGCTGCAGTACAGAACGACATATCGGCTCTGACGGTTCTTAATGGTCACGTACGTCTTGTTGTACTCGGCCAGGAATGGATTGGTAGGACTCTTCTCAAACTTGGTCAAGAAGAAATCGGTATCCGAGTCCCAGGGCGCGTCGGCACATCCCTCTCGGAAAGCAGCCTGGCCCAGCGTGGCCGATGCCGCGAGCAGCGCAAGTTGTGTGAAGCCCTTCATGATGGGGATTTGGCGGCAGCAAGTCCGGCAAGCGCGTTCAAATCCACTTGGCCAGATGTTTTACTGAACACGGAACCAGGCGTACGGCGATGGCTGGATTCCATTTCCCCTTTTATAGACAAAACAAAGAAGCCGGCTGGAGCCACGAGCTGGCCGTGTCTTCTGCTCCCGCCACGCTTGAGGTCGATACTTTCTCCGAGGCACACCTCCAGCCCTGGGCAGTGTGGATCGAAGAAAACCATTTGTCACAAGACGCTCGTACCCTGGCCCCGAGCTCATTGGGCCAAGATGATCTGATAAGATCACGCTGGGTGTTGCCAAGGCAGTCAATTGAGTGGTGGAGAAACGCCAAGTCGGGCGTACCAGGCATGGAGCACAACTTTTTACACGATGGTCTTGAGACACAAAGACCTTTTTTTGCCATCGGTAACCGAGTTTTCTCCATGCCAAGTGTGAGGGGAGCCCAGCAATTCGCAGTTGGCTGCACTATCACATGTCTCTGCAGAACCAGGTTGGGGCTATGTGGCCAGACTTTTGTCTGGGCAACCGAAAAGTAGTCAAGGAAAAAACACATTTCTCCCGAATTTCGGTAAATAGTAAGCGAGTGCACAAGAAGCATGACCGTTGCCTCCAACTAGAATAAACCCACTTTATTCGGGAGACAGTTTGTTGACAGCTATGCCAACGTCGTACGGCGTAGACCAAAGCTGATCACTGCCAGCAAGTCTTGACAAACTTTTAAAGTTTAGACAACTCACAGCTCTATCAAGCTTGCTTCCATGCTTAACTAGGACAATGGGATGATTATCCTGGGCCAGTGGAGCACAAGCAAACAATAGTTCACAAGTTACGTAAAGAATTCGCTCGGCGCCGGTTGCGGGATCGACACTCGCCACCACGGCTGCCCTATGAGGCAATTTGGGGCCGATGTTGCGTCTCAGAAGCATCCAAGGTGGGATTCGGATAGTCCTTGCCATCGGTATTGTATCTGTCCATCGCGGTATATCATCACAGCTGTCAAGCAGGACATTTGTTCAGCTACACGCAACTGCGCCCAGCTCCCTACTCCCTGGTCATCGACATGTCTCCTGTCGGCTTCTCAACCTACGTCTTGGCTTAAGAAGGCCAAGTCCGGCCTTGGTCGACTTGCAATAACTCTTGGCAGCAATACTCGGATATTCTCATCGGGTACTCGGCCCCTGCTAGCATAATATAGCCCTCTGTTATATAGACCGCCGAGACGGACTAACCGGCCCAAGAGGACAACTCACTCCACCCGCTTCATGCGAACCGAAGCTTGGCCAGCCAGTCGTTGGTGCCCGGCGCTCGAGAACATCTACTCGCCCGCGGCGTACATTGGCCAGCTACGTCTCCAGCAAGGTCGTTGGCGATTCCCAACGGCAACACTTGACCGTATTATATCCAGATCGGGTTAGTGGGCTGCAGCATTACCAACCACGTTGCTTACCCCGGCCCGAGCATCACTCGACCCGGAAAGCGGCTTCCCGTTTTGTGGGTGATTCCGAGTACTATACGACTCGGCCATGCTTGCACAAGTAGGCAAGGTTGTCAGACGAATACCAGCTCAGTGTGCTATCCGAATCCCGGCATGGAGAATTTTCTTTCCTCGTGCGTGAGTCAATGTCGCCAACACGAGCAGCTTACAAGAGGAGCAGGCACTTGTTGGCGGTGTTTGTGTCCGCGTTGGTCGAAACTGAGAATATCAACACAGCCTGGTCGAAGAGCTTATGCCTAAAACTCTGACATGATGTTTAATTACTGCAGTGTACGGACTTCTCTGTCCTTGAAGATGATTACGTTTCAAGAGCACCATTTTTCAAGTAGATTGGCGTTGTGTCTGTGGCCACCGCAATGGGCAATCTAGTTTTGGAGGCCTGTGCAAGAAAAACTTGAATTAGAAAAACGCCAATATTCCCTCTGTTTTTGAATAATCATGGAAGTGGGGACGATACGCAATTGATCAACCTGCCACACATTAGTCTAAGATTTCATGGACTGTATCGACGTGCTGGCTAGTGGCTACTATAAATTCTCTCCGGCTCTTTTCTCCATCCAGGCCGACAATTGTGTTCCAGTCCCTTCAGATATTGCGGTGGTCATCGCAATCACGCAGGAAATTGGACATGTCAACACCTACCTGACTCTTGAGCGTCAGTGACGAGCCGGTGTGGACGGGTCGGCATAGAGCAGTCGTGGGAGAAGTCCGAAACTTGATTAAGAGAACAAACAAACAAAAGTGGAGAGGAGAACAGAAACATGTCGTGTCAAGAAGCATGTGCTCGCGTACTGATTCCAACACGAAAAGTACAAAAAGCCTCGCTTGATCCCGGAGCGACCATGTCATGGGATAATCAGCACACACCAGGGTTCCTGCGTCTTATCGGCCCATGAGTCGTCGGCCATCATCGAGAATATGTGTGCCGATCGTGAGTAGCCAAGAACCGCCTGGCAGAGCGGTTCGGGGTTTTAGACAATTTCAGAACGGAATGCGAGCAAACTCCCTCATTCTGGTCCCAAGTCTTGTCCCGTGAATATATTGACTGAAGGTCATATCAATGTCTGGGTGCTTGGCGGCCGTTAGGACACTTGGTAGTACGTATCGTCAGGCCGGACACGACAAGATAAATTGTTGCAAAGTTTCCTTCCTGGACTGCTGGGGAGATAATAAGTGGCCGAACAGTCGGAGAGAAACGGCAAAGGTTGTTCAGCGGCAATGTGTTCGCGCTGCCATACATCAATACACTGGATTTTTTATCCGGCGGGAATCTTAACGAGCTCCAAGCAAATCTGTTTCGCAGCTCGCCCGCTCGCGGGCAATTTACATCCGCCATGGACCTTTGGAGGAAGCGGTTTGACCTTGTAACCATGGTCAAGGGCGCTCTGCTAATCTACCCAGCCTCTTGCCAACTCCTTCAGTTGCAACTTGACACCATTACGTGCTACCATGAAGGACGGAGAAAATTTATCTTTATAGGAGTGAGGTTGATGTTGCTTACCGTTGCTGGCAGGTTTAAATAGAGCTAGGAAGCGGTAAACTACCACACATGACACTAAAACAAAAGCTATTTTTGGAGGTATAGCACAATGAATCGCTGTGATAATAATTATGTGCTGGAAACCATCTGCACGATACTGTATCGCCTGCACTTGACCGGGCGCCTTTCACGAGGATTCAAAACGCTGTTTCAGGCCCACATGTTGCGGTTCAACATGGAAAGAGCAGATATCCTGCCACGATACATCTCTACCGCTTCCATCCTCGTGTGAATAATCGTCGGGGCACCTGGGACAATGTCTTCTTGAGCCCCCGTCAAAGGCCATGGTTTACTTTCTTTCGACGCTACGCTCGGGGTACAATAAGGCCTCTCAACCCCGCAAAGCACTGCACTTAGCTTGATGCTAATTATACCATCTAAAAGCCCTTGTGAAGTTTATACTAGCGAGATGTGAAAAAATAATATTTTATAAAAGTTAGAGATAATCCCCAATCAGCCCAAGTATCCGCTTTCAAGAAGATCGAATAGTAGTCCCTTCCTAATTGTCATCATAGGCAATTTTCCTCACTGTACCTGTCATAACTCATGAGCCCATTTGATATCCATTTGTGTTAAAGACCAAGAATGATCAACACAGTTTACCATGCCGTAGGATACAAAGACATGGTCATTGACTCACATTGTCTGCCAGATGGGGCAAGCCACATGTTGCACCGCCACCGACCATCATCATCATCATATGTGGCTGCGCCCCACCATCGAACAGCTCCCAATCCAAAAAGCCCCGCCAACTCCCGCCAACGACAAACGCCGCGCAATTGCGAGGCATCACCGACTTCCAACGCACCATCCTAGGCATCATCGCTGAGCTGTCCTGCTCGCCATCCTGACCAAGATGCCGGTATGTACACACCTCTCCAGCTCCTCGTGCTCCCCCCCTTCCCTGCCGCCATATTTTCCCACCTCCATTCGGCCCGTATTACCAGTCACCACTTCTCCAGCAGCCTTCGCATCTTCGCCCTCAAGCTGACCACCTTACCAGGCCTACAACTCCATTTTCAACAATGACCCCAACCCTCCTCGCCTCATTGGCAACTTTCCCATCCTCCCGCTACGCACAAAGACGCGCGGACCGGCCTACACGCTTCCCATCCCGTCACCACCGCTGCCGGCCAACGAGTCCCCCGACCCGGACAGCGACAGTTACGATATCCTCGACGAGGTCATCTCGCTCTTCCGTGCCAACACATTCTTCCGCAACTTTGAGATCCAGGGTCCTGCGGATCGCTTGCTCGTGTACGGAATCTTGTTTCTGAGCGACTGTCTGCAAAAGATTAAGCCTGGCGCGACGGCGAGAGATGCGCAAAAGGATGTCATGAACTTGGCACTGGATTTGAACTTTGCTATCCCGGGAGACCCGGGCTTCCCCCTGAATCAGGTACGTTGCTGTTTTACAAGTGTTTCTACCGCCTTGGGCTACGATTTTTGTCGCAACTTGTTCCGGGGAATGGTGGCTCGAACCCTAATTGCGACTAACATTCCTTCGTGGTAGATGTACGAGCCTCCCAGGGATAGACTGGATGCCGAGCAGCTAAGGCAGTACATGTCCCAGGTACGGCAGGAGCTGGCGGCGCGATTACTTGCACGGGTGTACGCAGATGACGAAACCAAGCCTAGCAAGTGGTGGTTGAGCTTTACCAAGAGAAAGTTTATGGGCAAGGCGCTGTAAAGGATTGTTCCATAGTAGCCTTTGCGACTAGGCACAAACACAGTCCCCTGTTCTATACAAAACTTCAATAATGAGACACCACAATTGCAATGGTTTCGAAGCTGCTCGGGTCCATGGTTGATCAACCTTGATTACACAACACGTATCTGGGGCACAGTGTTCATTGCGATTGATGCATATTCTGGGTATCGCTCCTTGCATAATCTACACGCAAGCACATTCGTATCCCAATTCACCCACGGACACACGTAGACCCAAGGTCTTAGTCCAATCCATTAACCCAACAAATATACTATACAAAATCATCATGCCGCTTCTCCCCTCTTCTTCTGGAACTTGCCCCTTGCAGAAACCCTCCCCTGGGCCGGAATCGCCCTCCACCCCGTAAACAAGAAGCCCTCGGCGCCCCCTCTCCCCGTCATGAACGGATGTGTCCTCCCCGGCAGAACCTGCCACCTCCTGGCTCTGCTGCTCTGGACGGCCGCGCCCAGCACCAAGGTAGGATTAATGGGGAACTCCCTCGTGCCCCGCCACCGGTCCAGCTCGGCCTGCGTCTTGCCCTCCGCCTCCGCGGGCAGCGACGACACCCACGCCGCCCGGCGGCCGATGCTGAAGCAGTCCACCAGCTGTTCCAGCGGCTCGATGGTCGGCGAGTAGATGGCGATGGGGGCGCCCCCCGCCAGCAGCGGGAGCGCCTCGCGCAGGACGGAAACGGGGTCCATGGTGCTCGCTACGGCGAGCCCGGAAAAGCCGCCCGCCCGCGTGTTCTCGATGACCTCGTTGGTCCGGGCCCACCTGCGGCGTTTGCGGTGGTAGTTTCCGCGGCGGTTGGGTTTCCAGGACGCGAGCTCCTCGGGCGTCGCGTCCGCCGGCTTCTCGGAGCAGACGACGTCTTGCGCGGGGTCGACGAGCTGCAGCCACGAGATGGGGAGGAGGTTGGTGAAGAGCGGGTGGTACGGGTACGTCGGGTTGGGATCGCCGGCGTCGTAGTCAAAGTACCGCAGCACGGATAAGTTAGGCTGCGAATTGGAGTGGATGAGGGTGATTGTATTTGTGAGGGCGAAGTGGTCGTCGAAATCACGACAGCGAGGACGCTTCTTACTCGTCCGCTGCGCCTGTGGCGACGACGGAGGCTCTTGTTGTTGTTCGGGGCCGCCGTTTGCGCCGTTTTGCCCTGCGGCCGCCTCTGCCGCCGGCCGGCTCTCCTCCTCCTCCTCCCCGGGGCCCGGGGACGCGGCCTGCTCCCCCGGCTCGTGGTGCAGCAATCCCATCCTCTCCGCCAAAGCGGCCACCAGCAGGCCGCCCGTGTCATCGACCGCTAGCCACCGGCCCCCGTGAGGCTCGCGCACGCCCTGGGCGGGCTCGCCTCCGAAATGCACGTCTGCCCAGCATCCCAGCAGGCCCATCATCTCCGGCCTCAGCTCCAGCACTTTCCAGGCGTCTCTGTTCTCCAGCAGCCACTGGCCCAGCAGGACGACGTCCAGCGGCAGCACGGAGAATCTCCTCAGGAACTTGCGCTCTTTCAGGAGCTTGTATTTCGCGAGCGAGTACGACGTCTTCTGGTCAATCGCCGTGTGCGACAGCATGAGCTTGGCAATCAGCTCTTTGCCGGCCGAGGCGCCCTCGCGCTTCAACACCTCAATCTCGTCTGCTGTGAGCGTCTGCCGCGCCGAGTCGTCAATGATTTCTCGATTCGACCGCGCGACAACCTTGCCGGATTCGTCTACGAGCGCCAGCTGCTCGCCTTCGCCGACGACAATGGCCGCGTCGCCGTCCGTCTGCTCATTCTCGTTGGTCTCGGCGAGTATGTCGGCGTTGAGCTCTGCGCCGGGCACGATTCGCAGCCGGGAGAAGTTTTCGCCGGGGCGCTTCTCTTGTACTTCGTACGTCAGGTGGAACGGGCGCTCCATGAGCAAATTGCTCGGGAACGAGCCATATTTTCCGAGGGAGATTGTCCTGGACAAGAGGTGCGTCAGTGGTGTTTGCGTCGCAGGGCGGGTGGTGATGCGACGCACGTGTTTGGTGCGACTTGGAGAACGCGCAGTGCGTCGTTTGGCAGTCTCAATGCCACCCAGCTGTTGGGTTGTACCACGCTTCGAGACATGGTGGTTGGCGATGGCTGCGGCAACGAGAGTTGCTGCGAAAGCTGCGGACGGTCTCGGCCAAAAAAAAAATAATTGTCTGGTTCCTCATTTACTCACCTCGGTGAGTGAGCCCCGCTGTCGGCTGACCCCGCATTCTCGCCGACCCACTGGCTGCAGCCAGTCAGGTTACATGTATAAACCAGGTGAGTGAGAAACGAGCTCGCCAGCGGAATACATTTGGGAACTTTGCCAGACTATTCGGACATGTGTGCGAATTTGTTTATCTTGCTGCAAGCAGCAGTTCCTTATACGTGTGTTGCTAAACGAGTGACGGGGTCTTCACATACATACAAGGCATCACACCCTAGACAAATACTACCAACCCAAGTAGGTAAGTACTAACTAAACGGTAAAATAAACAGACTGTTGTATTGATATAAAGATGCTATCTATCAGGTTATATTCACTCCTTGGGCCAGGAAAATAAATGGCATGACTATATATTGTACCTCTGCAATCCCCTCCTGGCAATACCGACTCTCTACTACACTTTTTATTTCGCAAAACACAAAGGGGTTACAACTATATATGCAAACCGTCTCACCAATGGGGGGAAAAGGTAATAAAACCCATCAAAATACCAGAGATTAAGCCGGTAGCAGGTACAGTAATGATCCATCCGAGATAGATCCAGGCAACCATCCGCCAGTTGATGGAGCGCCAGTCACCGTTGCAGAGGCCAACGCCAACAATGGCACCAGTGATGCACTGAGTCGTAGAAACGGGCAGCTCTGTTTGATTTCACACCAGTCAGTAGTCCAAAAATGCATCACCACCCCCAAAGATTTAAATTCTAGACTTACTAAGACGGGTAGCCACGATGATGGTAATGACGGATCCCAGTTCCATAGAGAACCCACGAGAGGGGGACATTAGAGTGACGCGATTGCCCAGGTTGCGCATAATGTGGTAGCCATATGTCCAGAGGCCAACGACGATGCCAGCGCCGCCAAAAGCAAGAATCCACAGGTCAACCTGAGCCTTCTGGGGTATCACGCCGCTGTTCCAGATCTGGTAGATGGTGGCGTAGGGACCTACCGCGTTGGCGACGTCGTTGGCGCCGTGGGTAAAGGAGGCGGCCGCCGCCGTCATGACCTGCAGGAAAGTGTAAAGGAACTCGGCCTTGTTGTCGTAGTGGTGGGCTCGGGCATGAATCTCTTCGACATCACCCGCAATAACAGACTTCTCGCTCTGGGAACTGACAATGTCCTGGTCGATGCCGCGCAGCAGAACCCACTTGAACCACCACCATAGCCCGGCGCCAGAGTACCAAGCAGAGTCGGGCTTGGGGCCGATGAGAGACTTGTGAGTAGAGGCGACGGGCCGTTCGGCAGCCTCTGGGGCGGAGATGTCGGAAGCGGCGGCCGTCTTTTCGTGTTGACCCTCGACATCTTCGGTGGTGGCAGCGTCTCGGGCACGTCGAGCCTCGAGTTCCTCCCGGGTCAAATGGCCCTCGTAGAAGTTGCGGACAACGCCGGTGAAGTTCTCCGGGGGCGGAGGGACCTCGCCTCTTCGGAGAAGAAGGGGACCCTGAAAAATGTGCCACCACTTCAGCTGCCAGTCCTCCTTGATGACAACCCGGTACATCCAGGGCACAAGGAACAAGCACACCAGCAGACCCCAGGCAGCGCCCGTGGCCACAATGACACCGGGGATCTGGGCGTCCGTCAGTTTAACTTCGTAGTCGCCACCCTTCCAGATCAGCAGCATGACGATGAGCGAGGCCGTGATCCAAAAGTAGATGGGGACGAGGACGAGGCCTCTCACGGCGGGATTCGATCGCAACAAGACCCCGTACTTGGTGATGAGGAAGATGGCCGCGCCGAACAAGCCAGATAGAACCGGTGCGATGACCCAGGCGAGGAAGACTTGGACTACACCGCCCTTGAGGTCGACGGAGCCGTCTTTGTTGTAGCCCACCCAGGTGATGCCGGTGTTGCCAAGGGCGCCAATGCCCATGCCCAAGACGCCGCCCAGAATGGAGTGCGTGGTCGAGACGGGCATACCGAACCGAGTGGCGGCGGTGAGGTAGCACGAGGAGGCGATGACGGCGCAGACCATGCCGAGCATGAGGAGGGCGGGCCGTTCCTCAAAGGCACCGACGTCGACGACCTTGGTTCGGATGGTATCGGCGACACGGCCGCCCACGCCGAGGGCGCCGCTGAATTCCATCAAACTGGCACCGATCATGGCCTGGACGTAGCTGACGGATCGGGACGAGACCGATGAGGCCCACGAGTTGGCCACATCGTTGGCTCCAATGTTCCAGGCATCGAGGAACGCAAAGATGGTGCCAACGGCAAAGAGGTAGTCGTACTGATGGAGCGTCATTTTGCGCTTCTTGTTGTTGTCCCCGTTTATCTGTTGGTGTGCATGTAATAGGCTCCCATGTACAAACCGCGGCAAGGTGGAAGGGTGCCTCGATCCCAGCAGAGTGGCAAGACGGACGGCAGACTGGGTGGCCCGAGGTTCGGCTTGGAGAAAGGGATATCAAATGGTGCTAGCGAAAGGTGTTCAGCGGCCTATATAGAAAAACTATGGGTGTGGACATGACGGAGACATATACACGTCGGGCAGGCAAGTCGTTGGTTCGAAGGACAGTCTCCATGTGGCGTTGACAGCATGCAGGGCCAAGGCCGACTAGGAGAAAACCTAGCCTAGAGGATTAATGCGAGTTGCACATGACGGATTCGCAGTCGTGCTACGACTCTTTATGCTCATTGGAGCAGGCCTCCCCCCAGAGAAGAGACTGTAGGACTGTCCGAGGAAGGGTTGGTGGGTCTCTGGCTCCAAGCATTATCTTGGAAGCCTTTGAGGGATTGCAAAGGCGTATTTGCATCGCACTCTTCATTGTCCTTTTGACAGGCGTGACTAGGAATTAAAGTTGAGGAAGGGTATTACACGGCATGCAGCTCAACGAAGCGGAGCGGTCGGAAACCCCGAATTAGCAAACAGTTGTACAAACACCTGGCCGTCTCGTCTGAATGATTGTTAAGACGGTCATCATACTTGACTTGAACATTCTGTCGAGTCAAGATTATTTGATGAAGAATAGTATCGTCTTCTTCAACCCGTGTGAGTGGGTGCATTGGTGATATGGTCCACCACTCGTGACAGAGCCCAGATGATGGCGACGATGATCGTTTATTGGTCTTGTTGTCTAGTGTATTCACGAGCAGACAAGTCAGCACGCCGTATCATGGATGTTTGATGGCCAAAGGGTCTTCTTTGGAAAGCAGCACGAAACATGTGAGGTCTCGGTCCAATGCTAGATGGCCGATTAGACCAGTCGGCCTCGTACATACTTGATCTCCTTCTCCCACAGAGGAAGCAACAAGCGACTCGCAAACGCCACTGTTCAACGTCATGCAACGACACAACTCAACCCGGCCATAATCCGGCTATGAGCACGAGGTAAAAGACAAGCTTAATCCAGAGTCTAATCAGAGTTAGCGCGCCAAGCCGAAAAGCGGATAGGGGCAGTGCCAAGCCGTGCCAGATCTGGCAATGACCTCCTGTCTAGACCAATCATAGGCATTGCAGACTACACGTGTAGGAACAACTCGACTCCTGTTGCGAGCAACGAATTGTTTCTGCAGCGCCTCACCTTGGCAATTATCTTGGCCTTTTGGCGACTTTTCCTCCTCGACTTGGCACACGGAACATGAAAAGGCCATGATTATGCTTGGCACAATGACCAAGACACCTCTGGACTGAATTCATGAATCGTTGGTGGCTCTGCATCTTCTCTCCAGCCCGAATCTGAATCTGGCTCTTCACTCGCCACCGGTTCCGCGGTTTGGTACCCGGTCCAGGTGCACCACGTGGGATTCAAGAGATTCCACGAGTCCCCGTACTGTTTAGTGACAGCCGGTTTTCTGCTGAAGCAAGGGACGCATCACATGCGTCGCATCTTGATGGATACACGTTGGGCCCATGTTAGTGGTTACCAGGACTTGACCAAGATGAATACATGTACTCCATGCATACGCACCGATGCAGACACCAACTCTCGGTGGCAAAAACTAGCTAGCGCAAACATGCCAAGCACGCGAGCACTCAGCCGTTGTGTACTAGTTGTTGCCATCGATCCAATTTGAGGCAGCTTATGAGAGATGAAATCCGACGTCGCGGTCTGCACGAAGAATGTGAATGGTTTCTGCCAAAATCCAGCTCAATAGGTCTAGATGTCGGTCCTCGACCTATAACCTAGACACAATACTGCAGGCGAACCGACTCTCTTTCACTTACATGTGATGCTTTGCCAAAAGCTTACATGGAAGGAGCTTGTAAACCAATTTTTGCCGCAATAGGCTGAAATTTCTGCCAACCATCTGATACGAGTTGAGTGGGACTACGGGCCACGCATCTCATGGCATATATTTGCCTCCACAAGACGCACCAAAGGATGGCTTGGGGAACATAAAGTCTTGGCCACACCCACGTGTTACCATGTCTGGCTGTATTGCAACTCTGATTTCTTAATCGTGAGCTGAGCTTGGCGCCAAGTTGTAAGCCCAGTTCCAAGTTGCCGCTCTCGGCAACACTTCGACGTTGGTTTGAAATGCTTTTCTCCTTGTCTGACTGGCCTCCTCAAGACCTACTCCGTGGTCATTATCTTATCTTCCTTCGCTGACGTAAAGATGTCTCGTATCACTTGGAAAATGCCAAACCCTCAATCGCATGTCGAACAATAATCTTTCGATATGACGAGGCTCTCGACTTTCCGGTGTAGTCAACTTATGTCCGTGTAATTATTACCATCCTGGGCAGGCACTAGATGTCTGGACAGATGGGTAAGCAGATGTGTAGTAACACTGGCAGTCGTTTGCGTAGTATTCCGACTTATAGACACCTGGATTGTATGCTGTCATTTTCTTGTAGTATTTGGTCATATTTCTATTAGTATAGGAGAACTGTTGCTTCTAGCCATCGCATGATTTCTCACCACTGTGAAGCACGGGTCACTCGTTTTGTTATACTGTCGATGATGAGATCATAGTGCAAGACAAGCATGGCATACCGCGTATCGCCATCTTGAAGCAAGGCTGGAAGAAGCGGGACAATAGCTGCGACGAATTGATGCCCTACATGTCAGGATTCAATCTTATATGAGTGATGGAATAACCCTAACCATGGCCTAACGGCTTGAGGCTGGGACATGGAAGTGTGGCCGCGAGATCGCCAGCTTGGCTCGGTGCGTCCATCAGCAGCATTCGTGCCCGTCGGGCCGGAGATGTCTGAGACATGTTCTGATATGAGATCTTCTGTCGGTAGTTTCCACAATGCGATGAGCTTGGGAGAACAAGCAAGGGACTATGGTCGCGCTGGTCAACTGCCCAGGAGCCATAACAACCTTGACCGACGTCTTCTGTGGTCGGAAGGTTCTCGGTGACAAGGAATAGAGTGAAGGGTCTGCACTGTGCAGAACACGCCACCTCGCACGGGCCGAGGTTGGGTCCGACAAGGCGCGCATTCTTCTGCTAGTCAAAGGTTGAGACTTTCAGGAAACAAAACAAAACGGAGAATGAAAGAGGGAGGTAAATGCCATCTTTCAAGGCTGAGCTTCCCTTATGGCGGTTTCAGCTGGCCTTTCATGGTCCCTTGCTGCATATGCCTGACAAAGCGTCTCGTTTCGACCGGCGACGTTATTTGGCGACCCAAAGCCGAGCCATATTTGAACTCGTACGCTGCACATTTTCATTTGTCTGGCTGATCCAAGTTTTACTCAAGGCACATTGAGCACGCTCAACCAACCCCCCGCCTCTCTTGCCAACCCTTCAAGGGCAATCTGACTGCATGGACGACACACAGGAAGACATAGCCACGGCCATATCCGACATTGTACACCAATGTCTCGATTGCTTTGGCCGCGTGGTCGAAAATCATGGCAATTCATTCCTCTCGCACTCTCTCAATCCAGGTGATGGCCCTACGACTTCTACGAAACAAAGACGCTCGCCCTTTGACTTCCGAGGCTTACGCAACAGCTTCTTGTTTTGAATTGACTACACAGGAGCCCTGTCGCTGATGGATTCATCGCTGAATGAAAGACTGCGAGGTCTTGCTGACATTTCTGCAATGGTGGTGGAGTTTTTGGAGATGATTTTGAGAAACTTGCATCGCAGTAGGTCTAACCATAGTGGTGTAAGAACATTACTTGTTTGTGGATGGTTCGCCAATTCACGTCATGGTACTTTGAGTCCAGTCGATTGCAAGCCAGAAGGTCTTTCGTTCCCCTCTCACGATGCAACGACATCATACTCAGAAGCGCAACCAAGCTTCCTGACAAGATGGGAAGATGCCTCTCGGGGAGTCGACTCCGCCCTAGATCGATTACACATTGTGGTTGTTGCCAAAGCATCAGAAAAGCAACTGAATCACATGGTCACGACCATACTTACCGAGCAAGATGTTGCCTTTCGTAGGGACATGGCGTCATTGGTCCGTTACCGATTCCCAGCTGCCCGCAAGGGATTATGCCAGCAATTGGGAGATGACATCGCAGCCCGACGTCGAATGCTATTGCAAAAAGAAACGGCATGCAATAAGACTTGTTGTCAGACAAGTCCCCAAGACTGTATCCCTTGCCAATCAAGGCAAAGATCATCATCTGAAAACTACACAAGCGACCGCCGAGCAGGGCAAAGATAGACGACCGCCTAATCCTACGGTTGTCACCGGCCTAACAACAGCTTCTCGGCCGGACATGGACCCAGAGGCACCCGCGATTAAACGACTTCAACTACCCTCGCAAGGGACCATGACAACAGCCATCAGCACCATTTCCACTACGCAACAAGACTCTTTTATATATCCGCCACCCCCAACGGCCAGCGAAGGAGAGACTCGCGTCCAATGCCCATTTTGTTTAACGGCTTTGGAACACAGAAGCTCAGAGAAAGAGAGAAATGACCATTGGAAACGCCATGTCGACCAGGATATTAAGCCATATGCTTGTCTGTTGTATCCTTCGTTCACCGTCACGAATAGAAGGCTCATATGGAATCTGTCCATTCGAAAGATTGGTTACGCAAGGCGCATACTATGCGGTGGTATTGTAATTTGGACCGTGACCCCTCTATGACCTTTGAGACCGAGTTGCAGTGGAGAGCACATATGCTAGATGTCAATTCTCACCCGGAAAAGGAGTCTGCCCCAACCGCAGTGCAGCTTGACGCCCTTTCTCCTAGGAGACAACAAGTCGCTCTGCGCAATCGATTTGTATGCCCACTTTGCGAACAAATTCCCAAGGAGATACGAGAAAGGTGGCGAAAAGCAAGGGAGACTCAACTTAAATGTACAATTTTGTCTTGGACCATGTGGCGAACCACATGGTTTCATTATCGCTCATAGCCGTACCTTGTCTCGATAGTTCAGCTCAGGAAACAGCCAACATGAACAAAGAGTCGGTAGTTTTCACCAAAGGCTCTTTCGGGAGGCTTTTGAACGCAGACTCTATTCCTCAGCCACCTCGTGGTCGGGAGCACATGAAGGTTGCTCCCCTGCCTCCTGAGGGCAGCTTACAATGGACATAAAGCGACTGTATGATTGCTCCTCGAGCGTGGTGCTCGTGTTGAAGCAGCCGACAATTCGCGCCGGACGCCACTTTCGTGGGCGCTAGTGAGAGATGGTGAATCCGTCGTGAGGCCACTTCTCGATCAGGGTGTGGAGGTTGACGCTGTTGATAATTCACGTCGAACACCACTCTTGTGGGCTGCAGAGGGGGGATCTGATGTCATGGGTCACATACTCGTCGAGAAAGGTGCCAATATAGAGGCACTTGACCCAGACGACCAACAGACGCCTCTCTCGTTGGCGGCTGAAAAGGGTCATGAGAAGGTCTGGTGGTACGCGTGCTCTTGGCGAACGGAGCAAACCCCTCAGCGGTCGACTCGCAGGGGCTAACGCCCCTATCTTGGGCTACCGATAATGGACATGATGAGGTTGCCCAATTTCTGAGGTCCTTTGGTGCCCAGAGTCGTCCGTTGTCCTGACTGCTTATATTGCAATCTTTTTTTGCAGCTTTGTCGAGGCTCTTAGAATCCCGCAAACTTGAATGGAAATACACGAAAAGATGGCTGATACTGAATCATGCGAATGGGCCACATACGGAAAGGGCATCAGGAAGTGGCGAAGCAAAGATGACAAATAGATTGATATTTCCAAACATTCACCGTCATGGGCATGTTCAGCCCCATGTTTGTGATACCAGGTTGTACCACGATACCCAATCAGTCAAGTCTCACTAGCAAGTCCGGCGAGAGAGTTGGAACGTACAGCATGGTGATATTTCCCAGGTGCATCGAAATTGTCAATCTCGTCTGACCAAGGAATCCCATCTTGAGCTCCCACGCTCTGGATCGTAATAGCAGCAGCCTTGTTCGCACGAATAACGGCGCTTTCAATGTCCCACCTCCGTTTGGCCTTTTACCGCAGGGAATCCGAGGCGTACGCCCCCACAGAGGTATCCCTCATGAACACAGTCAGAAAATATGCATGAAAGATTAGGAGACGAAAAGAAATATACCATGCGCCAGTGGTATCCCTGACTTTAACGTCAAATGCACGGCAATGGCCACTCCCCTTGTATTAGCGTAGAATGCCCCCTTGGCACCAAGTGTAACAACCCAGCACGTTAGCTACACCATGTCAAGTGTCTTGGTTGACTTGGTCTCTATCACGCCCCGACATGATTGCTGCCCCTGACTCGTTCACCAGTAGATGCGTTACATGTTGGTAGAGACATCTGGACGTTTACGAATTGGGCTTGCGGGCGTTGCGTCGAGGCAAAGGTCGATGCCAGCAGTTGCCAGCATACCTCCAACCACTTCCTTGGCAATCTCCATCTGAACCACCACCGGATTCAAATCGACTCTGCTTCTGTGGGTGAACATTGAATACCGTTGACATCAAATGGTACAATCAATGCGTCAGTGCACTTTGGCCAGCACATGCCATACCCTCAATGGCCACCAGCCAATCGGGCAGGCTCTTATTATCAGGCGACACGCTCATCGAATCTTCCGTTTACCTTGACATCTCATGCGGTGCGACTACAGACGCCAATTACAGTGAAGAGGAGATATCAGGCCGCTATTGTTAGATTTTCTCGCTCCGTGGCTCACCGCTGCGAGCCATTACCCGTCGTGATATTGATATTTACTCTTCCAGTTATTGTACCAGTAGTGGGATATAAACACTTGGATGGCGGAGCACATTTCTTCATCCCGAGCTTTGAGCCTAAATTCGACCCCATCAAATTACCTATAACCCTCAGGCATTTACCCAGCCTAAAGACATCTTAACGTCGCGAGGTATTCCACCCCTGTATGGCTCTCAACAAGGAGTACATTACGCTAATTGGGGTCCGGGTTTGCTCATTCTGCCGTCGGCCTTTTGCATTTCCTTGGACGTTTCGCCCTGTATAAAAGCATTCTTTGCCTGACCGTCGAAGCTGCTCTAAAATGGCGAGATTTCACATGAATGAACCTGCCTACTCCATGAACTATTCGTCGACTTGTGGGGAACTCTTGATCTGGTGCTCTTCAGCCAATTCCTTGAGCCGAACCAGGCTCGTCGAGAAAAGTGCGTGAGTTTGCTCAAAACAAGAGCGGCTCGAAGGGAAACTAGGCGGTAGAGTGGATCCATGCGTTTATTATTCCGGGTGAATTTCATATTACATGACATGGCCCCCATGCTGCATGGTAATTGGGTTCTGTACACTTTTACTACAAACGAGATGATTGTGGACGCGCGCCTTCCCAGGAGAGACTCCCGGTTCCACGCAGTATTATGCGTTATGATGTAATATCTGAGCATGTGTGACCTGGGGCGTATGCCTGCTAGCATCCTGCTGGTCATCGTGGCAATAGTATTTCATTCCAAGCGCACTTCAGTACCTAGACTTGGCACGCCACACGTCCGTTCTGACGGCCCAATATTGAGGTCGTGGGAGACGGATTAAGCTGCAATCATCCGTCGGCGAAAGGGATTGCAGCCGATGCTTGGTGGCACGCGTGGGCCAGCATTGTATAACAGGTCTGGTAGAACAGGGATGTGGAACAGGGCTTCGGAGCAGGTACAGCTGAGGGGGTCGGTGGGCAGCCAGAGGTTCGGCGAAGCAATAATGGTTGCCGCTGACGTGTGGGTGATGGTGATGATGGCGACGGTCACGGCCAACAAGGTCGTGCGCTAGTCAGGACCAGTCGCCCCCTGCGCCAATTTCTGTAGAACCAACCACTTGACATCACGGCCCGAGACCGGAGTCGGTGTGCGCAGGTGTTTGCAGGTACCTGGCAACTGGCAACTGGCACTGGCGCCTGCCGAGATGATGCGTAGATTTGCAATCTTCCTCTTGGGTGCATATCTTTAACCCTTGCCTGTTGTTGAGCATTCGGCGTTTTTTTCCCCAGAAGAATCTTCCAAAACTTCTAGTGTGTGCGTTGCAACCACGACATGGAGAGGCGTTGCGGACCACCTTCCTCTCCGCATCGCATGGCAGGGTAGCCACGAACTCAAAACAAAACTTCCCCGCAATCTGTCAACGATCGCCTTTTGAGACACGCGGAATGGAAACTCGCATGCTCTGTAGGACACGGCACGCTGGGTTCAGCCTGTCAGCCTGCTTGCCGTCGGGTCCCCAAGTGGCAAGGGGGTTCGCATTTCGGGCCATCTTTGTGTCGAAGACGAAATGGCCGAAACGCAGTCATTGCCAATCATGAATTCGACCAGATCCCCCTCCCCGCTCCCCGTCGATTCTGGGGAACGACCCAGTCAGCTGCAGCCTGCAGGCGGCATCCCGCAGGCCCAATCCCCAAACCTGCGCATCGGCTAGCACATGAGCTTATTGTTGTGCAGGTAGGGAAGGACAACCTAACCCAGTCCACTGGGTGGCTGTTGTCTCGCATCAATTGATCTCGCCGTCCGAGTGGAGGGAGGGAGCGGGCAGTGCTGGCTCCCAAGCAAGCAGCCTTTGGCCTTGGGCCATCAATGCGCAGCGATGTCACCCTCCTGAGGCTTCGACGGCCGCAACGTGTCGAATTCTCCTCTCTCATCTGGCCGGCGCCTGCGAGTTTGATGAGAATCACGACATTCGCAGACCAATGTTCTTTTCGGGGGGCCAACGCAACAGGCTGAACTTCTGCCCACTGCCGGCTCCATGCCGATTCCCGACTCCTCGCCATTTGGTGGGCCCTGGATATTGCGCTAGTCTTATTACCGTCGGGACTTTATAGCCACGCATGAAACACGCATTTAGCTTGAATTAGTACCCACCACGCAACCATGGAGTATGATCGACCACCGTCACACTCACCTCTTCACCCGGTCATGCTCCACCTGATATTGTACTGTACGACACTTGAGAGAGGCGACGTCGCACCGCCTTGACACGTCGAGGGCTGGCTTCTCCAAGAGGTGTGAGGGAGAGGGGCAGAATCAGGTTAAATGATCGACGTCCCCAGCTGCCCTCGCGTCGTCTTTTCCATCGTCAAGTTCTCCAGGCGCACACAAGCAGTTGGCTCCTGTTACCATCGCCGAGGCGTCGCCCTACCAAGCCTGCCAAGGGGGGACACAATCACTCGACAGTTTCGCCACCCATGTCCTTCAACGAGTTCCTCAAGCGGCGCTCGCTCAAGGCCGACGATACTCGCCGTACGCGAGCGGCCGAATTGACACTGCGCCAGTCCATCTATCCCATTTGCCTGGTTACCATTCTGTTCTTTCTCTGGGGATTTAGCTATGGTCTACTAGATACCCTCAACAAGCATTTCCAGGTTGTACTTGGTATCAATCGATCACGTTCGGCGGGTCTGCAGGCCGCTTACTTTGGGTATGAATACGGCTGGGGGGGCTCTTATTCGGCCGCACTCGTACACAAGCTGACACGTTGGGCAGCGCGTATCCTCTGGCTTCCGTTGGTCATGCGGCATGGATTCTTCGGCATTACAGCTACCGTGCTGTTTTCATATGGGGCTTGTGTCTGTATGCCCTTGGTGCTCTGTTGGCCATTCCGGCACTCAAGAACCATAGCTTTGGCGGATTCTGTGCTTGCATCTTCATTATTGGCAATGGCCTTGGGTCGCTCGAGACGGCTGCAAACCCCTACATCACAGGTGCGAATCTAGACCGAGGCCCTGCCGCTTTCATGGCCATTGCGCATTGACTAACGCAGTGCACAGTCTGCGGTCCTCCAAGATACTCCGAGATTCGAATCAATATTTCACAGGCCTTTAATGGCGTGGGCACCGTCATTGCCCCGGTGCTGGGTTCATACGTCTTCTTCAACTTCAGTGATGAGCGTGCGCTTGACAATGTCCAGTGGGTCTATCTAGCCATTGCCATCTTTGTGCTCCTGCTCGCCACGTTATTCTTCATGTCTGATATCCCAGAAATCACTGATGCCGGTATGCCTCCCCCTCCCCTCTCTTTGTTTTCGTTCACAAAGACGGCGCCACAATATGCAGGCGGTTAACATGGCACAGACATGGAGTTCCAAGCAAAGGAAACACATGCCGGCGCCACAGAGAAACCATTTATTAAGCAGTACAAACTATTCCATGCCGCATTTGCCCAATTCTGTTACACGGGTGCTCAAGTAGCCGTTGCTAGCTTCTTCATCAATTATGCCACAGCCACCCGCCCAGGCACATCCGACTCCCTCGGGTCCAAGTTCTTTGCTGGCGCGCAGGCAGCATTCGCCATCGGACGATTCACCGGTGTCGGCATTATGAAATATGTCCGTCCGCGATGGGTTTTCCTTGCCTTCATCTCGTGCTGTATCATCTTTCTCTGCCCGTCGATAACCCAGCGCGGCAACACGGGCATCTCGATGCTCTACGTCGTCTTGTTCTTCGAGTCCATTTGCTTCCCTACCATTGTCGCGCTTGGCATGCGAGGCCTGGGTCGACACACCAAGCGCGGCAGCGGCTATATTGTCGGCGGTGTCGTTGGCGGTGCCGTTGTCCCGCCCGCAACAGGCGCTGCAGGAGATACATTTGGTGACGGCTACGCCATGTTTGTGCCGCTGATATTCATGGTAATGGCTTGGACATACGCCGCCTGCGTCAACTTTGTTCCCGCATACAGAAATGTCGTCGACTCTCTTGGTGAGGCTGAGATTGGCATTGTACACCGGACAGAAGATGAGGAGAACAGCAAATCAACATCAAATGATGAGAAATCAAGGGAAGAGCATGCACACATCGGGCATGTTACGAAGGAAAATACTGTGGAGACGGACGCTGCACTGGCTTCGGCACCAAAGGATTTATAGCATAGATGGGCGTTCATTAAAGGGTTATCCAATGTTGTCTTTAGATGTTATTCATTGTTCAATTGTTTGATGTTCTCATGGTGCCGCGTTCACTGTACAGAGGGACGAACTTGAAGCGAACAGACGTTGTGATCTGACGGACAAAGAAGCCGGTGAAGATTTCGGCAACCATGTCCCCTTGGTATATAAAGCGCATTAATCCCATGGAAATGAGGCCGCAAAACTCATCATACCACATTACCACCCGCAACTGTCCTCTGGCGTTTTACGTTGCAGCCCACACACTCATCACAACTCGTCCCAGCCAAGTCCATCACAAAACTTGAGGCCACCTTCACACTTCACACAATGGGAATCCACGAAATCTTCTCTGCCGGATCCGAAACCGACTCCTACACAGGGCAAGGCAGACAAAGCGGCCTCACCGCTGACGCGAACCACGACACAATCACAACCACCGAAGCAAGAGGTACAAATGCCCAGGGCGCATGGTCCGCGTACTCAGCATCAGCAGTCGTCGTCCAGACAGCACGCTCCGACAACGAAGGTGCTTGTCAGATTGTCGTCACCAAAGAAATTGCCGTGTGTCGCGCTAAAGACATGGAACTGGAAGACATCCAAGCCGCCATCACACTATGCAATATGAGCTTAAGCGGCTCCCGACACGGCGGGACAGCGTGAACAGACGAGACTGGCGCGAACCATCAGCTACAGCAGGATTGGCAAATGACTTGTCAGAGATTTTGGTAGTCGCAGGGAAAGGGGGTCCATGTACGTCGAGTATAGATGTTCGCACTGGCCGTACACGCAAATAGATACACATCAATAACATGACAAGCTAGTAGGCTGAACAAGGCAAATTTCGTCCGTCGTGATGTCTCTGTAAGAGTATCTAGTCTAGGCAAAGTTCCTCCTCCGCCCACCCCTCGTGCTCCTCTCGACGTGGCCCCTCAGGACTTTTCTCGTCTCGACCAGGCTCCTCTTCTGCTTGCTCTTGGCTTTACCCAGCGTCATGAGGAAATTCTTCTTCCTCGCCTTCTCCCTGTTGCTCGTGCTCTTGCCCGCGGCCTCCTTCTTGCTCTTCTTGATGGCCTGCGTGGACTTGTGCTCCTCGCGGTCGGGCTTGCCCTCCTTGGCGAGCGCCACCTTCTCCTCCTTTGTCAGCTTGCGCAGCTTGGCGGGCGCCTCGATGTTCTCCGCCGTGAGGCCGTCGTCGGTGTGTCTACGGGAATCCGGGTCGTTGCGCCTGCGGCGCCCAGAGGCGGCCGACTCGATGGCCGCCGCGGCGCGGAGCTCCTGCAGCTTGGCGAGGTCGGCGGGCGTGAGGATGATGGTGGTGGCGAGGAGCTGCATGCGCTCGAGCTGGGCGGCCGCAGAAGATTCGCCGTCCGAGGCGTCGCCGTCTCCCTGCTTCTGCTTCTTGAGGGCCGGGGCCTCGTCGTCCGAGTGCTCGACGTTGATCCACTCGCCCGAGTCGCTGCTGTCGTCGGAGCCCACCTCCCACCCGTCCGAGTCGAGGCCGTCTTCCTCATTGTCCTTTTCCTCGTCGCTGCCGGCTGTTTCCGGCAGGCCCTTTTCCAGCCGCCGCCTCTTCTTCTCATCGTCCTTCCACTTGGCTAGGAGGTCGAGCCCCTCTATGCTGCCGGCCGCTTCTTCGCCAAACTTTTGCTGGTGCTGCAGCCCGTGCCTCAGGCCGATGGTGGCGTCCTTGCCTCGGTCCTTTCTTTGCAGGAGCTCCGCGCCGACTTCTCTGTACAGGGATAGCAGGCCCTTGGCGGCCATCATGACTCCCTTGTCTTTGCTCTTGCGGTACTGGACAAGGTCCTGTAGGAGGGTGTCTGTCATGGCCAGCGGCTGTCGGGCGCAAATCTCGCGAATCGAGTTGAGACCGGCGGCGGCGACTTCTGCCGCTGCTGCCTCCGAGACAAATTCGTTGGCAATCTTTTGGATGAGCGGTTCGAGGACATCGGGGGGGACTAGGTTGTGGGTGCCTTGCGCCAGCGATGCTAGGATGGAGGTGACGGACTGTTGGCGAGGGGTGAGGTACTTGATGAACCAGGAGTATAGCGCGACGACTGTGAGCTTGTGCAGCCCGACCAGTCGCGTGACCAGCTGAAGCACCAGAAGCTTGGAGTCCAGGGATAGTTTGGATTTTGTATTTTGAAGGTGTTTAGAGAAGAGCTGCTCCACGAACCCCTGGGGGTCATGTAGCAAGTGGAGAGCCGAAAAGTTCAACGGGTGAGGCTTGGCCTTCTTCTGCTGGTCTCGCCGGACCTTGTTCACCGCCTTGTCATACGTCTTCTTCTGCTTCTTGGTCTTCTTGTTGATGCCGATTTGGTGCCTGATTTTGGACAAGTCGATTTCGTCGTCGCTGCTGTCGTCTTCCAGCTCCTCTCTCTCCTTGTCGCCGCCCAGGAAGAAGCGCGTGGCGCCAATCACCACCTTCTCACTGTCCGACAAGCAGGCCTCCTTCATGACGTCCACGGGCCTGGCGTCGGTCCAGATCTGTCGCTTCCACAGTTCGCGCGTCAGCTTGATGGCCCAAATGGCCCTCGGCGAGGATCGATCTGCAGTAACCAAGTTGTACAGAACAGTCTGGACGGTCCGATTCAGCGGGTGATTGATCGATTTGGAATTTGAGTTCCTCATGTCGCTTAAGATTTTCTGAAACAGCAGTTCGCGTAGTGTTTTGCTCGGCGACGATACCAGGATGGGGAACAAGGTCGTCAGAAGGCTCGCGGAGTCGATGACGTCCTTGCGTCGTAAGAGCACAAGACTCCCCACGACCTTGTCCCTCAGATCGGGATGCAGCACAACGTGGTGTTCGTTCAAGATCAGCTTCAGGTCATCTGGATATGTCCTCGTCTCCTCGGGGTAGCAGTCGGCGACGTGGGCAATCAAGTCAATCATGTTGTGAAAGGATTCGATCGAGTCGGCGGTCCCGCCGGCCGGGTTCGCTAGGAAGATCTCGCGCTGGGACTCATATTGCTCCCACTGCTTGAGAAAGTCATCTTTGTAAGATCTTGAACCAGAAAGAGTTAGAGAGCTCATGGGATTTTTTTTAAAGAGGGCAAGGGGACGTACTTGGGATCCCGACGAATCTTGTATTGCAAACTCGCGCTGGAAGAAAGCAATTAGCATGCGTCTGACGTATGAAGAGATTTGAGTGAGCAATTTACAAGTCTGCATCGAGCTTCTCCAGCGCCGCAACTTTTCGCTTCACCATTGTGGCCGAGAAGTGTATGCGCCCGTCGAGGTTGCAATAATACGTGGGATGCAACTTTTCAAAGTTTCTGAAATTTTGCCTGCGTTGTCTTAAGATAAGATAAGATAAGATAAGTAATCCACCGTAAAGCCCCACCTGCCTGTCTCGGAGTTGTTGAAGTTGTGGGTCCGCCAACTTTGAATTCCTCGCCGCCAAGAATCCAGAAGTCCGATCGACGATCCCCTCCAATCATACCTTCGTGGGTCGTTAGCAACTCAGAACTGTGGGCTCGTTGTGAACCTTGGTTGCTTGCTATGCTGTGGCACTCGCTATGCACATACGTTATACTTTATAAGCCTAAATATACTCAGAGTAATTATCTAGGCACTGCTTTAAGAGAGAAGAGAATATACAGAATAGTATCTAAAGCTTCCTAAGCTCTAGAGATGTTACTCAATAGAAATTCTCTGCTAGTTTTCTAATGTCTTAGATTACCCCTCTCTATAAGATATTGCTGTCGGATAATGGCGCCTCTGTTGTCAGGCCACGCAACCGTTTTACTGCCTGTGTGGCAACAGCAGTCGTAATGCTGCTGCCTGAAGGCAGTATTTCGAAAGTATGATCTTGAATTTCCGCTGTGTAGGAGAAAAGACAGAGACAATGAATATCAAAATTGAAACCGCGCAACGCGACAATTGCCATCCTTTACTTAGAATCTATAGAGAGAGTGCGGTCTTCTCGTTTCACAAAGAAAGGCAGGAGACCTTGATGACATTGACTGAGACCTCTAAACCAACAAGATCCGATGATTATGACTCTAGAGATCTTCCAATTGGTGTATCATCTAGATCTTGGGGGGGATGTGGTTGAAGTCACGGATAACCTCCAAAGCTCCTCTCTCGCCGCTACGAATTGCTCCTTCCATATACCCCTTCCATTCTTCGGCAGTTTCCGTGCCTATAAAGTAAATGTCGCCCACAGCATCTCTGGTCACATCGACAACAGAGCTCAACACCCCAGGTGGCAACGAAGCAGACGGACATCCGTACCCGCTAAAACTATCCTCGTTCCAGGCATAATCCAAAATCTCAATGACCAGCTCCTTGACCTTTGTTGGTTCTCCAAATACATCGCCTATGTGGTGAAGAAGAGCTTCTTTGCGTCGTTTGGGAGGCAATTGTGACCACTTTTCACCGGGAGAGCCGGCCATGAAGCATGTCAAGACGTGTTTGTTGTCAGCTGGAACACTGGTGTCACGTATGACGCTGATGGGGCCATGGAACGATTGGACAAGGCCACAGAAGCCCTTGTTCACCCAAAAGGGGCTGCGAAATGATATCATGACTTTCCTATAGAATCCATACTGATGGGAACTCGCCAGCAGCGTTTTTGACGATGGAAGGGCCGGAATAAATGTCAACTTTGAAAGAACGGGTGGGGGAACGGCACTGATGACTTTGTGAGCGGTAACATTGACGTTTGGACCCGAGATTTGGATCCTGCGTGTATCGAGGCTTTCGACCGTTGTCACAGGGCTGGACAGCCGGATGGTTTTCGCTGGGAGAGACGCGGCAAGACTGTTGGCCAGGTGTTGCGTGCCTTGCCTCACACGCAAGAATTGGCCGCCGTGCTCTCTGTCGGAACGCATCTGCAGCAGACCTCCACCCGATTTGCAGTAGTGCAAGAAGAAAAGAGCAGAGATGTCCTCGGGCTCCTGTCCCAACATGGCCCGCGTCCAAAGGGTGGCCGTAGCAACTGCATCCGGGTCTGCCCCATGGCTACGTAGGTATTCGGCAAACGTGATCGAGTCCAAGTATGGATCTCGAGGAAACGAGCGATCGACTTTCTGACAGTCATTCTCAATCGTATCACGAATCTTGATCAGGTGATCTTTTGTGGTAGTTTGAATCTAATGACAAGTCAGATGTCTCCATACACCGTAACAAGGTTTTGGTTCCACCACTCACGTCAGGAACATCGCCGTAAGGAAAGTGAATGATGTTTCCCTTCCCATCCTGGAGCACACATTTGCCCGTAGTGTTTTGTTGGATAAGCTCGGCCCCGAATCTCTTTGCGAGAGCAATAGTCCGGCTTTGATTCGTGCGATTCAGCCAGGCAGCTCCCATTTCGATGATGCCTTGACCGTCGGAAAGGGGCTGGCTGGAGGTGCGGCCACCGACGCGACCTCTGGCCTCTAGGATGAGGCATGAAAAGCCGGCTTTGATAATACGCTCAGCAGCTGTGAGTCCAGCCAGGCCGGCGCCAATGATGACCACATCCACATCTGGTCGTTCCGCTCGTTGAGATGGAGTCGGTCGACTCTGCCCCAAGACTTCGGTTGACAAAGGCCGTGCCACGACGGCGTCCATCTCAAACAGCCACCTCTGGTCTGCCAGCTGTGCAACCGGCACCAGAGTGATGGCTGGTCTGTGGCCATTCAGAAATTTCTGAAGCGGCTTCGCGTGCTTGCGATTATCGGCGTCGTAGTTGACAATGTAGAGCGTAAGCTTGAGAATATCGGCGACGGTCGCCGAAGCCGTGATCAAAATTTTTCGCAGTGCCACAAGAGCTAGATGAATCTGGGACTCATAATCGCTGGGTACCAAGCCGTCTGATTGAACACCGGCCTGGCCAGAGACGTAGATGGTGTTTCCATGCACACGAACAGTGGCTGGTGCATAATATGCCGATTTAGCCTCGTCCACCTCGAGAGCCTGAACCGTGGGCGACATGCTTGTTGCGATATCAGACAATCTTCAGTTAAAGCTGGCGTCTAGAGAGCCTTGAGATTGATGGCTTCAGTTGTCTATCTAATTGGTCATTATATATTCTGGATTTATCTCTCGGAGCCGCTGGCAAAGGTTTGGGTATCACAGTTGTATTTCTCGCAGCCGCCGGCAGGATGCTGGGCGCCATGGTTGTGTTTCTCGGAGCCGCCAGCAAAGTTCGGGGCGTTATGATTAGTTTTCTCGGAGCCGATAATCTCGCTCTCGGAGATGTCTCCACATTACCGGAGCCGGATTTCCCGCACTGGAATTGACTCCACCAATAGCGCCAGAAGTAGGTGAGATTGCCCGGCTTGTCTGTGGTGATGTTCCGGAAAGGCTATGCGGGTTTGGGAATCGACGGAATCAATGCGACACAGAAGAATCCTCTCGTGTGAGGCTGCCACTCGGAATGTAAGTGACGCCCTATTGGGTGATTAATACTCGCTCGCAAACCTTGTCAGCGCTCTCGAACCCATCTTCCATCAACTATATAATCCATCCACTACGTAGCTAGGATTCCACCCCCCTACTCTCCAATCCAATGCTGAAAATGTCTCTACACAAGCCTCCAACGCTCGCGGACAAGGGTTTGTTCATCGAGAAAGCTTACATCGCAGGCCACTGGCAAAACTCGCAGTCTTGCCGAACGTTCCAGGTGTTTGGTAGGCATTAAGTCGGTGCCCACTCGAACCCTGAAGCTAATAGACCATGGTAGATCCGGCCACCAACGAAATCATTGGAGAATGCCCCGAGTGCTCAGTGGCTGATCTAGAAAGAGCAGTCTCTGCGGCTTCAACGGCTTTGGATCTCTGGAGACAGTATTCTGGCCGGGAGAGAGGTCTCATCTTGAGGCAGTGGTACGAATTGATCCTAGAGAACAAGGACGACATCGCTACACTCATCGTATGGGAGAATGGGAAATCATATGCCGACGCAGCTGGAGAGGTTTTGTTTGCTGCGAGCTTCCTCGACTGGTACTCTGAGGAGGCTGCACGGATTTACGGCGACATCATCCCGCATTCCAATCGCGACATCAGTGTGCATGTTTCCAAGGAACCGATTGGAGTTTGCGCATTGATCACCCCGTGGAATTATCCCGCGGCAATGGTCACTCGCAAAGCGGCTCCTGCCCTCGCTGCTGGATGCACGGTCATCATCAAGACGGATGGCCTCACTCCATATACGGCCAATGCAATCGTCAAGCTAGGTGAACGCGCCGGTATTCCGTCAGGGGTCGTCAACGTTATAACCGCCCTGGAAGATACTCCCAGGCTTGGGCTGGCCATTTGCAAGTCCGAGGCTATCCGAAAGGTGTCATTCACTGGCTCTACCAGAGTTGGTAAAATCTTGGCAGAGAATTCCGGCAGCACTCTGAAGAAGCTGAGTCTTGAACTGGGCGGGAATGCACCTTTTATCGTGTACGACGACGCAAACATGGACACAGCCGTTGCTTGCTGTCTCAAGAGCAAATTCAAATCATCAGGTCAGACATGTGTCTCTGCTAATCGAATATATGTCCAGGACGCCATCTTCGATGCTTTTGTTTCAAGGCTAGCAGGAGAAATCGCCAACTTGCAGCTAGGATCTGGTTTCAACAAACAGGTCGCTATTGGACCACTCATCTCTCAACAAGCGGTAGCCAAAGTCGAAGAACATATCCACGACGCCGTAAGCAGGGGTGCTTGGGTGGTGGTGGGAGGCACACGGTCGCATCTTGGTGAGTCCTTGTCTACCAGAACAGGGGAAACAGCAGCTGAAGACGGCAGGACCTCAATTTTTCGAGCCCACTCTCTTGGCTGGGATTGACGATGATATGAAAGTCGCCAGTGAAGAAACCTTTGGGCCATTAGCGGGCATTTTCAGATTCTCGACCGAGATTGAGGTTATTCGACGGGCCAACAATACGAAAGTCGGCCTTGCTGCCTATATCATGACCAACGATCTGGGCCGGGCACAACGTACGTCGGAGCAATTGCGCACCGGAATGGTCGCTATCAACACCGCAATCATCTCAGATGCACCGGTGTCGTAAGTCCACACCTGTGTATTATTACCGTTGGAACGATGCTGATCTTGGTTGCACAGATTTGGAGGTGTCAAGGATTCGGGGCTTGGACGTGAAGGAGGTAAATATGGTCTGGAGGAATACCTCGAGCTAAAGGCCGTCATGACCGCTAAAATATAACACCATACTACATACTGGAGTGATGGTAGACATGTCATAATCAGCTCCCTTGGAGTGTTAGTAAAAACTGCTTACCGGACTATTTACATTTTGATCGCGCGTTTCACTAGGCTTTTGTGACCGTGTTGAAGTGAAAGCCCGATCAGAATAGTCATCACATCCCTGTACACCAAAGATTCTGCTTGCCTCGGCAGCGGTTACGACTACCAAAGATTACCTTATATCTGCCTACAATGTAACGGTATAGCGAGTATATTGACAACTGATTAGACGATTCTAACGAATAGCCAAGAATTCTGACTTGGTGATATCAAGGCTGTCACGGAACCATTTTCGTAGTTGGTGATGTCTGATTAAACCCAGTTTTCAAAGCCATGAACCTCAGCTGTATATATCAAAAAGACATGTCCGGCTGCCACTATAGACTCTGGTTGCTAGGTACATGTGGAGGATGGTTCTCAACGTTCTGCAGGCCAAGCGTTACTACCAATGGCCTGCATGAAGCCGTCGCCAAACTGTCTATTACAACTTGGTGACTCCAAAGGTCGGATTTGCTACCGCTAAATAGGCGCTGCTTATCTCGGATATCTCTCTAACCCCAGCCAAGGCCATTGTGCGGCTGAGTTCCCTCTCGAGAATATTCAGCACCGCGCCGACACCTTTGTCACCGTCGTAGGCGAGACCCCAAAGAACAGGTCTCCCAATCCAAACAAGGTCCGCACCGAGAGCGATGGCCTTGAAAACGTCGGCGCCACGACGAATACCACCGTCCAAGATGATGGGTATGCGACCGCGGACAGCGTGCGCGATATCTGCCAAGACCTCTATCGTCGACGGTGCCTCGTCCAGCTGTCGACCTCCATGGTTTGACACGACAATTGCGTCGGCGCCGTACAATATCGCCAGCCGTGCATCTTGAGGTGTCATGACTCCTTTCAACACAATCTTCATCGACGTCACATCTCGGAGGAAGCTCAGCGTCTTGGCCCAAGACAAATTCGAGGCATGCATTTCTCCGCCACCGAGTTCAACGACCAACTTGGCATCATGTTTGGTGCGGGCGTCCATCAGCAGCCGGTTGCGCGTAGGTGTTGGTGTCTTTGCTGAATCCGCGTCATCTCCTTCAAGATTCGCAAGCCTCATGCCGCGCGGCAGGGCTAGCACGTTTTTTCTTTCATTGACACGGTTTCCCAGGACCGGAGTATCTACCGTGACAACAAGAGCTTTGTAGCCCGCCACTGTGGCGAGTCAACCGTCAAGTCTTGCCATTACTTTATCGGACCCGGATGCAAGGCCTACCTTCTGCCCGTTTTATCAAGTCCACACTCTTGTCCAAGTCCTGCGTGAGGTATATTTGGAACCAGAAGTCAGGCGTCGGGGTCGAATCACCTTGACTGGTTTTCACAACCATGACATTCTCGAGTGAGGTCGTCGACTGCGATGATAACGTGAAATTGACTCGCTCGTGTAGAGCAGCGCGTGCCACATCAATCTCTCCGCCTCGGCCTGCCAGTCTTTGCATCGCACTGGGGGCAATGCCGATGGGCATGTTCAATTTCGAGCCAAACATCTCGACCCTGGTGTCCACGTCGGAGACATCACGGAGAACTCGGGGGACGATGTACAACCTGCAACCACCATGAACCGAGATTACTTTTTCCACGAGGGGCTGGGCTGCATATACCTGTCATATCCAGACATGTTCCTTTTCAGCAGCTTCTGTTCATCGGAGCCGGACGCATAGAATTCGTAAATCTGTTTGGACAATGCTTTGGCTGCAATTGCCTCGACTTCTGCGACTGTGATGGGATCAGGCTGCCGTGGCTTCGAGGCGGGGTTCGGAATTTCCATCTCGTTCTTCTGGCTACGAGAGGCAGGCAGTTCACTCTTCTCTTGCAGCCAAATGTATGCAGAGACTGAAACGTCCCTGCTTGAATATGATTTAAATATTTCTCCTCGACTTGTCGGTTGGGCGCGGGTCATCCTGGCTCAAAAATTGATCCCGACACATCCCTCAGGGAGTTGTTTGTAATTTTTCCAAAGTGCTCCGGAGCCGACGGTGCCGACGGAGGGAGGTTCAATTTTGTTGCAACAGCTTTGCCGGGATTCGGATTTCCGCCGGTCAGAGCGATGCTTCGTACCTTGATACAATCCGCGTCGCCATGTCCGCTTCGCACGGTGCTCCGGGTAATGCCATGGAAGACACACACGAGACAGCGCAATGACTATGACTGTATCTGCCTTGGCGATAAAGGCCAAGATGCATATTCTGGTAGGTTCCGCGGTACAGTGGCAACCGAAAGCACTACCCCTGCTGCTTAATGAAGAGTCGGCTCCGTACAGGCCAGATGTGTACTCAAATAATGATGAAGAATCAAGCACTTGCGTTTTGGGCCTCGCTTTTCAGTATTTCTGCCTTGAAGCACTACACCGTATGAGCCGTATATTGTCATTCAGCTTAGGTAGAAATGCAAAGCCAGGTCGGATACTACTAGTAAAAGCTATCATTGCCTAGGGCTCTAGTCAACTCTACCAGCAAATCAAGTAGAGAGTTTCTGGCGCTACCGTTCTTCCCAAGAACAAGAAGGGAAAAAAAAATTCAAATTCTCAGAGGCACTGTGTTGGTGCTTGGCATTGCCACGGAATTTCACTATAGGATGCGTTCGGTCACTATAGAATTATTGTCAGGTTTTCTGTTTAATCTAAAACTGGCGTCGGGCCAGAAACGTTTTCTCTCGACTGCCCGGTGTAGACGACTTGACTGATCCTACTCAGCTTCATCTTGCCAGCCAACCGCCATCGATGACAAGATTCTCTCCCGACATGTAACAACTCGCCTTGCTGGCCATGAAGACAGCTACGCCCTTGAAATCGTCGGCCACCCCCCACCTGCCCATTGGAATACGCTTGGTGAGAAAGTCGTAGTGGTCCCGATACTCGGGCTCTGTTCGAACGTCTTTGTTGATATCTGTAGCAATTTCGCTTTTTGCGAATAAGCATGCAAACCTGTTCGATGGGACAGCATTCACATACCCTGGGGACACACAATTCACTCGAATGCCTCGGCCGGCCCACTCGTTGCTCAATGCTCTCGTCAGTTGCAGTACACCACCTTTGCTGGCGGCATAGGCCGCCATATTGACACCTCCTTGCACAGCGACGACGGAGGCTACATTGATGATGACGCCTTGCTGGCCCTTGTCTAGCCAGTACCTCCCGGCTTCTTGACAAGTCGTAAAGGTGGCGGAGAGATTGGCGTCCATGACTTCCTCGTATGCCTCATACGAGAGGTCTTGGGCCGGGGACCGCCGCTGTAAGCCAGCCGCATTCAATAGAATGTCCACCCGGGTCAATGCCAAGGCTTCCCGCATAGCTTGGAGAACCTGGGTGTTGTTGGATACATCGCAGTGGATTGCTGTGAATTTGCGGCCAAGAGCAAGCACCTTGTTTTGCGTTTCCGTGTTGTTCAAGTCCCTCTGTCCGTATCAGGTAGCTGTAGATGTATTAAGTCAAGGGTAGATATACATACCTGTAGGCTGATAACGTCGGCTCCTAATTCGGCTAGACCTATTGTCATGGACTGGCCGATGCCCCTCGTTGCCCCTGTCGCGACTACGGTCTTGTCCGTGAGATCGAAGAGACCCGCCATCTTACCTTTGTCGTGATGATTGTGCCCCTGCACAGCGCGAGTATCCTAGACGAGCATTGAGACAATCTTTGAACATGTGTCAATTGGAGTCGAGGTCCATGCTTATCTGGTAGTTATATCTCGGCCAGGTTGAATGCTGTTGACGGCTCCGGAGCCGAGTTTCCATCTGTTTGATTGATTGGCTATCGGCTCCGAGCGTTTGGATCGGCAGTCGCTTGGCCCGAGATCCGGATCCGTCTGGTCGCTCTTCAGCAGCCACAGTACAACAATCGAGCCGTCCGACTGTTGATTTTTGAGCCCTTGTCCAATGGTCAAGGATCCCTCAGTCTCGGAGCCGACAATATGATCCATTTCCCCAAGTCTCGTCTCTCTCGGCGTCTGTACGCGCATAGAACATTCCGCATCGCCTCAAATTTGCCCGATTTCCTCAAAGATGCCCACTTCGCCGTTGAAAGTCCCATCTCTGAAGGAAGCTTCACTCAGAAATTCCAATGTCATACCCAAAGCAATTCCAACCCACCGCAAGCATGAAGACTTCTTCGGAGACTCCCACTACGGGTCCAGTCGCAGGTATGTCCAAATACTCCTTAATGTCCGATCAAGCTATATCCAGAGCATCTACTGAGGGAGTGTTGGTTCTAGACTACAAGAGGGGCGACGTAGAGATATGTAATGGCCTACTCTAGCTTGCGTTCTTCTTGAATGGCATCCTGACTGAAAGCCAGGCCATCTGCAGCAATTGGACACTCATGTAACGCTAAACAACCTCGGCCTCGAGCAGCAGACGAAACGAGATGTAGGCCCATTCGACATTCTCTGTGTCGGGTATAACATCTGCAACTGTTGGGTCGGCCTGGCTGCCACCATGGTTATCGGCCTGGAGCAAGGGGGCACCGTCACCGTCATCTACGGCACGCTTGTCGTCACCTTTGCCATGGCGTGCTCGGCTGCCACCATGGCCGAGTTGTCCAGTGTTTATCCCACTGCAGGGGGTCCGTATCATTGGACGTCCATTCTGGCGCCCAAGAAGGCTTACCGCCATCTCGCAAGTCAACCCCAACGCAGTCCCGGTGACACGCCTGCTGACGTCTGGGCTTCTATAGAGCTACTGGTGCGCAGCATCCAACATCTTTGGTTGGCTTTCCATCTGCAGCGGGATTACGATCCAGCCCGGACAGTTCATATCAGCGGTACGCCTCTTCTACAACCCTGACTTGGAGATCCCTGCGTGGGAATACTTTCTCTATTTCCAGGCGACAAATCTCGTGTTTCTTCTGTACAACATCTTTGGGCTTCGCCGGACGAGATGGATACATGACGTCGGCTGTAAGTTTCGTACTTCGCAAAACAGAGTCACCCGTGCATTGACGCTGGATTGAACAGTCTTTTTCTCCATCTTCACATTCGTCATCATCTTCGTCAGCTGCTTGGCTCGCGCACAATCCTACCAGTCAAATACTTTTGTGTGGACCGACTTTCCCAAGCCCGAGTCGGGCTGGAATTCTCGCGCCGTCGTCTTTTTGACCGGAATGGCCAATCCCAACTTCATGTATGCCGGCCTCGATGGGGCTGTGCATCTGGCCGAAGAATGTGCTCACGCCAGCAAGACTGTCCCTCGAGCCCTGTTCAGTACCATTGTCGTTGGCTTCGTCGTCGCTTTTGCCTTTGGCCTCGCCATGCTTTATACCTTGACCGATTTCGGTCAGGTCCTGGAGAATATCACGGGGTAAGTCAAGCATTCCATGTCACCGTGGAGAGGTACGGTTTTGTACATGTCATGACTTCTCACAAAAAGTTCCGCTTTCCAGGGTTCCCATCTACGAGATATGGTTTCAGGCTACAAGATCCGGCGTTGCAGCCACGATTTTCATGATGCTCCTTCTTTGCATCGCGTGCTTTGCCCTCAACGCATGTGTCGAAGTCACTGCCCGACTCACCTGGTCATTCGCTCGCGACAATGCAATCATCGGATCCAAGTTCATGGGCAGCATCCACCCGCGATGGGAGGTGCCGGTCTGGGCTCTCGTGGCCAACGCAACCGTCATTTTGATCATCGGCTGCATCTACCTAGGCTCCTCGACGGCCTTTAATGCATTCATCGGTACTGCACTGGTCCTGCAACAGTGCAGCTTTGCCCTCCCTGCCGCTCTGCTGCTCTGGCACAAACGATCCAGCTCTGTTCTCCCTCCGCACAGATATATCCGACTGGGCCCGCTTGGCTGGATTGCAAACGCCGTCACCGTATTGTTCTTCCTCTTGATTCTGGTCATGTATTGCTTTCCGATCGAGTTGCCTGTGACAGGCTCCAACATGAGTATGCCATGCATCCCCTTGCTCTTGCTTGCTTCGAAGGGCTGTCAAGGCTAACCACCATTCAGATTATACTTCGGTCGTGATTGGAATCATGGTCATCTTCTCGGCCATCAACTGGTTCGTCCAAGCTGGCCGTACATTCAAGGGACCCCGGCTCTTGGCAGAAGTTGCTCGTGACTAGTTCATCGATTTTGGACTGCTAGCGCCGGTAGATCTAAGTCGGGTGAAGTGTTGTTAGGCGACTGTGTACTCGTGCGTAAATTTGGCTTATCAAGATATAATATAATACGATGGGGAGAGAGCAGTACCAATTCTGTATGCAACCAGTTTATATTGGGAGTAACTATTTTGTTGCGATTGATCTTACTTGTATTAAATTCTGGCTGAGAGCTCTCATATATATAAATACCTAATGGCACGGCAGTGACTCATCATGTCTTGGTACATGACTCACACCAAGTCAACACTATTAAACACAAACCTGGGCTCTTCCAAGGCAACGGAATTGATTATCCAAATATAATGAGACCTGTAGGACTTGGTCTATTTTCCTCCTTCTTTGATCTATATTGTCTTCTAGAATATGGATATTAATAATGCAGCTAAACTTGATGAATAGCTACATTTATAGCTTCTGTAGTGTATTGAAGTTGAGTGCCTGGTAGAAGTGATTCTGTAACGGGCTGGGCTGTTGAAGTGCACTCGGCTTACACTGATGCAATAACGCTACAAAATTAGCGATGCTTGTTCAGGGGTAGTGGTATTAGTTTATAGCGGGCCTATTAACTATTAGATTTACTGTAATATAATATAAATTAAAGAAAGTTAACCAAGGTACTTGGGCTAATATACTTCAAGGCCACACATTTAAGCTGCTAACCCGTTTTAATATTTATCCGCCGATTTCAGGGCTTCATCCCAATGTCGCCTATCGCCCACCGTACGCTAGCCTGAAATGGCAGCGTGGTGGGTCAAACCGGGCCCGTGCTAGCAAAAAGTGGCCGGGTCCCGAGCAATTCACCCGGAAGGTTTAGGCCCAACCCCGCGTCTTGGTCCGTGACTCCGTCCTCTAGGAGCCTTGCGTTCCTCGAGGTATATTATACCAGACCTGACCCTTCGTCTTTTCCTGGCGTCTCCCAGCATACTAAGTTCAATGTTGGAACCCGTTGCAACTTGGCTTTGACTTGGACGCTTAGCCATGGCACTCCGCAGACAGCAGCGTAAATCTTGTGACCTCTGCCGACGCCGCAAGGTGCGATGCGACCTGGTGTCCAAAGGAAGCGGCCCTTGTACTACGTGTGACAATGGAGGAATAGAATGCATGTATGTGTCTAGTCCCTTGATCGTTCATGTTGACATGGTGCTAAAGCTAACGCATGAGCCCCAGCGTTAGAACCGAATGGCCACCGCCAAATCGAGGAGCGTCCTCGCGTCCATCAGTGGACTTGTTGACCGACTCTCCAATCCAGCCTCGTGTCTCGGAGTTAGAGTCTGCCAGAACAATTCCACCGGCCTGTGGTCCGCACAAGGCTCGAACAAGTGACTCCAACACTGCAGATGGCTCCCAGACAACAGACCCTACGGAAGCTCCTGATAACCTGGCCTCTACTGGACTCGTACGCTTCTTTGACGACGTAGCTTCTCCTGACTGGTGGCGTGTCAGTGAACTCGAAGACAATTTCAGGGTTGCATACATAGGAACCCCGGCTTCAAATCTGGTCCACCTTGTCTCTCTACGCCCTTCCAAGAATTCAGCTCTTGTCGATATATCCCAACCCAACCAACAGCTCTTGCAAACCCCACAGTCGGGCTTGTCTGCCTGGCAACAACCCCCCATTTTCCCCACGAATGGCGCCTACCCAGCGGGTGCGAACCAGTCTCGGCCTCTTCAGTCGGACGGAGACGACCAGCCGCAGCTCCACTATCCGTATCCCCAGATCCGGCCTCTAAAGTCGTGGAGCTGTCAGTCACAGTTTTCCTTGTACCCTTCAGACGACCTTGCCACCGACTTGTCATCGTTTCCAGTCTTGGAGGTCCGTCAAGCCCTGGTCATGGCCTACTTTCAGCACCTTGATCCCCTTGTCCCCATCCTCTCCAGGTCCAAGTTCTTGGACTCGAGCGGAAACCTCCTTCCTCGACCACCGTTACTGTTGTTCCATGCAGTGCTACTGGCCGGGGCCCATGTTTGCACCCATCACCTGGTGAAAAAAGATCGGCGATCAGTCAAATCTGTCCTTTTCCGCCGGGCGAGCATGCTTTTCCATCTTCGTCATGAGACGGACCGCCTGCATCTAGCGCAAGCAGCTCTGCTCTTTACCTGGCATATCAATGATGGCGACACCATCAGCGGCGGCCCTTGGTACTGGACTGGGGAGGCTATCCGGATTGCCAGTGGACTGGGTCTACATCGACATAATGACAGGCTACCCAGATTCGATCACGCCATGTACAAGCGCCTTTTCTGGGCAGCATTCGTGGCCGAAGTTTTCGCATCGCTGGAGCTGGGGCGCCCGTGCGCAATTCGGGGAGAAGATATCGACCAGTCCTCTCTGTGTGAAGAAGACTTCAATGAAGCCTTATGGACTCGGGAGACCGATGGTCGTGTTGAGGACGCCTCTCCTGGCCAGGCTGCGTTGGCGTATCATCTACGAATGGTCGAGCTCGCTTACATCGTTCTGGACATTCTAACTCTCAACTCTCCCTCGGCGTCAGCAAAGCCGGAGCTGTCGCAAATTGATTTTCGTCTGGGCCGGTGGCTGATCAGCTGTGACTTGTCGTCGGGGGGAGAACACGAAGAGTGTTTTAGACACCTGCTGCGAATACACTACTACCAGGTCGTCCTACACCTGCATCGTAACTACAGCCAGGTATTAGAGCACAGTCCGAGGGTATGCAATGCGGCAGCCGATGCCATCATCTCTTCGGTCGAGAAAATCGCAGCTGTTGACGAATTGAAAAAGTGTCCCTTCACGGTCGTCGGTGCCGTTGTTGCTGTGGGCATTCAACTCGTTCAGGAATTGCGATCCGCTGTCCTGGCTAAAGCCTTCTTGGTTGCCGTCGAACTTTCGGAAAGACTCAAGGGGATGCTGAAATGTACAAAGTTGCTGGCCGTCTTTTGGCCCAACGCCGAGGCTGCATACGGTGTTTTCCACGGCATTTCGCAAGACTATGAGCATCGCTTGTCCCGCGGCCTACATTCAGTAGAGCAGCCGAATCTTCCGGATTTTGAACCTGACTGGAACAGCCTATTCGTATCTATTCCACCCTCGCTTCAGGTTGAGGAAAATGTAGACCAGGATTGGCTGTGCTTTACAGATTGAGATGAAGATGGGTATTAGTAGAAGAAGTTGCCCTGGACGGAACCATACCTGGGCATATGGTTACATATGGTTATTTGGGGTGTTGTTACAACCTCTAGTACAGAAGCCGAGCTAGTTGCAGCGTCGGCAGCAGCCAAGGAAATGATGGCTGCAGGACGGCTTCTAAACTCTTTGCAAATTAAGTTGGACGAGCCTTTACAGTTGGAAATCGATAATATGCAGACGATTAGGCTGCGAGCTGAAGAGTCGGCAAAGTTGACCTGTCAACATCAAGTCGCTCATTCAAGGCAACAGCTATTGCTATACTGCTGCCTGGCTGGTAGTAGTATTATAACAAGTATTTAGCTTTGTATTATTTTACTTTTTATGTAAAAATTCAAGAGTTATTTATTCTACTTGAGCTATTTTATATAATTGTATATATAATAATTATTACTCACAGCCAGGGCCCGCCCGCCTATACATACAGCTCTTTCAAGCTCTTAGCGTGTAGATCCAATACGTACTACGATATCGGTAGTATCTCGATGTCGGAAAGTATCCCTGTTACAAGGGCTTGATAGGTCTTGGAGCAGAAAACGGATCAATTCAAAGATAATCTCGTAGGATGTCAAAGGTCCTTGGTTTTCCAAAGGAGTGTAGGGACGAGTGGCCACTACATACATGAAGGGAACGGCTGTGCCGAGGGTTTCCACCGGGTCATGTGTTTAGTCTGTGTAACCCCGAGGTCCTCTCTCGGCCAAAGGGATAACAACAGAAGAACCCCATTCATGGTCGGTGCGAAAAAAGGAGGAGGTGAGAATTTTCAACACGCAAAGACCAATAATGCCAAAGATGCCTCGGTACGAGAAAACATGGATTATTCTTTGGCATCTTCACTTGGCCCCGCCCGCTTGCCGACTCCCGACACCGCCTCGCATGCTGAGACAACAACCCATGAGAGCTGGCTACTTCCGCTCGCCCTCGGCCAAGTCAAGGACCACGACGCCCTTGGATCATTCTCAACCGCCGAATAATCCCCACACTCGACTTTATTGCCGCATCTAGTGAGGATTTGGATCCCGCCGCAGCGGGTGAAATCCTGCGAGGGCCCTCTGCTTGGCGTTTGGGCAATCTCTGGCGTACGATTGGACAGCCTCGTCAATACGTAAATCAATATATATATTCGGACGGGGGGAACTCATGCGTTGGGTGTTGAATCAGCAGAACAATGCTGAGATGGGCTGAAGGTGGTGCGATTTGCCGATGGAGCCGCAATAAAAAGTGGAGGCGCGGGTGGCTTGACATTAAACACGTCCTCGACTGCAGCGCGGCAAGCGGCAGGGCAATTAGCAATTAAGGTTAACTCCGCAGGGGCGTGGTGAATCCCCTGCATGTCGAGTAAAATAGAGTTAGGCGCAATAAGTCCATATTTGAAGTTTAACCGGCCCGTTGGACCCACCCCACGAGAGTGTGGTAGGGTTAGGGTCATTGCCGAATTAGGAATAGCCGAGGTTGCTACGTCAGTCGGTCAATCAACTACAAAGACGTGCCCATGTCGCGTTGGGGTCCAAGATTCTCTCGGTCCTTGAGCATTCAATGCTCCCTTCTTCTTCAAAATCTAGATTCGCCTTTCTTCAAATCACAGCAGGCTGCTGCACAGGCCCTTGTTTGCCGCAGACATGCCCACCACGCTCATCGTTGGCGGAAACGGCAAGGTTGCGCGTCACCTCACTCGCATCCTCGCTACCGAGACACGGCCAAGCCACCATGTCCACAGCATCATCCGAACTAGTTCCCAGGAGGCCGGCATTGAAGCCCTCGGCTCCAGACCAGTCGTCTTGTCGATTGAAGCAGCCTCGGTAGCCGAAATCGCCACCACCATGGGCAAGATTGCGCCCGAGTCCGTCGTGTTCCTCGCCAGCGCGCCGTTTGCAGAAAGCGAGCGCGCGGAATCCATCGACCGAGACGGAGCCATCAAGTGTATGGACGCGTGCGCGGAAGCAGGCGTGAAGCGATTCATCATCGTGTCCGGGATGGACGTGCGCGATTGCGACAAGAGGCCGATCCCGGACTGGTACAATGAGGCGGATGTCAAGGCTAGCGCACGCCTACGGGGTTTTATAGACCCGTGGATGAGAGCAAAACTTGCTGCCGATCGAGAGCTGAGAGTGGGAAACAGCCGGCGCAAGCTGGACTACACTATAGTTCGGCCCGGCAGGATCACGGACGATGCGGGCGTGGGCTCCGTCTTCGTTGGCAAGGCTCATCTAGGCAATTCGGTGAGTCAGGAGGACGTTGCGCGGGTCGTGGCCGCCTGCCTGACGAACCCGGACACGATTGGGTTGGCATTTGATGTGACGGGGGGGGATTTACCGGTCGCTCAGGCCGTTGCACAGGTGGCAGCGGATCGGGTCGATTCGTTTGAGGGATACTACTAGGAACGAGGCAATATTCGCCAACCCTAACCCTAACCCTGGACAGGACGGCCAGCAAGACCTGCATTGATGCCAGTCGTGCCCGCAAAGGAGTCCCGAGAGCCATCTATGAAACAAGCACACGCTACGCACCGCTAGACTCCGGATTATGCTCCTTGTTAGTCAAGACGAGTCCAAAGCCTTGTGCCTATTCTGGCTCATTATACTAGATTTTATAAGTACCATTTGTGGCCTATTGCAAGGTTGGAATTCTACGCACCTTTTTCCCCGTCATGTCCCAGAAGTAAACCTGTAGGGTGATGAGTTGATTCGCCTCACCACACTCTATATGATATGGATCTGAACACTTCATCACAGGCCCCAAAATTTGCAAGTTCTCGCGAGTGGACCGCAGCCAGTTTGGGCGGTGCTCGGTGCGTGCCACGAATATCAAATCGTGACACGCTTTGATTGGTGGCAGCCGTTGCCGACGGCGACACATGGCTGCGGCACGTTGCGGCAAAAATCAGCCATGGATCATGCACATGTGACCAATTGTGATGAGGCAGGCGGCCACAGCCAAAGGGGTAGTGGCCGCTAGCCAGATTAGTACTTGGGTCCACCATAGGTCCACCCGTCGATTTAAGCGGGGTAAATTGCGGCCTGGCCCACCACTCAACGCCGTTGTCTTATTCCCGCAAATGCGGCCGGGAAACCCCAGCTGTTGGATCAAATCTCAACCAAGCCCCAGGGCAAGAATTGCAGACGCCTACGAATATTACCGTAGCAGCTGTCATCATCGAACATATTAGGCCCAGCACTCGCGCCTCTGCTTGGCCAATTTCGAAACGCCCACCATGGCTGCCGACAGCCTCCAGGCCAAAGATTTCGAGAGGTTCCTCCCGGATAAGCGATTCATTTGCACGACAAGTGTCGGTTTCATCAAGTCATTCCGCCGCCCGACTGACTGCTCTTGTGTCACCAGTCCAACCTTTGTACTTGGAATAGTAGTGGGGAGTAGGCGCAAAAATGACAAGGGGGGCAAGTAAATGCTCCTGAAAATAGTCATTTCCATCCAGCGAATCATGGCATGTCGCTCCTGCCGTCGTCCTGCTTGCTCCTTCTGCTTCGTGCTCCTCGCGTCCTCCTAGCGTCACCGGCAGTCGGTAGGTCCCCTCTGTCCAGCGTGGTGGCTATGGCTGCACAGACACGGGTCGTCTCGAGCCTCCCATCTCAGAGTCCAGATATAAGCTGCCGTGCCCCAACAGCGGCACGCAAGTCTGCGCTCTACTTGTCACTCATCACGCAAACACAGCAACTCATCTTTTCTAGTCAAAACATGGCATTGAGCCAGGAAACTGCCGTCGCGATGGTAGCACTCGTCGTTGCAGTCCCGCAAGCCATCGTCGTCGTGTGGGCGTGGTGGACCAAGTGCCGGTGCGTGCTTGCGCGGAAACAATCTACGCCATCGGACGGTAAGCCTGCACGTGAATCCCCGAGACAAGCGGGCAAAGCTAACTCTTGTGTTGTAATTTTTTCATTAGAAGAAAAGTCGCTGCAGACAGTAGTGCCTCCAGCGCCGAGTCCGGGTGCGAGAGTGGTCAGATCAGAGGAACACCACTACCGTCTGATCTGCGAATCGGTGCATCGATAAGTTTGGAGGTGTTATTCCTCTGTCAGTCTACGGGCATGTTGGCTTTGATCTCGGGTAGAACATAGAATGTACAAGGGCAGTGCAAGGGGTAGAATCAGCACAGGGCACAGAGTCCGTGGTCAAGCACTGGTTGAGGCAAATTGAAGAGGATTTCTTGACGTCGCGCGCACAATCGCCTGTAGCACTTGTCAAACTCCATCGTGCCGGCCCAACACAGGGGGCATCCTGGTCGGGGTCAGCCCTACGTACAGTACTTATGTAGGTGGCCAGCCGATGTCGTACGTACAGTATGTACGCTGTTCACGGCGTTGGCTGGTACCGCAAGGACGATTGGCAGAGAGAGGCCGGCCAGCTGTCAAGGGCTAGGCGTTGACATCCAGACGGCGCGCCAGGAGACCAGGCCATACCCTGTTTCGCAAGGTTGCCAAGGGACTAGCAACCAGACGTGCTGGGGCCGTTGCGCTCGGCCCATTCCGTCTGGCATCGGCAGGGTGCTCCTTCCCGGCGGGTCCTGCTCAGGCTTGTTTGGTAGCCACCCGCCAGACGTCAAACATCAAACGTCAACTCCAACGTCCACATGCACAATGCATTGTCCAGTTGCACGAGCTTTGATGCAAGCCCACGTTTTTTTCTACGGTTCCGCCCACAAGCACCGGATCCAGGCACGCCAAGTCCTCTTTTCCGTCAGTATAACCGTCCAATCGTGCGCACGGCATGAGCGGCCGGCGTGTGGGTTGGTCGATCGGTCAGGTTCCCGCGGCTGGCCGTTTCGCGTGGCCGTCGTTTCTCCTGATGTGTGAATCCCGTCTGGCGGCTTCGAGTGCTGTGTGCAAGATTGTTTTGAGTATGTGCAATCTATTCATTATTCATAGGCTCTATAAACCTCCACGCGTTCCCAAAATTAGGTGTCGGGGGACTGCCCGTCTATAAACACTTGCGCCGACTCCTAGTCCACATGTACCAGCATGTTGAGTAACCTCCACCCACGTCGCCGTCTGCATGATAACCCAAGCTCCCCGACGCACTGAAAAGCACACACCAGAAAACCCCCAGCGGTTACCAGAACCTTCCGACTCGGACTTTCAGAATGCATTACTCCTCCCATATCGGACGGGTGGCAGACATTCGTGCTGAACACTTCTGCAATCGATGCAGCCCATCATGGGGCAGTAACCAAGGCTAGTGCAGCCGCACATTGATGCACAGTCGGGACATGTCGATGGTGGTGTGGCGTGGCGTACGGGCAAGAGCAGAGTCCGCCATCTTCCGCAGAGCCCGCAGGCTACGCCGCTGTAATCCGAGTCGATGGTGGCTGCAGGCAATGTTAGCTCAAGTGCATGGACGCGGCGGACAGAAGAGTTGGTTTAGGGATAGTCTGCATATGAGGCGCTTACCCTGATCGATCGTGTGACATCTCACTACATGGGCATTCATGTTGTCTTTCCGGCTGGACGTATGATCGCACAGCGCGCAATGATGTGTTTCCTTTCCGTGGATTGTTCTTTCGTGTCGCTCTAGGTTGAATTTGGTCCTAAATCTACTGCCGCAGTGGCAGGCGAAGGGTCTGTGTGGCCATTGTACTTGGTCAGCACTAACAGCCGTCCGGGGGTGTTTATGTCGGGGCGGCATCTTCTTACCTGTTACTGCTGGATGCCATCTCGTCGAAAGTGCAAGGCACTTGACGGTCGAAAATTGCAAATTCATATTGACGCTTCAGATACTTAATATACTTGTTAGATTTCACTTGACAGACCTCGGCAGCAACCACCACCGGCAGCGATTCTGACAAGCGTTCGTGTGCGGGTTAGAAACTAACCCCCTAGTAGCCAGAGTGATTGGACGTGGGCGAGGGACTGGCTGTATGAGGAGCTGTACCAGGAGTGCGCCCAAGGAGCAAGGAGATGACATTCAGCAGAGGCATTGACAACCAACCAGCCGAACCCTGCAACGCACATCCTCAACAGAGTCATCCGACCAGCTTCCTCATATCTGCCTTTTACTTTGGGATTTCAGCCGTCGTCTAGATAATATCTGGCTGCCAAAGTTTGTCTTTGCAAACACGCGATAACCTGCAGGGGAAGCGGTTTCGTTCATTGGGCAGCGACACCTCACCGAGACATTCCCAAAGAGGTTTAACCCATGCTCGTCGTCGAGAGTACTCAGACCTCGGCGTAGCTCCATATCCTATCATCTTGCATTCACGTCGAGAACCCAGTGCAGTCGTCCCAGCTGGATGTATTGGCAACGTACCTCGGCAGCCCAGATTCAGAGAAGAAGACAGGAAGAGCTCGTCGAGGCCGCCGCGGCTAATGTCGCTTGTCTCGCTTGCTAGAGGCTTGGCGCAGGCGGGGTGAGACGTCAACCTGGCCCTAGCCGTTGCTTGACACTTTTGCATGTGATGTCTGGTGGGTTTGAAGACGGACGATGCTGCGACCGCATTGTCGGTAACGTACCAAGCACCTGGTCTGGGTCGTTGCGGAAACACCTTTTCGGAAGAAACATCAGATGGCGCATGTAACCTTGTCGTCTAACACGATTGTTTGGATACCTAGACAAGCATGGGGTAAAAGACGCCCCGTTCTTGATATTTTACATATAAAAGTAAATTATTATCAAGCGTTGGATTTTTTTTATTTTTCGACCCATCTAACTGGTGGTGCAAGCACTCCATCAGGTGTGGCCGTTGACAGCCACGTAACGTGCCTGGCTAACTCAGCAGAGAACTTGACCACAACAGACCACGCAACGCAACAAGCAGAGCATACAGATCTAATACCTGGGTGCTTTGGGATACAGCTCTTGCCTATTCGTACAAGATTACAATATCGTATATAAAACCAGAGCCAGCTTTAAAGACAAGACCCAGTAAGGATGGCATAACATTGCCCCTGGAGAAGAAGTAGTAGCAAATCGTAATCGACGCCGTCAATTACTGCAGACTACGACCGACGACACCCTTGGTCAACACCGACTTTTGCACAATCATCCACCGCGGCCACAACACCCGCGCTCCCGCTTCAACCATGATCGGAAGCACCCGCGCTGGAGACGCCAATTCCAAGCGTCCATGTCGCACTTGTTTCACGCTTCCCATCCCATGGCCCGGCGGCGCTTGCGTGACGAACCGCCCGGTGCCGATTTTGCTCATGCGCCGACATCCTCTCCCCGCCGCCGCCGCTGTGTTTCGGGACGAATTCTTTTATATCACCTCGTTGCTCTGCTGCATCTGTACCAAGGCCTGCGCACCGTATTAGGACGTGTGTATTCACAGGATACCGGCAAGGCCGCAGAGTTACCTGGTAGAATATCACATATCTTCTTCTCGGCCCGGATCCTATTTGGAGCTATTTGACCAAGGAGGTCTTTTGCGTAGGCCGCCGCCACCATGGCCGCGTAGCCCTGCCACTCCTTGTTTGCATGCGAGTCCGAGTAATCGCATATACCGCGAATCACTACACACGGGAAGCGGTCCATGAGCCCTGCTGCTTCCGTTTCAAAGCACAGGACGTCCTTGTCTGCCGTGAGGCCATCTCGAATCGTAGCGTCCTTGATCAAGTGGTTCGCCGACGCAATCAAGCCATAGTGAATAGCAGGGTTATCCTCGTCCTTTGTGCGTTCGCGTCGCGGCACCAAATTCGACAATGTACCCGCGCAACCTCCCGCGCCGTCGGTGACTTTTTCGAATAACCTGTCAGTATCTAGCGCCGGTCGCGAGTACTCCCCCCGCAGCCTCGGGTTCTTGTCGAGCATTGCGTCTACGGTTTCTTCCAGCCGATGGCCTTTTCTCCTATGCTGAGCCCGGATTCCCGCCAGGGCAGTGCGCAGCACACTCGGGAGCTGGTTTAGAAACCGGACCCGTCGAAAGGCCAGGTCACGCGTGGTGTGGTCAAAGTCGTACTGGAAGACGCCGCCGCCGCCGGCGTGCGGTGCGCTCACCACAATGTCGCCCAGGCGAATGTCGTGCTTGGAACTCGGTGCGCCGCCGCCAATGCCTACCATGAGGACGATGCGAATGTTAGGAAAGCTCTGCTGCATGTTGGTCGCTACTTGGGCCGCCGAGGACGCTCCGTATTCACCGTCGGGCGGCACGGCAATGACAACGTCATGCTTCCCGAGCCTACCGCATGTGTAGTGGTTGACGTCGTTCGGGGACACAAAGTCCGGTGCGTCGTGCTCCTCGTCGAGCAGCTCTTGTGCGGCGACGTACTCGGTTCCCATGGCGCATATCCAGCCCACCATGTACCTGTCAAGGCGTCTGCGGTCCCGGGCGTCAGTGTCGACTCCTTCCAGACCGGTTTCGCCGTCTACTCTTGTCCGCTTGGAGTTGTTGTGCACCAGCTTCCCGCCGTCGTCGGACTCGCGCTTTCTCTTGGGCACGCGTGCGTCGTCGCCGCCTCTTCCTGGAGCTTGGCTCGTGTCGCCGGGCAGACTGTCCCGAGAGCCGTGGATTGTATTCCCTCCCTGATGAACGCGGTTTATATGGTCCAGGAGGTTGTCCCAACGATTGAAAGGTCTAGTGTGGCGATTGCACGTCAAGATTTTGCACGGGTACGTCTGAGGCTGTCGGTGAATTTCCTCATGGCGTCTGAGGTTGAAAGGTGTCGAGAAGGTTTTTGAGCATACACCACAACTAATATGCCGCGACCTCATGGTAGCTTGAGCGTTTGGGTTCTCACGAAGCATTTCGACATTGTAGTCGGAGGTACATTGGGCATTGAGGCGCTGGGTTGTCGCCGGTTGGGCACAAGCAGCTTTTAAGTTGGCAAGGCCCAACTAGACCAGACTTGAGCGTTTGTGCAGACATGGTATGTACTATGTGCGCAGCGAGGGCTTTGCAACTGTGCAATTTCTGGCCTGAGGAGCAAACAGCATTGAACATTGAACAAGATAAGTTATGCCTCCATCCCGCCCGAGATCATTGGGCAGACCGCCCTTTCAATTGATGTTACCGGACTAGTTTCCACCAGCCTAGCCAACCAAAGTGCCCCGATTCCAGCAGACGGCCGACACTGAGCCGCAGGCGACTGCACCACAAAACTGACAGGCCGATGCCAACCTATGGGCCAACAAGTACCGACACTCGGTGCGACAAGCTCTCCTGGCGCCAACACCGAAACTATCTGCGTTGAGACGCCAAGGGTATATTGAAGGGCCTGCGGCAAGGCGAAAGCAGGCACGCCAAGCCAACCAAACCGCCCATCTTCCGTGCGGATATCTCGGCCAGACTACGTGGCGGCACGATTGGCCTTTCATCAACTCCCAACGCGATGCGGTGCGCCACTGCACGTCGAAGCGCCGTGACGCATCATAACCGACTGGGTCTCCCCAAGCCCGACGAGTCCTTCGTTACCCGGCGATGCCCATCTTCGACTGAGCGGCGATCCCGACACTCCCAACACGCCGCTCTGTAACCTGGATAAAACAGGCCCAGAATCCCTTCTCAAAGGGGCCATCTTTCATGACGGGCACTGCCCGCACTTTTGCCCACTACGCACACATACCGTACCCGTCATGGCAAACGCCCTCCTGTTTCCAAATGACCATGGTTTGCTGCTCGGCATCATAGAAATGCACGGCCCAAGCTGGCGGTGAACCATCGAGTTGAAAACAGAGTATTTTCGCCACATTTCTTCCCATCATGTCACCAATTCTTGCAGGACACTAACCAATACCAGGCAAATCTGCATTCAAGCTCTTAATCAACTCCGTGTGTCCGTCTATATAGCTAATCACTGGGTATCCTATCCTCACGCCGTCTATTGCCAAACTCCAAACTCCCAAGGGTCACAAACAGCTCAAACAAATCTCCATGTTCTGCTCCAAATCATCAAAAACACCAGACTTTAGGCACGAACCCCCCCGCCCCATTCATCAAGAACACTTGGCCCCTGCAGCGCCAAACCTTTCCCACTCAACCAAGCCCTGCAGGCCTCGTAGTGGGCATACTCGCGCATGTGTTCGTCGCTGTCGCAGTGCAGCATTTTAACATCCGCAACATCCAGCAGGCTTCTCCCTGCCGAGTCTCTGGCGTGGACGTTGGCCCCCTTCTCAAACAACGCCCTCATCGCCAGCTTCCTTCCACACCGCACGGCAATGTGTAACGCTGTTTCCCCACGCCTGTTTCTGGCATGGATATTCGCCCCCCTGGCGATTAACAGCTGCAAGATTCTAGGCGGAATCTTGTAGTCATCCTCCTCGGGCAGCTCGGCTACAAACGTCATCAGTGGCGTGTTGCCGTTGTTGTCGTGCTGGTTAGGGTCAACGCCAGCGTCCAACAACCCCGAGAGAAGCCCTAGGCGAAGCCCGAGCTTGGACGAGCTAGAATCGAGTTCCCTTTCGGGCTTTGCTCCTTTTTTGGTGACCTTGTCTCTCTGGGATGATTGTAGATGGTACTTATTGACCACAGAAGCCTCACTCAAAGTAGCCATGGCCAGGCAATGCAAGCCATTGCGGCCCTCTTCGTCCTGCAGATAAGGATTCAGCATTGCCTTGCGGACATTTTCCAGGAGCTTGCTTTCTTTTGTAAGCCCTGCGTCGGTAAAGGCCGCTGGACCAAACGAGTCTTGAAGCCCGACGAAATTTGGTTCGTCAAGTTCCATCATGGTTGAGCTATTTCTGGCAGGAGTGAAGCCGAACGCATCTCTTGCCATGTGGAAGTTGCCGTCGCAACGCCGTGAGACACGCTGGATAAGCTCTTTTGGGTGGCCTCCAGCTTGAAGTAAATGGAAGAAGCTACGACCGTAATGATCCCTCATATGAATGTCATAGCCTCTTGCTGTGACGATGTCCAACAGATGTTCGACATGGTCCGGATTTCTAAGAATCGATGCATTTAGAACGTGAAGGAACGTTTGGCCGGCAGAGTTCTTCGCTGCAATCCGGGACTTGCACAAGTCACTCCTCAAGGAACGCTCAACCAACTCGTAGGAACCCCTGGCGGCTAGAAAGTGCAAGACGGTGTTACCAAAAGAATCACTGGGGCCAAAATCCTGCTCTCTCGGTCCGTTGGACAGTAGTCGCTGCCCAACAGGTGTGAGCCCTTGACGAGTCACCCAAGGAAGCACACAAGTATCCAGAGGCATGAAACAAAGACATCGGCGTCTATCATGAACATCATGGGTAGAGTAGCACACTCCCGTGCTCTGGTACTCGTCCAGATTTAGGAAATCGCTTGGTATAGGAAAGGGCCGACCATCGAACTCCGGAGGGCAATCCTCCTCATCAGCCCAGGTTTCAATGGCAGAACTGCCTTCTGAGTAAGGCGACAAGCCGGGCCGACTACCCATTGGAGCCGTAAATCGTTTCACGAGCCTCTTGACAGTCTGCACGTAAGGTTCTGAGAAATCGGAGAGAACGCGTTGGAACGAACCAGTAGTATTGCTGGTGGCGTTAGAGAGGCATGTCGTCTGGCGGAGGAACTTTGCGAAATGCGGTGGATCGGCTGCATCTTCAGCTGGTGACATTGCCATGGAGGACCGAGCGCCAGGGGAAACCCAAAAGTTCAAGGCTCCATCTGCTGGCTGGTGTGAGGCAAAAGCCGCGGCCGGTCGATGCAGAGGCGAGACATCAAAAGGCGCTGGGCTCACGCTGTCTTCCGTCTCGAGTCTCTGAGGGCTGGGGGATATCGACAAATTGTCGGAGATGGATCGCGAAGGGCCAAAGGCAGCATATTCAGCCGACTTGAGTCTGGTGGGAGAGTTGGCCAGTTCAGTTATGCGACGGTCCATATCTTCATCAGTCTTTGGGTGTAACCATCGTGGCTCCTTGTCTAGGAGGATGTTGAGTTTCTTGTGGCCCGACTCACGACTATGCTGCACATCAGTACGACACCTCGCATAAGAAGATGTATGAAATGAGTATGAGCTCACCCAGGCGCCGTCCCAGGCGTGTGAGAATGAACCAAAGCGACAATCTTGGCCAATGGTAGTGTGGTATACACATAAAGGCGCGTCATCTTCCTCTGGGCAGATTTACTCCACATGGAGGGACGTCCTGTCTGTATTGTAGCACTAACTGCAGACGGCGAGCCGTGCGAGGCTGGTATCGCCAGCTTGGGCGGTGACGGCCTCAAGTTGGTCATGATGGTGTGTTCAGGATAAGGCCCGTCGAGACTGGGTTTTGGGTTCTGTAATGCAGACGTTGGTTATGGACCGGTTTCGAACGAGGTATAAACCCTCGTCCAAGGTCCCATGCCAAGCAGAAGAGATGGTCGAGGCGGTTGAACAAAGTCAAGACATTGCGCTGCGGCTGCCCTTTTATACAAAACCATCTGAAGCCTCATTCTGGGCCGCAGATTGTCAGCACTGAGCCACCCCTAGCTCTAGAATCTGCGAAGCACTTGGCGAAGGTTGCGGCATGGTTAGCTCTCTCCAAAGGGAAACGCCCGCTAGAAATCTAGTCTATCCACCAGCGGCCTCCACCAAGGCGGGGTCAATGGATAGCGAGCCGGCATCGCGGACGCGGGCCGTACCAGTTTAGCAATGGTAGAAACGATGCGATGGTGCATGGTGGTGAAGACGATTGAGGGTCGAAGGTCACGGCCAGTGAGGCACAGTCAATGGCGGCTGATGGCCTGCTGGCGCCGGGAGGAGCGGGGCAGCCCCCAAACGAGACTGAACAGCCAATGGCAGGACGGAAGACAGTGGCAGTTGAGTGGACATGGCCTCCGGGTTGGCCAATGTTAGGCACAGGCCCCAAAAAGGAAAGAACAACGGAGTGTGACCTCCCGCAGTCAGCCTGTTGCGCGATGCCTTGCGGCGCCTGCCTTGTGCGGCGCCTGCCTTGTGCTGCGCCTCGTCGGGAAGGTTGTGGCCTCGTTCGCATTGCCGTCCACAAACGTCAAACCCGCATATGAGGGAGTTGGAGCTGCCCAAGTATTTCCATTTTTTTCCGCCGACGTCGATCAAATAATCAGTGAACCGGCCACGGCATCGACGCCAGACAATAAATCGGCACAAATATGCACCTTCTTCACGTACAAAGTACATTTAGCCATGCGCTATGTGCCCCCAGAGGAGGACCGCAGGCCCACATCTCGGAGTTCGGCCACCTACCGTGGCTGTGCTGTTTCACGAACCTCAATTGTCGTTATCATGACTACAGCACTCAAGTTGGAAAATATCAATTGGTACCTACAATTCCTAGTACTACTAGACTAACGTGCACAAGAATTGGCTGCTTTGCCCTGCAGGATTGGTTTTCCACCCGTTGAGAGAGACGAATCGTGAGAGCCACTGCGTACATACATTTGACATTTCGTCGGATGCCAAGCCAGTCACAATCACAGACAAGATGAACTCTCACCCCATACTCCATGTCCCGCATGTGGCACATGCTGCCCCGTTATTGCGACTTCAGTGTTAGCAGTTCGCCTACGGATCAAACCGCCCAACACTCTCGGAACCAACACAGCCCCTTGGCTTGCAGCGTGTTCACGTCATAGACAGTCCAAGGATCGCCGTCTGGTTTATTATCGGTCCCCAGGCATCGTCCAGCATCCCCAATCCCCGTCCAACTACGTACGTAGCTCATTCGCGTTTTTCAATCTAAGACATCGACCGCACCGACGTCCCGCACAGGCAGAGTTGAATCTGGCATGGCACTTTGCCGCCGAGCTGGTCGTACAAATATGCAACTCACGACGGTAGTCTCTTTCTTTGGCGGCGTTCAGCCCACCTCGCAAGCCCCGTCTTGTTCACCCGAAAACGCAATACTACAACCGTCCACATCAACAGCACGAGTATGCTCTGCGGATGGATTCTTCCTGATTCCTCATTTTGCCAATACGGCGAACCAATTCAGGTCATCCCGAGAAATTAGTTCAGCAAGATTTTCGGTTGCAAACTAGGGCCGCAAAGAAAATTGCGCATCCCATCCACAGCAACCGAAGCCCGCCCAATTCGGCAAACTCAACCACCGCATTTCTCGCCCTATCTGATTATTCCGCGTCAACTCACTAGCCCTCTAAACGTCCGCGCGTGAAACGTGAGGGTTGGTTACCACCCGTGCGACATGCAGCTCGGTTCTCACACTCCCATTGGCACAAGCACACAGACGAAAGAACAATCGTCTGGTCCAGCCAGTGTCCTGAGCAACACGGACTCGACATGTTATTCCTCATTCATAAACGCACAAACCAGACTGACCATTGCACTGCATAAAGTCATTTGGGCCGTCTTTGTCTAGCGTGGCCCACCCACCTGTGCATTCCCACAAGCATCAAGCAAGCTTGACTATTTTTTGTAGGAGCCAACAGCCCAATATGACGAGAGCCTAATTTCCCGTGCTTCTGACAAATCTCGTCGCGTCATGTCACATGTAGTCATATTGTCATATTCGGCCATCCTGGCGTAGCCACGTGAGCGGTTCCTGCACACAGCCTAGATCAAGCACTGACCATGTTGGAAGAGTCCCCAGGGGCAATTTGGTTCAACCCGAACAAGAACAAGTTGGCACAGCACAGTCACATAGTATATATGACGAGTTCTATTTTCAGATAATACTATTCGTATTAATCCTACCTAGTCCCGTTCTGATCCATGGCGCCCAGAAATAGCTTAGCATTGTTTCAACTACCGAAAAGAGACAGAATCCCTTGGTTCAATTTAATATTTACATTCAAAATCGTTTCTCTTTTAGAGAAGCTTAGAAGTTAAGAAAATTCATGAGCTATCTTAAAACGAAGCCCTTACAAGGCTATATATTGCAGCCTTCCCTTACAGGAAGAGAGCGGCAAGGCCTGCAGCGGCGGCAACGAACTCGAGGCTTCCGACAAGCTGACCCGCGGCAGCAGTGACAACAGGAGGGGGGTTCTGATTGGTCTTGGAAGGAGAAACGCCAGTAGGTTGAGTAGCCTGGGTGGGAACAGGAGGAACTCCAGTAGGCTGGGTAGGAACAGGAGGAACTCCAGTAGGCTGGGTGGGAACAGCGGGAATAGAGGTCCAGCCCTTGATGGTGGTTGTGCCAGTGGGGTAGACAGTGGTGGTGACCTTGCCAACAGGGCAGCTGGGCACAGAAGGAGGGCAAGAGGTGATGGTATAGCTCTGGGTGGTGTAGAGAGTAGATGTCTGGTTGCCAGCGGGAGGAGGAGGAGGAGGAGCGTGAGTCTCAGTGACGGGGCAGACGGTGGTAGAGACAGGGATGGTCTCAGTTACGACCGTAGTGTGACCACCGCCAGGACACTTGGTCACCTCGGGAGGGCATGAGGTGATGGTGTTGGTCTTGGTGGTGTAGATGGTGGAAGTAGTCCACTTGGTGGTAGCAGTGGTCGTAGGAGGAGCCTCAGTCTCAGTGACAGGGCAGACGGTGGTAGAGACGGGGATGGTCTCAGTTACGACTGTAGTGTGGCCACCGCCAGGACACTTGGTCACCTCGGGAGGGCATGAGGTGATGGTATTAGTCTTGGTGGTGTAGATGGTGGAAGTAGTCCACTTGGTGGTGCTCTGGCTGGTGGTATGAGGCTTCTCGGTGGTGGCAGTGGTTGTAGGAGGAGCCTGAGTGGTAGGAGTCGTTGTGGGAGGCTGCTCAGTCTTGGTGGTGGTAGGAATAGTGGTAGGAGGCTTCTCGCTGGTTGTGGGAGTGGTCGTAGGAGGCTTCTCGCTGGTTGTAGTGGTGACCGGAGGAGGAGTAGAGGTGGTAGTAGGACCAGTTGTGTGCGTAGCCGTGTAAGTGACGCAGGAGCAAGCAGAGCTGGCGGCCTGGACGTTGCAGTTGCTGAAGTCGGTGGGAATGGCAGAGGCAGCAGTAGTAGTACCAGCAAGCCAGTCGAAGCAAAAGGCCTTGGCCTTGTCCTGGAGACCGTCCTTGATCAGAGCGCGGTAGCAGTTGTCATGCTCGCAGTTTGGATACGTGTGAGCAGCAGCAGAGGCGGCGAGAGCGCCAACAACGAAAACAGCCTTCATCTCGAAGGTTGTTTGGGTGCCAGGTTATTATTATAACGAAGGGGTCCTAACGGGGGCTTGAAGCAGTGACTAATAGCGAGTGTCTTTGTAACGAAAGGCTTTTATAACAAACGACAGTGAAATATGGGAAGAAACCAGAAACAAGTTTTCCCGGAGCAAAGGCGTCCAGTCCCTTTTATCAGCGATCCGGGCTGGGTTCCGAGGCCAAGCAGGCTTGTCAAAACCATTACTTCTTTCGTACCAACAGGGCAGACACGGCTATTGCCAGCCTTGGTTGCTAGCCAGAAAAATCAGAAATACGAGATCCTGTAAGTAACCCTGCATCGCCGCCATAGCCCACACCTCGAGCGTTGGCCATCCGAGGCGCTTGACAAACCGTGTGATTGGGCGTGGGGATGCAGGGGTGCGTCATGTTCGGCGGCGCTCGCCCGACCACTTTAAACAAGCCAGAAGGCCCAGTCAGGTTACCAGTCGCCCGTTGCCAGGATGGCTCGTCTTGGTGCCGAACAATGCGAGGCCAATCCGACCGCGCCAGGTCAACCCGCGAGAAACCATCATGGGCAGCCAACCAATGTACAAGGGCCAGCATCGTACCAAACGCCCCCTAGCTTCCCATCATGGCATAGCGGCAACATCGTCGTGTTTCCACCACTGCACTTCCAAGGGTTGGGCGGGAACCTGAGCTGTCGAGGTCCAGCAAGGCTGGTTGTTAAGCTGCAATGTCTATTTTGTAGGACATGATGGATTCCTTCCTCCTCTTTCATCCGGACTCGATCCAAATATGGGTCCGTCCTGTGGGAAACTCCGATTCGGCACTAGCAGTGCGGATTTCCTGGGGCGTTTGTGCCGTCATCGTCGCATGGTTGCTGCGTTCCCAAATCCCACTGGCCCAACGGTCCAACCTGCCTGGGCGCCAGGCTGAAGTTGAGCTGAAAGGAGGCGTCGATGGCCAGGAACCGGCGCTTTTAGAGCCTCCTCTTTCGCGTGGCAGAATTTCCTTTTCGAAGGACATGGTTTGGAGGCGGCGGGGACAAAACCACACTACGACCATGTCGCCGGGTCAAGATGGGTCGAAGAGCGCCGCTCTCTGGGCACAGGGGAAACACTTCCCGATTGAACAACAGGCTCCTCTCTTGTTTGCCAGGACGGAGTGCGGTGTACATTGTAGTATCATGCGTTA